AGTTAAATAAATAAAATATTTGGGTTTATTAGTGAATAAAGGTTTAATAATTTATTAGTACCAATGAAGCAAAATACAAAAAAATATGTGTTCCCTTTGCATAAATGTAAAAGAAAAGCTCTCGCACTCCCGCATTAAACAAATACCTATTAATAACATTTTTACTTATTTATCTGTTTTGTCTATTTATTAATTTTTTGACAAACCAGGTCATATTATGCATTACAATTTCCGTTATTACAAACATGTATGTACAATTCATGTATAAGTTAATTTTACCGTTTCTTCGGAATAAACAACTCCTATTTTAAAATTTACTTCGGGACAAATCAATTCGTGATTTTTAAGATCGAAAAATAATTCGCCCTTTAATATGCAGTTAGCAATTATTAATAATGTGTAATTATGCGGAAGAGAACGAGCTCGCGACCTTCGAATAACAGAAGAAGGATCTAAAATTGTTTTAACGATCCTTAAAATATTCTCCTTTCCCACCAGAGATTACTTACTGGAATTTTGCTATCAAAGTAGTAATAATTTAAATTTCTTCTTTAACGCTGATAACTGCAATCAGCCGATTAGCGGATATAATAGAGATATATCTATTATAGGAGATAGCCAAAATTTGTTGTCTTTTTTTGTGGGGTGTGACGCCATACTCAGATGGTTTATGTAAGGTCGATTAATAAAAAAGAAAGAAAACAAATAGCCGATAAAATTTTATGCGATAATATTGTATCCCTTATAAATAATAATTAATGGCGAAGGAACGAAAGCAACAGAAAGAAGTAGAAAGCATATAGATTCTACTAAGTAAATAAAGTTTTTTGCATAAACTAATACAACAAAAATATGTTCAACATGTGCGATAGTTACACTCTTATGGAAATGTTTCTTACAAATGGCCTTCATTGAGCAGCCCATTAGATTAAATGTTAGATTAATATCCCCATAAAAAGTACCCGGTTTTATTCCATAGATGATAAACTCAATAAAATGACGTACGTATTGCAAGCAACTGCTGAATATTTACAGATCGATTTTGCGTAACGCAACGAAATTGTAAAAGGTGTGTGATTTGACAAAACCTTTTAAACAAACATAACACACTTAACATGAAATATAATGTACGAAAGTAGTCGTTAAATCATACTCACCATAGCAACTGCTCACAGAACTCATCGAAATTCTCTAAACTTTACACAAAAAAATGCAAAAACGGAAGATTTGGTCTGTGAATTTGACAAAAGTACACGCAGGTGATCCGAATGGATGTAATTTTAAAAGGGTACTCTCAACACGACACGTAAGAACGGCACAATTACGCAGAAAACACTTTGAGCCCTGAAGATGATCTCAATAAAGATCGAAACGTTGGCACCTTAAAGAAAATGTTTTTCTAAAACCTACGTCACACCTGACCGCATTTCACGATCTCCGAATTTTTTAAATATATATTTTAAAACTTAAAAAGAAGTAAGTCTGCAAAAGCGCAAGTAGTATGTTCATCTTGCGAACCGCACTCATCCACTAATCGTACAAGGCTAAAATAAGCGGTAATGGCTCATGGAGACATTGCAGATGAGGTCGGTCAACTGCAGCAAGCCTGGCAAATTCCCGGTTGCTCCATTAAAAACCAAATGATGTTCGTTTTATTAAACTAGTATGTTACAGTTACGACAGAAAGGATAATTCAATTTAAAAACAAGACACCCTCAATATTTTTAGAGCTTAAGGAGCACTGGTTTGTTCAAGAATTCGGTCGATTCTCTTTGTTCGGAACAGTTGTACATTTGAACGAGGTTTAGTACAATACGGACCCTTGGTGAATAGGATTTGTTTCAACAAGACATCTCCAGTCTTACTTACCAAAATGGATGTAATACACGCAGCAGCTTCTACCTCGCACACCCAAAAGACCTTCAGAGTGCAATGGAACATTTCCGTGCCGGAATAACGCCCGACTGCCGTTCACTTCCTGATGTACAAAGAAAACCTTCCAAAATGAATGTAACTGAGCTTCTACCACATGCGAGGTCGATAGAATTGCGCGAACATATTTTATTATGTTTGGTGCAACCTATAGTCCTATACTGTATATTAGCTACTTCACCTACGCAAAAGATAAGCTTCATATATTGTAGTTATAAGTTAAAATAATTAAGTAAATGTTGCAACATTGTTTGTTTTTCAATACTGAATCCTTATTAATTTCCTTCTTTTATATCTATTTATAAATCTCATAGCATGCCTCATACCCGGTGTTTTTGCCCAATGCAAGAGGCAATTTAGGCATTCCCAGACAAGTTTAGAGTTGAAAGCATTTAGTGCCAATCAAATATTAACGTAAGGTCTCTGCTTGGAGGGAAAGGAGGTGATTATACAGGTGGGATTTAAAGGAGGAAAAGGAGGCAGCGTGACGAATAAAAAGGAGAAGGGAGTTCCAGAGTTTAGGGGCTCGGATCAGAAAGGATCTTTCGAAGGTTGGGTTGTATGTTACGAAAGGATAAGGTCAATTGGGGATGAGCAGATGTTACTAGTGAGATGAGAGGAGTTGAATTGGAGGGATTGGGTGATGTAATGAGGAAGACGAGGGTGGATGGACTGGAAAATAAAGCAACCTAGGAAATACTATACACGGAATAGAGCCAGGAAAGTTGGGAAATCAACCCCGACACCCGGGTCCCCCGTGGGGGCCGAACACGAATCTTACACAACAATTCATAATACGCTTCAATCGCGCGTCTCCCCCCCCCTCTGAGAGACTACCGTATGCCACACAGCTATAATCGAAGAAGGTAAGTATAAGGAAAAATACAAGGAATTTGCGGGTGGAGAAAGGTAACCGAGGAGCAGAAGGGAATGGGACGGTTATTTAGCATGAGAGGTGGGATGCTGGGGAGGGAATGGAGGAGCTGCCTGAACCCAATAATTAAGGCGGTGGATTTGGACGGATTGAGGACTAGGGAATTTTTATGTGCCCATTCGTTGAAGGAGTTTAGGTCTTTTTGGATCTTGAGATTGGCCGAGTGAAGATCGGAAGGGTGGGAAGATATTTATATTTGGGAGTCATCGGCGTATAGGTCCACAGGACTGGATGGAGTCGGGCAGGTCGTTGATATAAATGGAAAAAAGGATAGGAGAGATGCTAGAGCTTTGGGGCACCCCACATTTTAATGGGAGGAAGGAGGAGGTAAGACCATTGGGAAGGGAGACAGCTTGGTAGTGATTGGTAAGGTAGGAGTGGAAACAACGGATGGTGCTGGTGCAGAAGAAAGAAGATTCGAGTTTAGAGAGGAGGGAAGAGGGAGGGACAGAATCGAAGGTTTTGGAAAAATCTAGGAGGACAAGAATAGTAACTTTCCGTTGGTCAATTGCTAAGTGGTGGTCACTGGTAATTTTTGTTAGTGCTGATTGGGTGGAATAGCCTTGGCAGAAGCCAGATTGGAGGGGATTGAGAAGATGGGAACGTTCAAGGTTCCTGGAGACTTGTACTAATCTTTCTAGGGGCTTGGACAGGTTTGAGAGAATGGAAATAGGACGGTAGCCCGTAGATGGGGGTTTTGTTGACAGGGTGGACAAGGGCTTGTATATATTCGTACTTTACAAATGTCATTGCAATTTTTCACACGGTCACAACACTAATACTAAGAGGAGTGTTGCGTCCGGAGGACTCATGCTATGATAAACCAACCAATGCTGGCAATCAGTGTTCCGGATTAAGGGGCAAGAAGGTCGCGAGGCCTTCGTCGATTAAGGCTATATGGCAGGTCCTCGGAATGGGAATGTGTAGAGACAGCTAGGGCAGTAGGGTTAGGCTGGATCGAGAGGTTAGTGTGATACTTTTGGAATCGGGAACGGATCAGTTCGTTGACAAAGGGAATATTGAGGTTGTTGTGAATAATGAGATTAGTGTCGTAATAAGGAGCTTTGACAATTTGCCTGAGGTCTTTTGATTCGAAGGATTGTATGCGCTGGATGTTGTTGGCTTGACAGAAATCCACAGTTCAACAACGTATGTCCAAAGTGGTCGTACTAAAGACCTGTGTAAGTTTGGCCAAGGCAGATTTTGGTCATAGAAGTCTAGTTGTCCAAGTCTTCTGTTGATTTGTCTCTTGTATGGGGATTCCATGTCAGTCTCCTGTCTAGGTACAGGCATAAGTATTTGACTTGAATAGACGTCGGTAGATGTATTGGTAGGGGTGTAATATACTGCGCGTTTCAGTGGTTGAATCTCTTCTACGGTTGTACATCCCAAAGCACTTCCTCCTGCGGGCAAGTGTAGCACCGCAGTTTGTCTTGGATTAATCCAATCTTTTTTAAGCGTCCATTTAGCTTGTAGTTTCTGTTAAGAATCCTATTAGGATTCGCAGTTTGTTCCTGCTTCCCTTGACACATTCTGTAATTTCTTTTCTTACGAAATTTGTTAAGAGATTCTTGGATTACCTATGTCCAATGAGTGAATTTTATTGTTCCTTCATTTTTTTTTCGTCCTTCTGTCTGAGATACTCATTAATAGTGTCGGTTCCTATGCCACAAAGGGCTCGGTGGACGTCGGTATCTCTTTGTTATTAATGTACAATGGAGGACAAGACTGTTTTCTCAATGTGTTCCTACATTGAGTACAGTTTTCTTCATTGAGTATTGTTCTCCACTTTTTGCACCAGTCTTCGATAAGCTAAAGAAAGGTTTTCTTGGATGTTGGATAGGATTCGAGGTAGGGGACAAAATTGCGGTATCGTCCACGTATTGGGATGTGCAGGTAGGTAAGCAGTATAGATGATAAAAAGGATGGGACCGTGAATGCTCCCTCGTGGGACGCCGGCTTGTATCTGTCTGACTTCAGTATTTATACTGTACTACTTTAAACTGTATGATTTCAAGATAATATAATAAAGAGTGGGTAGGAAGCGTTTAAGTTTATAAAACTCGGATGCCAGACGCTATCAAATAAAAAAAAAATTAAAGTTTATCTTTCAAATTTACCCGCGGCCGGCTTTGGAAGGTAACTTTTGAAAAGGTTTTGTTGTTGGTCTTTAGTTATGAATTGTTGTTTTCTATTCAACCCTTTGAAACAAATGGAATCTTCCAAAGCGGACTTGACCCCGAGTGTCACTGAATATTTGGAAAAGGAGAAGATATGCCAGGTAGATGAAATGTCCAGTTTATTTACTTGAAAATTCTTATCAGTGCACGTATGTGCTGTCAGTTGAGTTGTTTGGTGTAACAACAACAACATTCGCACCGCATCGATTTGTAGCTAAGACACGAGAAAACAGCTTTTCCAAGGCATTTGTTATTCTGTTTTAGGAAATCTGCAAGACGATCACACAAAGTGTCGAAAGCACAAGCAATGCCAACTTTGCAATGCAGACTTCAGCACTTTTACCTGAGCTGAATTCAGGTAGCACATTTTCAATTTTTGATGGGAAATGAGAATTTTAAAGTTGGACGTAAATACTCCTTATTTATTTGATTGTAGATGATGACATCGAAGGGATACTTCAGCAAATTTCAGCGATTTTAGGATCTCAGTACGGCGAGAATTCAAATTGCACTGAGTTTGATGGTTGGTATTTCTTTTATATTAAATTTATTATCTTACATTGTTTCATTTATAAGGCAGCTCTTTTTCCTTTAAAATTGGATAGTGGACAAATCTAAACTGCACAACGATGAATAGGGATATTTATAATTTATTCCTATTCTATTAATTTTAATTAAATTAACCGATACATTCTTGTTAGTTGGATAAAACAAAATAGAAAATTCAAACCAAAAACAAACAAATGTTAATCCTCATTTGTAATAATGGATTTACTTAGGAATAGTAAACAAAAAGATTACTCATTTCGTAATGAAACACCTTTTCTCGTCTTTTCTCTATTTTTACTCCAGGTATTCAATTTAACCATGGAAATATGTCATTTTGAACAGAAGTTCACAATATTATTGTGAGAATCAGTCTGAGGTCGCCGTCAAGTGGATATCGCATAGGCAGTTGGCGGTTCCTGGGCTTTAGCCTGATTCCTAGTTCCAATAGGAGGGCTAGTAGTGGATCTCAGCACATTACCATAATTGCTACAAGTAGCCTTTCCATAGTGCCCTCCAGATTCTAAATAAAGAACAAGATATTTTGGCAAGGCCTTGTCAACACAGATTCGTAATCTATCACATTGTATGTCCCTTTGAGACGACCTGCAGCAACAGCCCGCCACTAAGCAACTCAGCAGAATATGGTGCAGTGAGGGCCTAGAAGAAAACAATTGGAATGCTGTTATGTTTACTGATGAGTCGTGATTCTGTCTGTATATTGATAGCAGGCGCGAATAGGCGAAACTTACAATGCCCCAGTTCGTGCTCCCTTCAGTCAGTTTGGAGGAGGGGGTTTAGGTCTGGGCTTTACATTGGAGGACAAACTGGACTCAATATTGTTGAAGGCAACTTCACTGCAGTCCGTTATGTCCAAGAAATTATTGAGGAATAATCCATCAAACCAGGGATCTCATTGGCAGGGTTTTTCAATTTCTGGATGACAATGCCAGACCCCATAGAGGCAGAGTTGTACATCAATGTTTAGGAAACCTAGGAATTTTGAGCAAATGTGGGATGAGTTGCAGAAAAGCTTTTCAATCACCATCTGCGTGCAGCCAGTTGACCTAAAACAACTTAATGCAGCATTGGAACATCTATGGAGTGTAATTTCTTATGAAATCAGTGACAACCTTATTAACAGTATGCCTAACTGGTGCACAGAGGTTACAGCTAACAGGGCACATTATACACGATATTAATTGATTTTTTTTTTCAAAATCCCTCAATTAAATTTTCCTTCGGTAAAGAACATAATTTCTGATCAATTTTAATGCAATTTATAATAAAAATAAATTAAAAATGCTAGGAAAAGTAAATACTACAAAATTGGCAATATCCCTATTCATTTTAGAGCAGTGTATAATAGAATAAAACTGTTCTGTGACTGACTGACAGAAAATGCACAGCCTAAACCGCTGGATCAGGGCTGAAAATTTTACAGTGCATTCCTATAAAAACATGGAACGCCGCTAAGAAAGAATGTTTGGCAATTCCATCCCTAAGGGGATCACAACACAAGTTTTTACCATTATAGACTGAAATGAACTGAAGAAAAGAAGAACTTAAGAAATCAGACTTATTAAAAAGACATACTAGCACTCTGCATCACATTAAACAGTCTCATGAGGCCGAAGTCGCAGTTAAAAACTAGTTTCAGCATAATAATTTGTAAATATTTTGCCATCTAGACTGAACTGCTATTTTTAAAAAGTTTAATTTTGACATTATCTGACTATTTGAGGTGAAGTGGCAATGTCTGCTGATAAGGACAAATTGGAAATATATATTGAGGTTTGAGGTCATGGTGATTAAGGTGGTTTCAACCACTCAAGATTTGTATTGAATGTCACGAACTGACCTTTTCCCATGGACGAGAAAACCAAATATTCATCAACAAAAGGTGATGCTTTCGGTTTGGCAGAGTACTTTTTTAAACTGTTTGTACCATTTTCAGACAGTGCGCTGATTTATTATTTCACCATCGAATGCAAATTTTACTAGCCACCTCAGCTGCCCTAGCACAAGAACTCTTCTGGTTGGTTACCTGGTATCTTTAAGATCCCTTGTGTAGTAATTTTTTACTAGTCAAAAAATGTGATTACAGTTGTAAGGACAAGTACGAATTAATAGAAATTATGAATGATGGAGTTCATTCCTTTTTTAAAAAAGATGGTTCCTACTCACATTAAGTTTACATTACACATTACTTAATGTGAGTAGGAACCATCTTTTTTAAAAAAGGATAGTACAAATTAATCCATGGAGCCTTGACAGGACATTAAAAATTCCTGGGATGGAATTGCAGTATTACTTGTCAAATATTGGGGACATATTAAAATAAAGGACACTTAAACTTTTTCTTTCCAGTTGATAATATATATCATTTAGTTTAAATTTGTCCATTAGCCAACCAGCTAGCAATAAAACATTCATAACTTGGTAGTCTAGCTGTAATAACTATTAATTACTTTTTTAAAATTTATTTATTTGCAACTGCACTTTAAATATGCAACAAGCAAAAATATTGAAATTATTATTATAATATGCCTTTACAACAGGACTGGAACAAATCTCTTATGGCAAATGAGCCAGTGAATGATGAATCACCAGTCATTCTTTTAATAAGACCCAAGTTCCTGGTAGCCTTGGAGACCACATTATCAATTAGATGCATTAATCATTAAAAATTAACTCCTAGATTTAGTATCTTAGAGACTTCCTCTACCCTCAATAGAATAGACAGGTTTAATTTTATCCTTAGTTATCCTTTTTGAAAAACAATAGCTTTGCACTTTTCATAATACACCTAAGCATTTTACAATGACACCAATGAACAAATGCATTAAGATACTGAATGGCAGCTCAATCTGACTCAAGATGTACAACATTAAACAGCTTTAAACCATCAGCCAATAAAGATCTAATGGTAACACCAGTAACATTATTAAACAAAATTGGGCCTATGTAAGATGCCTGGGGAATGCCAGAGTCAATTGAATCACCCCAGAGAGGAAACTATTAAATTTAACTGCAAATGACCTATTAGATAAGAATTAATCCAACAAAGCATACCCAATTGGTCCTGCTTCCTAACCAAGATGTACCTATTTGGACTGTTAAATGCCTCGGAAAGGCATAAGCAACCAAAGCCATACATTTAGACAGACAACTATAAATGACAAACATGTATAGTTTATTTTACTTTATTTTTTTATTTTTTTAATTGTGTGATATGAATTGTTTGAAGAACTGAAAAGAGAGAATTTTGTCGAGTTGATATTACCGTCTTTTTTATTTTTATCACTTGACATTTGCCCAGTACAACATTCAGCAAGATATGTTTCATAACAAACCTAACAGAGTTCTTACATCATTTATTTTAATCAATATTATTAAGATTTATTCTAAAATTATTTATTTTATTTTTTTAAGAGGGTTTGCAACAGCAGAGGTCATAAACCCTCAAGGTGCTGGTGTTTTTGAAAATTCTAAAATTATTATATTATTTTCTGTGCATGTTGATTTAATCCTTCATCTTGTAAAGTATAAAATAAAAAGCACACATATTTTTTTAGGTAATGATAGTCTCAGTGTAGAAGAGATCCTTAAGGAGGCAGAAAATTTAGTTCGCGCAAGCACGCCATTTTTTGAGAGAAATGTAAATCAAGATAATTCAATTTCTCAAAGAAATGGTTATCCCAGCAAGCCTCCCAACCTCAGATTGTGCCAGGACCAAGGGCCGATATTTACAAAAGAAGATATTCCGGTCAAGCAGGACAAAGAGGTCTCATCGCCCGAGTCTCAATTGGAAGATAACAAAACACTCGATGGAACTGAAGTGGGATCCGAGATTGAAGATGTCGAAGAAATTGATGACATAGATGAGGATAAAACCCCAATCAATGAAAATCAATTTAATATATCCTTGGAAGATAACGAACTTGATGAAAATAAAGTAAAGATTATCACAGATGAAGAGATAAGGACAGAAACTTCAAGGAAAAATTCAGGGGTAGAACTCAAACTAACAGATCTTCAAGCTCCTCCAGATTCAACTTTTGTTCTCAAAATGGAAAGTCATTCACAAGAGCATGTCAACGATGGTAAGTATTTAAAGTAAATAAATAAATTTAAATTAATTCTTGCATTAATAAATATATAATTTTTTGTAGCCATAGAAGAAAATCAAGATAGAGCTCCTCCTCCAATCGAAGATAGTGTTTTAGAGTTGAAAAGACACATTGAAATGTTAAATGCAAAAGTCAGTATTTTACGAACATACATGAAATAATACCATCTCTGAATTTACACTTCAAATTTCATTTGTTTATTGATACAGGTAGCATTATATGAAAAGAACGATATAAAAACTCAAAAAATTGAATCATTGAGTTCAATTGAAAGGCAGCGTCTTAAATTATTACAAGATGAAGTCAGAAGCCAAGAGGAACTTATTGAAGGATACCAAAGAGAAAATCAGCGATTGACCAATGATATCATCTCTGCAAAGGTAAGTTTTGTAATATTAACAGTAGGTTGAAATTAACTGATGATTTCATGGTATATCACATCATGGTAATCCCCCAGGATTAAAATCACACATGTATTGAACGTACCAGCTAACTTTACCACTTTGTATAGTTTATAAGTCTTAAACATAATATTTACTGATAGATATAAATTATCACTATTCAAAATGAAAAAAAATGCTGCTATTGTTAACAAAATATTTATGGTACCTGCAATGCTCACAAGTTTACATTTATTTAATTTTTTACTATTTTGCATGCATTTTGTGTTATATTTCTGTTTCTAAAGATTATAGTCTGAATGTTCTTTTTATTTTTTCCCGTCAGGTTTGCATGTATAATTGACTAATGTAATTAAGAGTCAATGGGGTACTCAATGTTCTACCATCGGCCTCTCATACTTTGGGTGAGAATGACCCTCTTCTATGATTCAGATCCTCCAAGTGTCACCCATTGACTAATACTAAGAAAACTTGTTGAAATCGTGAAGAGTGGTCAAGAATGAGGTAGTTTAGAAAAATACCTTTTTCATTCTTTTGCCGTTTCGAACTTTATTTTGTGACATTTGGGGCATTTTTAGTGCCTGGAACAGAAGATACGTTGACTGGAAACCATACGATTTAAGATGCAAATATAAATTTTGAACCAAGTATTTCATTTTCTAAACTACCTATTCGTGACCACTCCGCACGACTTCAACAAATTATGAAATAACAGGTCACTAAACACACAATACTAAGAAAACTTTTTTTATTTCCAAATTATATATATTACATATTATATGTTTAATAATTTATTTTTTTAAATGAAGATGAAAGTATGATCCACAAATATTCAAGGATACAAATTACACACCTTTGGTTCCAGCAGTATTCAATTTTGTTAATATAATTTACAGAATAGTGCTAGAACTGAAAGCATGTAATTTCCATTTTTTTTTTTTACATTTACAATAGAAGGGAGCAAATAATTTCCCACTTATTACTAATCACTACTAATGAAATAATGGATCTAATCAATACCCGGAGAACCACCTACCTATTGTTTGTATGTTTGAGAGAACAATTTAATTATGTGATATATTCTTCTAAGGCACAGTGACGGGAGTCTTAAATTAATAGTCTTTGGCTTGGTCCAGATGTCTATAATTGTGATAGATCGAGTGATTGAGGAGACAAATTTCCTATCTTCTTATTGGGGGGTCAGGGTGAGTAAGAAAGGAACAGATGATAAAAAGAAGGAGTAATTAGCACAGTGTACATTAGTTTATTAACAAAAAGGGATATACAAGATTTACACAAGTTTAACTGAAGCATAAGACAAATTCAACTGGTGGGATAGCTGTTTCACAGGGGGCGACGGTGGTTGCAGCGGATAAAGGTCAATTCACACACACATCAATGATGTGACAGTGTCATGACAGCCACTGTAATCATACAGAACTAAACGTAGTGTTTCTTTCGTGTCTTGCAGTGGCCAAAATGGCGTTTTCTGATGATGAACTTTTATGATTATGATTATTTTGAGGGACATAAGCGAGAAAACGTATGTGGGTCCATCAAGGATGGAACAAGTGAGGCACGTAAGGGGGAATTTGTTACATTTTACAAAGAATTAATGGATGAAGCAGCATTTTGCTTGCTGCATAACTTAAGACTTAAACCTCTTAAAACATTAAGAAATGCGAAGAAAATATATTCTCATACAGATTCATTTCGTGTACGAGAAATATTCCCTGATTATTTCAGTTCTGATGCTGGATCTCTCCAGTGATTAAACTTAATGAGTTTATCGTCATTCATATTGTACGTCCGTGAAAACTGTAAAATATCATCAACAAGAAATCACGATCCGGTGACAACGGCCCGGTCACGCGCCGGACGAGTGTGAATAAAGCCACTTCCACGAGGAATACTATCAAAACCGCCGGTGGAACAAAATGCCGGTCACGGCACTGTGACGATACTGTTGTGTGTAAATCGACCTCCACAATCCACATGACCGCACCGCGTGACGGCCGTCTGTCTGGCGTAACACGGAGAGCGATTAGGATAATGGAAGTAGTCTAGTCCTCACCCCTCACCATGCCCGACTAGTTTGGTTGAGGTTTTGACGGGCACGGATCAGTGAGCTCCACTGCAGAGTGTATTTTATAATATTTCGTTTTATCTGTCTAGTGTCTTTTTATAATCTTAGTACAATTTTATATAAAAAAGTCGCTAATTTTATATTAAACTTCGTCTCATCGCACTTTTGATGTGGAAGGAGCGAGTAAAATTCCCCTTCAACACATCTTTTTTCTTGCATCGTGAACCCACGTTCTTCTCCTTCTGGGATGATTTCTTTTCCAATTAACATCTTCCTCTAAAGCAAGTGCTATCATCCCTAATTCACTATTTTTAAAACTTCTTAACATTATTTCTCAACGAAAAGACGTTTGAAGCTATTGTACTACTGAGTGTGTTGTCCAACACGGTACGGATAAGTGGAGTCCTCCGTCACCTCCCCGCAAGTCGACCGACTGTCGGACGTCATGCGGTGTGAGCCCGGTGCTGTCCATGTGTCCAGCCTGAGTTCATCACCGTAAGGTCCCGGGTTCGAATTCACCGGTCCTACATTCGACCAGACCTACTTACAAATGGGCTTTTTTATACAAAAACACCGGCTCTCAGAGGGTTGATATGACCTCTGCTAGTGCGAACCCTCTCACAAAAAAATTTAGTTTGACGTCACTATCGATACGATGCTAACAAACAATAAAATAATATAATGATTTTTTTTCAATATTTCCCCTCCTTTCGTTTATTACTTAATTTATGTATCATTATTTATTTTCATTTAATTAAGTTAAAGCACTTTAAGCGTTCTCTGATTGACTTTGTCAACACATCTGCTGGCTGATATTCGCTCCATTTCAGCCTGATGGTTCCACGCTGTACCTCACCATAAAGTGAAATATGCAGTTTGGGTGTTTTATTCTTCCACCTTGTATCTCATTCTATAGCCAATCAATCACAGACTTGCTGTCTGTAAATAAACGTACTGGCGTGTTGCATTCTTCGCCATCAACCTCCTCTCAATGCTTTAACCCACAGCGCCTCCTATACTCCCATAGCGCTATGAGCTCTGATTCCATCATAGAAAGGGTCACGAGTCTTGGTTTGCTGTTCTTCCAGTTGATTAAGTCCCTCCGATCAAAGTTATGAATCCTCCGTAGGTCTGGGTTTTTAGTCGTACACCAGTATACTAGAGTTGTATGACCATCAGATTTCATTTTTAAGGATATTTCCTTTGTCCCTTGTAAGTATGTTAAAACATGCTTAAGTGCAGTCCAATAAATCTCTTTTGGATCTTTGTTGTACTGTGAAAGACTACTAACAGTATACGGTATGCCTGGATGCGTTACTCTACCCATGAACATTAAGGATTCCATTCGAAATGCGACGTGATATACACGTCCTATTTTGGTGATTTTCCTGACTCCCAATTATCACCAAGTGCTCGATGTGTTTTACTTCGTTGCATTCTGACATTTGATTGTCCTTATGCAGTTCCTCCGTACATATGTTATCTCCAATAACTTTATCTCAAAGTCATATCTCCGGATCCAGTTCGGTTTGAACTCTAATTGTCCCTATTCCTTGAGACATGATGTCTTCCATCCAGGTATCATTGATGTCACGTGTCTTGTACGTGCGGAATCGAGGTACCAGTTACTTGAAATTTCCTTTAAAGTGGATATCAATGCATTTTCCTTTTAGTCTCTTTGTGTTCTCCTGTATTTGCTGAAGCTTACAAAATTTCTACTAGAATAGTCCTTATTTCTAAACCAGCAATCCGCTGCATGTGACCAGGTTCTAGCATATAAAGCATATTTTCCCTATTCTTTTCTGAAAGTCTTGTACGCGTTTACCGATAAGTCCTTTCTACTTCCCTTTTCGAATGACAACTCAATTCCAGCTATCGGTTAAGTAGTGGAGGTGTTACGATTCATACATATCTGGTAAACCTACGACAACATACCTTATGAGCTATCGATCATTTATCTCTTTACCGATTTAATTATGTCTTTAAGAATTGAGCACGCGTTAAATACTCGTCGATACTTCTGTTACAACAGAGTACCTTCCTTCTATTTTCTTCCTCAATGTCCCGGCATCCTTTGTTCCTTTAAATGCATTTACTGGTTCAGCCGCTAAGCCGAGGATGAGGTGTAAGCTCTTTTATTTTTCCTTATTTCACTCGCCGCAAGGTTTAGTCTTTGACACTGCGCTCATCACTGTAAGGTAAAGGTCCCGGGTTCGAATCCAGCGGCCCTGCATTCGAACCCGACGTACTTACAAATGGGCTTTTTTTCAAAAACACCGGCACCCTGAGGGTTTATATGACCTCTGCTGTTGCGAACCCTCGTAAAAAAAAAAAAAAATCGCTCTGCTACCAATTTGTTGGAAGTCATGGGCAAATAAGAAACGTATGGATGATTTAAAAAAAAGTAATTAGCACAGTGTACATTTGTTTATTAACAAAAATGGATATACAAGATTTACACGTGTTCAACCGAAGCATAAGACTACAGATGGGAAAACTATCGATACACTGCTAACAAAAATGAAATAATGAAAGATATTTTTAAACACTTTTTTCTCTGGAAGATTTTTTTGGGTACAAGGAAGATATTACTTCAAAATGTCATAATTTAATTTTAATCTCAAAAATATGGAATTTTTATAGTTACCAAATGCAGTTTTACGTGTTTTTATTTTGTATGTGCATGTCTTTCTCTTTGAAATTCCACCATAAGTTACCTTTTGAGTTAATAGCATTTTTTTCTCTTTTTTTTACCGGAATAGTTATGTTACATACATTAGTCCAGCGAATCACAATCGGATGGTTTATTGTCAATTAAAGATTTGTTGTTTTTACCAAAGTATCGTTATAAGTAAATTTCCTTAAATTTTAAAACACTTGTGATTTGAATATGTGGTGGTGCAGGAGGTCGCCCCAGAACTGGTTGGGTTTATGGACCGGGCAGTGTCCATCGGCCTTACGGTACTTCCAATTGGCATATAAATTTAATCGCTCGGTCTACTTAAGTTCACACTAGGGCTTAAATGTCTTAAATTAGACGGAAAATATATTTTCTACAAGAAATCGAAAGAGAAAGGACGGTGATAACTTGGAAACATTTGGGAAAACAAATGATCAAACATTTTGAATATAATTTAAAGTCAGTATAAACATACATTTAATATGTAGTTTAATGTAATTATTTCTTTCTTCGTCCAAACTAAGGATGCTGTCAAACTATCATCAAATCTATTTCTTACCTAATTGCGGTTTTAATTTATCGATTGAAGTCGTACAATTGTTTTCAAGTTTCGTACAAGTGTTCAAAAATATTTTTGTCTGTTACATTTCTTACTTGTTTAACCTTAGCAAAAGATTGACACTATACTTCGCAATGTGTGTACCAAATAAATGTAGTTTATATATTTTTTTAAATTATTATAATCTCATACTATTTCTGAATCCTCGTTTAGACAATCTATCCTTAGGCTAATGATAGGCAAATTAAAAACAGGATGTCCCTCAATTAAGATAAAATGTCCGATGCGTCCACTGGCGATCATCGTGCGTCTATAAGACATTTTTCTTTTAAAAGTTAAAATACAGGGAAATCTTGTATTTTCTATTTGGCTGGACGAACTATCCGTTTACTGTTTACAACTTTCTAATTGGGTATTGTCTTGAAAATTAGCCTTTTCAGTTGGAGTAATGTTAACCTCATTAGCCACGTTTCATTCCAAATATTTATTGCATCTCCTAATTATTTTATTTGTTTGTTTCCTTTTTCTAAATGCGATGAGCGAGTTGTATGTATTTTGTAAATCCTTATTGCAAAGTAGATTGTTTTATTCGCCCCTTCATTTCTGCGAGAGTTTCTCAAAGAAAAACGTTGAAAAACCATCTATAAAATTTAAAAAATATATAACATGGGAGATTTCCTTTTGTGGTCAGAAGAGAGATTAACCTCCAGTTTTTCAAAAGCTGGTCAAAAGCGACCAAACTGCAAACACAATTGTAATTGAAGCCTTAACACGGTTCCTGCAACAGCAGATTAAAAAGTTATATCTTTACAAAACAAAATGTTATTTTATTCATTTGTGAAATGATGTTTTTACATATTTTTCATTTAAAAAGTAAAATTCGATTATATTAAAATTGTTTAAAAGCATTTCCACGTCCGACGTGTTAAATATGCGCACTTGAAAGTTCTATATATCTACTACTTTACTGGACAACTACAATAATATCGTTTAAGATCAGTAAATATACTCGATCTGCTACAAATACGTTTTTATCTAAACGTTTGGATAAATTTATAAATTAATGATTATTTGGAGATCGTGAGTTGCCATCTGGTGTGACGTAGGGTTTAGAAAACCATTTTCTTTATCGTGCCAACGTTTCGATCTTTATTGAGATCATCTTCAGGGCTCAAAGTGTTTGTGTAGATGTTTCATTCTTTGTGTGTCGTGTTGATAGTGAATATCTCACTGGCACTCTCAACACGACACACAAGAATGACACATCTACACGGAAAACAGACACTTTGAGCCCTGAAGATGATCTCAATAAAGATCGAAACGTTGGCACGATAAAGAAAATGGTTTTCTAAACCCTACGTCACACCAGACGGCAACTCACGATCTCCAAATGATCATTGGCTAACGGTCACTAAACACCACACATTTATAAATTAATATTTAATTATTTATGACAAAAGCTTTCGGGATTTTTTCCTGGAGTAAACTTTTTACCGTGTTGTTTCCCGCACGTGAAACCGAATTTTTGAATATGTAACACCCACTGAAGAGTAGGTTTCGTAGGTACGATTAAGGTGGGGTATGTTGTTTAATTTCTTTAAAAGATCGTTTTTATTCACAGTTTGAAATAACAAATAACAAATTATAACATGAACAAAAACAATAACAAACTGTGAGTAAGAACTATGTTTTAAGGAGTCTGTTTCATGTTCTATATAGTAGAGGTTCTTTACGTTTCGTTTTAGTCTCTATGGCATGCATTTTACTTTAAAGTACTTTCATTTAGTAAATAAAAAATAAAACCGTGTGAATATTTAGAAGTGATGTTAAATTATGGCTGGGGTATTAAGGTACATAAAGGAAAAATATTAAAGCATTGGTTTTGTTCCAACTGAAGCTTGTTCCAATTCTTTAACCCATTTAAAGAGACCATCCCGAATGAGGTTTCTTCCATAAAATAAAACCCGTATAGTTCTGGAAATCTCACAAACATAGCTGAAGACGAGTTTGGCGCGGTTGGTGGGGCGAATATAAAAGTGAAGGGAGATGTCCCGAGTAGTCCAGTTAATAAACATGGATTGGCTCAGGTATTTTCTACTTTTTTCCCTGGGGATGTTCTGCTGCCGGTGCAGCCCTGAAACCCCCCAAGTAAAGTTTTCCTACTCCGGTTTTCAAGTTATTAACGTTATCGGGGAAAAGGCGAGGGACCTCTTCCAGAAACTCTTCGACCAGGGAGGTAAGGATTTACCGTTCGAATCAAACATCCGTTTTTTCGTTATAAAATGTTTGTTTTTTCTTCTGTACACACGAATTTTGCAGATATTGAAGAATGGGGCGGCAACTCGACCCATTTCGACGTGTTCGTTCCAAAAGACAAAGTGGACGAGATTAAAACCGTCCTCAACGATAATAAAATCCAGTTCAACGTGAAGATTGAAGATGTACAAAGGGCCATCGATACGGAAAACCCTCCGGTTGAGGAAGAAGACGAATTCGAAGGGAGAAAAGGTAATTAACATCAAAATATAAAAATTATGAATTTCAATTCGTACAATTTACAATTGTATGTACTAATTATTAAAGTAAAAATCTGGATGGTATTTATAATATCTGGTCAAAACGAAGAAGGTTTAGGGTTTTTTCTTTCACCACTTCGGCGACGTATGGACTGCATTTTCGTGAGTTACGAATAAACCAAGGCGCATTCGTAATAATCTGCAGAATTCGATTTTGGTGGCAAGTCTTTTTAATTATGAGTCACTTGCAGTCCCCCAAGAAAAGAGACGCATAGTGCCAAATTAAACGGAGAAGAGATAGGTAAAACATTTTGTTGAAAATTGAAAAGCGAAGAATTCTTTTATCGAGTGGCGCCTAAATATATGACAAAATTTCAAGCACCCGAGTCGCATACATGGCTATCGATGTCTTTTCTAATCTTCTGCGATGACTCCACCTAGGGTATTCTTTTGGGTATTTATTTTCATACGCGATTTTTTTTATCCTAGTCAACAATTTTATAATTGTTTGGAAGCTATTACACCATCTTTGCCTCTACTTAGTATAGCCAGATCATCTGCAAACACGGCGTCAAGTTTGATCTGGGGATGTCTCAGACAATAAAGAAAAGCCTCGAGACGCTTCCCTACAGAAAAGCTCTGATAGATCTTGTTACCAAAGTGACGCTGACTTGTTCGATTCTTAAGTTCCATTGGTCAGATAATTTCATCAGACAATGGTAGGAGTCTGACAGCTTCTTAATTTTGAATAGAAGTCCAGAATCAAAGAACTGCTGCGTGTTTGTGTCAGTTACTTGAAGCTATGGTTGTCATGAATGCTGCGATCGGAAACCAAATTGGAAACTAGGAATTTTGAATGATAAATAGTGTAGACGTTTTGGTAGCATAAGTCTTCCAAAAATTTTGGGAAACAAGGTTAACCCGAACCTTCTGAATGAAGGTATGGTCATGAAGAAGAAAGGAAATTCAGTTGTTACTACCCAAAAGTAACAACTGAATTTGCTTTCTTCTTTAATACCATACCTTGATCCAGTGTTCGAGAGTGAAAAGGGTCGATATTTCTAATACTAGAAACAAAGTTAACCGCCGGATTATAAGGCGGTAGCTTTTAGGGTCTTTGAAAAGTAAGTAGGTTTTTTGATTAAAACAATAATACCATGTTTCCGGTAAGAGGGGTCGGAAATAAGCAAGGCGAAGCATTGAGTTGTACTGTAATCGTGTAAAAATGTAAGTAAAAGTTGAGGTCCGCGGTAGTCGAGTGGTTAGCGTGACCCCGCGATCGTGGGTTCGATCCCCACCGTTGCTCCTGGCGCTTTTTCCACACAACCCTTCCCCCCTCAAAAAAATACGTATCGCAAACAATTACCATCACGTTCCCTGACTAATACGCAAAGCTCTTAAGAACATTATAAAAATAAATAAATAAATCAAAAAAACACTAACGATCCTCAACTACATGGATAAAACAAGTCACAAAAGGGGAGAGCTGGAATGGTTGAGTTTACATTGTTTCTTCTTGTTCATTTAAGTTATATTTTACGTTATCTATGAGGTAGGCCAAAACTGTTCAAAAAGTACATCAGAAAAGGATTTGCTTTTACAATGGGGAAGAGGTGCTCCAGTGTAGGAGTGGAAGAATTGTTTATTCCTGAAAGAGTACATTGATATTTACTCAAAATTATTGAACCAGAAATGTGTAATTCTACACTTATTGCCCATAATTCAGTAATTTTTGTGCTAGCTAGTAAGTACTTGAATGAAAATATTGTCTTTGTGGATTTGGCAGTACGGAGCTTTATGATTAATTATTTTATTAACTAAAAATACACGATTTTACTCTGATTTCTCTTTAAAGTTTGTATTTTATTTTCAATTGTGTTTATCAATTTTCTTTGCTGTTTATTGCAGAGTTCTGATTTCTGTTATTTAACTAGGGTACTATTTTCGTTTTTCCCGGTAAATCAGATGAATATTGACAAAGCTGATATACCATGTATTGTGATAGGAATTACAAATATATCTACCTTTATTTTTTAAATGGTTTTACTATCCATAAGTGATATATATACCTTATACTAGCGACCATTAAACCAATAATTATTTATATTTGCACTACTATAGTAATCCTTGAAATACTGCTGATTTGATCAGTAATTTCCTGCCAATGGGGCAAAGTTTTATGTACAGTGATGTGTGAATTGGAAGTTCGTTTCACATTTTTTAAGCAGACTTATTGAAGATTCTTTTTATCATTGCCCTTCAAAAAGGATACAGAAATTATTTGGCTTTTAATAATAGGGTTAATTATTATCATGAAGTTTTTCCTGGAGAGTTGTCACCCATTTTGACATTTCCTTGCGCATTTATTTTCTGTTAAACGTTAAATTTGAAGGGAACCTTGGTAAATTAAAAAATTAAAAACATATCCATCAAAATAAGAACTTTTAACCATTTTATATAACCAATAAAATGGAACAATTTTTGCTGAACCAATAAATTGAAAAAATAAATAAAATAGTTATTACATGAAAAGATCATAGAAATAGAATAATAGAAATCATAGAAATGAGCCAGACTGTAAAAGAAAATCAGAATTATAAAATTTTGTTTTAAACATCATAATTGTAATGATTTATAAATGTTATCATTTATTTTCTCTCATTCTTTTACCTGGAAAACAAGAATGAAATTCGTAAATTTACTTTATATAAAATTTTAGTGAAGTTTATACTTATGCATTTTAATTTTAATTAAATTTTACAATCTAACAATATAATAAGTTTGACTATTAATTTTTTGTTTACAAGTTTTTTTCAACTATGAGATTATATGAGGGTGCAGGTGTTTTTGCAGAAAAGGCCCATTTTTAAGTCAAACCAAGGACCTTTATTAACAACAGTTAAAAATAAATTTTGCTAGTAATTTTTTATATTTTTTTCAGGACATAGAATGACATTTAATTTTTATCACAGACTGGCTGATATATACGGCTATCTGGATTATCTTGCCCAGACATATCCCAATTTTGTAAGTGTCAGCTCCATGGGGAAATCTGTGGAAGGGAGAGATATAAAATTCATTAAAATATCATCCGGAAATCCAAATGCCAAAAAATTCTGGATCGAAGGAGGTTTGCACATTTGAATTAAAAACCTTACGACTGGATCTCAACAGTATATTTTTGTAGGCATTCACGCGAGAGAATGGATTTCACCGGCTACAACATCTTATATTGTGAGTGAACTCGTTGAAAACCGTAACAAGCATTTGCAAGAAGTGGATGGCATTGATTTCTATGTAGTGCCAGTGCTCAATCCAGATGGTTACGAGTACACTCACGAGGGTGAAAGGCTCTGGAGAAAAAACAGATCAAAACATCATTTCTACTGTTATGGTACTGATTTAAACAGGAATTGGGGTTTTCATTGGGGAGGTAAAGGCACTAGTAATCAAAACTGTCGAGACATCTACAGGGGCAGAGGGCCGTTCTCTGAGCCCGAAACCAGGGCTGCTTCAAATTTTATTTTAAACAATGCACAAAATATGAAAGTTGGTATTGCATTTTTAAGTTTTAGAAATTTGCTTTTTTTACTTTATTAAAATATCTCCTTTCTTCTGCCTAGGCTTTTATTTCATTTCACAGTTATGGCCAGTACATATTGATCCCATACGGTTATGATCAAAACACATTGCCACCAGATTTTCAAGAATTGTACACAGGAGCGTTAAAGATGGCTCGAGCCATGCGAAGCATTGCAGGTACCCATTATCAAGCAGGCAACAGTGCAAATCTTCTCTATGCTGCTTCAGGTTGTAAATTTTAAATTTAAAAAAATATTTCAATAATTGAACACAGCCAAATATTTATAGGTGGTGCTGATGATTGGGCCAAAGGTGCAGCACATATAAAATACTCGTACACAATAGAATTACGGGACCAAGGAACATACGGCTTTACCCTTCCTGCTTCCCAAATTCTTGACACTGCAAAAGAAGGATTGGCGGCTGTTAAAACCCTCTCCTCACTTGTGAAACAAACTAATTGAACAATATTATTTATTTATCTATATTTATTTATTTATTATATTAAAATTTTAAAGTAATGTGTGTTATTTCATTTGAAATCCATTTAATAAACAAGCTGTATAGAGCATTTAGCGGTTCTAAAAAAAGCAATTTTAAATTTTTCTTAATTTATTTTTTATGTCATAAATAAATATATAAATAGGTTTAATATATTGTAAAAAAAACATGTTCTTCCATTCCACGTTTTTTATTTTTTATTTACATGTTACAATGTATTGTGTTATCTAATACACTTCTTTAAATAATAATTTGTTTTTCTTTTCAAAATGAAATGCCATAAATATCATAAAACACTTCCTCGAATTATTAACTTGTGTTATATTTTAATTGGAATTTTCAGGATGCTTGGAAGGACACGGAGGAAAAACTGTTGGGAAAAGTAAAAAAGCTCGACCTGCAGTTGCGACACAACGTAAACCAAAGGAAAACTGAGACTGATGATCTAAGGCTGAAACTTAAAAACGCCTACGATTTAATTAGAAAACTTGAGTGCGAAGTGAATAAAGCGCAGGTATTGAATTAAATATCTTATGCATTGTGACCTGTTTCTTGGAGAAATCAGTATTTTTGCATGTTTTAACATATGTAAACTTGTTGAGTTTTGAAAATTTATTTGCTTGACTTGTTTTTGTTGTTTTTTTTATAACAAAGATAAAAAAACTTTTTATTTTGACAAGATATGGCAACCGACAAAGTGTATGACAAAAGGAGAGAACAGTGTGACCACTGGCAAAATTGTGGGCATAGACTGCCAATTAAACAAGGCTTGGTAACTAATATGGATTAGTTCAGTTACATTAAAAAATAAATAAATAATACAGTCGAGTTGCTAAATGAGGCCTTTTTAATTATTGCTTCTCCATCATTGTAGATATTCGGCTAATTTGAACAAGACTCGTTCTTAGTTCAGACTAGAAAGATCAAATTGAACTATTTGAAATTATGAATTCTTAGGGAATTCTTATTATTTTACAATATACTGCCACAGAAATAAATAAAATTAACTAGGTAATGAAATGTTTGACATCAGTGGGGGAATGCTTCAAAACTTAATTGAATGTAAAAAAATTGTTTCTTTCCTACTTTTTTGTGTTTCTCTGTATTATTTTTTATATAGTTACTCAATAAATAAATTATAAAAAGCTTGTGTCATAGATCCAAATCTACGAATGATTCTTTTAGAATTGCTGGGGCATGTCTGTGGAATTCCCTTCCATGGCATATTAGGAAGGCTCACCCTTTCAGGCTTGAAGTTTTCACATTTTTTGCAAACAATCCTTGATTTGATCAAATTAACTTAACATGATATTGTTGCTATTCTCTTTTTATTCTCTCTTTTATACTTTTCCTATCTATATATTTTAGTCATACATTTTGTTTAATTATTCGGAAATCATGAGATGCGGTTGGTGTGATGTAGGTTTCAGAAAAACATTTTCTTTATCATGCCAACATTATTTATTAAGCCATGAAGATGATCTCAATAAAGATTGAAACGTTGGCACGATAAAGAAAATACTTTTCTGAAACCTACATCAAACCAGATTGCATCTCACAATTTCTGAATAATCATCGCCTAATGGTCTCTGATCACCACACATTTTGTAAAAAAAAAATTTCTTGCATTACATTTTGTAACCTTTTTGTTATTTAATTATTTTATCTTTGCCTACTCACTGAAAAGAGTCCAAGCCCTATTTCTATTTCTATAAAATAAAATGTTTAATGAAGTCTGAAGTGATGTAGCTCATTGAGCATCTTCAATCGTCCTACTCTTGTAAGATTTATCTGTCAAGTGCATTTCAATATTTTCAGAGGGTTAGTTTGTCTGTTATTTTGGTCCTAAAGTTAGAAGTACAAATGCTGAATTGTGTCTTATGCCTAGAACAGGCAAACCAGGTTCATTAAACAATGAACTGTCTACATCAAATGTTTCATTAACAAAAATCTGCTTAGAGCTTAAAAAGTTTAATTATAAAAACTCTTCGCCTTTTTTCAGTTTAGGTTAAATCTTCATTCCACAGAAAACTATTTCCAATCTGAATGTATTTAAAATTAGGCCCATTGGTTGAGTTTGTTGACTGACTCGATTTCCGACAGACTAAAGAAAACCAACGCACAAGAATTTTCACAACTACCATTCTTATAAAGAAGACAGTATTTAATACAAATTTCTTTCTGATTTTAGGAAGAAAAAAGTTCTCTCAATAACCTCAATGAGGAACTCACTCTAAACATCACAAGATTGAATAGTGAAATAGAAGAGTACAAAAAAGAAATTCAGCTATGGAACAGAACTGAAAATGAAAAGTTAGCCGTAATGGAAAACAACGCACTAATTCAATCCAAACTGTCGCAAGCCAATACTGAAGTTACAAGAAAACAAACAGAAGTAATTTGTACTGATATAAAATCCACTTATATCATTTTGATGTTGTTTTGTTTATTTGAAGATAATTCGCCTTAACGGTGAGATTGGTAGGCTGAGAGGTGAACTGGAAAAAATAAGATTAGGAAGTGTGGTCAATCAAAATTCTGATTCTTCAAATACGATAACACAGCTTCAGGCTGCTTTGGCAATGGAGAGGGAAAATTGTAGGGACATTACTCTGGAAAGAGATAATCTAAGTAAAGAAATGCTGGAGATGCAGAGTCGAGTAAGTTCTACTAGAAAATCTTTTATATTTACATTATATAATACCTAATACATTCATTACTTTGTTAGATTAAAGAAATGGAATCCTTAATGAGTAAAAAACCCAAACCTGGAATCTGTCTTCCTTTATCTGAATCATCCAGTAATTCTGCATTCATTTCATTACACAGAAAGAATAAGGCAGAACAAGAGATTTCTGATTTCAGAGAACAACTTTCTATCAGTAAAAAAAATCTGAAAGATCTACAAGTAAGTATTATGTTTTAAATAATAAAGTAATATTTAATGTATAAATAAATCTTTTTTTACCTAATATGCCCTCAGGTTAAGTATGACCGTGATGTATACGAATTAGAACAACAGTTGAAGCGGACACAAAGAGAAAACACATCTCTTAAGCATCTAGTAGAAGATCAAAATACGAAACCTGATAGGAAACGGCTAGCATCAATCAACAGTGCCAAGGAAGACGCCCACCTTTTAGCCACTATAAGAGGACTCAAATTAGAATTAAACGGAAGGGAAAAAGATATTATGAGATTAAATAAAGAGTTGGACGATGCCAAAAAAACCAATAAAAGACTTCAAAAGGAAAGGGAAAAAGCTCTAAATCCGCTGACAAAATTAAGAAGTATAACAATAAATATTACAATTTTTTTTAAGTTGAAGTAAATGATGCAATCTTTACTTATTTTCTTTTAATTATTTAATTTTCTTTTAACTTCAGGCGCGCCATATCTTAAAGACATAGAAAAACCTAGTTCTCGAGCAAGTTCTGATGTTTCTACCACAAAAGAATACAATCCTGTTTTATTTGAAGGTATTTATCAGCCTTATCGTTAAACTATTGTGGTATTTATGCAAAAATAATCAAATGTTATTAAAAAATTAAAATTAAATTCATTTTATATTTATAACAAATTAATTTTATCATTCAACGTTCAGTTGATTTTCTCGTCATACACAATAGTTAATAATCATTTTGAGGCAAGAAGCTCAATTCCCTAGTTGTATCAGTCCTTGAAATTTTTTTTTCCTATGGATGAAATATTTCCCTTAATAAGACAGTCTGTTGCTCAAAAGAGTGATATTTTAAAAGTCAGGACTGTAATGCCGGCTTTTGATAGAAGCTCAATTTCATCCATTTTCGAAAGTAGTACTGGTCATTGCCTTGTTGAAATAAAACTTTATTTCTATTCACCAATTCCGGTCAAAACCCTGAAATTTGAAAATTTCATATCTCAACATTTTATTAAACGGATCATATAAATACTAAGTGTAAAATGTGGGCATTATTATTATTTTATAATAGAGCATAGTAATTAAAATCAAATAAACCAATAACAGTAACAATGAACAGAGAAAAATTGAAAATAATCTTTTTTCTCCTCGCATTTTATACTTGTAAACTTTAATTTCTTCTATTTATTTTTCAGAAAACCAAGAAACTCTAGCGTTTTTGAGAAATGAGAATAGAAGTCTTAAGGAAGAAATTAAAAGGTTGGAACAGGATCTGATTAGCCTTCATAACAAACGAATTCAAGACGTAAGATTGTCCATGATAGAAATTCCACCTGACAAGATTTATCCTATTAACGTTTAATAAATTAATGCTACTCCAATGAAGTTCTTTATTTTCAACTGGTATAGACATAATAAACCATCAGCTAAAATGTTTGACATTTTAAGTTTATTGTAACACTTTTAAAATATTATTATTTCGTAACTAAGCCTTTTACTCCATTGAGACAGGTATGAGAAATTAAACCATCACAAAACTTACTGAATAATTTAATATATCTTTTCTTTATTATTTCAAAGAAAATTAACATTTTTTTTAATGAAACCTAATGATTGAGTATATAAGTACTATTAATGGATAAGTGCTGAAAACATCTAAAACGGTTAAAAGTTTTTTTACTTTTGATTCCATTATTTTCAATATTTATTTTGTTTAAGTTTCAATATAAAACTATCTGCGTTAAGGACAGTAAGAAATTTTTATTAAAATAATATTTAATAACAAATAATATTTAAAATTCCATAAGTAATAAACTTTAGATAATTTCCAACAATTACAAGTTTCAAAAAGACTTGTTTATAGTATTTTTTTTTTTATTGTAGTAGCAACAATTTAAAAGGAAAAACAGTCCTTTTTTCCTTTTTTTAATTCAGCATGGATTTTAATTCTCCCTTTCAGCTGAGTGACCTTCAGGAACAGCATGAAGTGGAAATAGCTCGATTGGTACGAGAACATGCTACAAAACATTCAGCGTCAACAGTTGCTCATTTACAAAGTCAATTATATACACAACAAATGGTTATCCACCACTTAAAAGATCAAGTTAAACAGTATGTATTTAATTTACATTATTTTAATGTTGTGGCTTTGTTTTGATTTTTATTAATTTTCAAGAATGGAAGATCAGAGGAATGAAGTTGCAATGCTAAAATCAGAAAGAGACCATTTGGAGACCACTCTTTTGGAAGCGAATAAAAAAATAGCTAGACTCCATGATTTAGCCTCACCAGTGAGTTTCAGATTAAAAAATGCGATATTTATTTTTTTTTTTACACAGAAATTTATTTATCCATAGGAAAACGTCCAGTATTCGGGTTTATTGGAAAAACTCGAGTTTTTGGAGAGGAGGCATGAAGTGAGGGAGCAAAAGTTACAAGCGATCGTCCGCGATCTCGTCGCAAAGCAAGGCCAGGCAATTACCTGTGGAGCAAACTGTCGTGACAAGTTGCACAATAAAAATAGAGAAATCTGTTATTACCGAGCAGAAATGGATAAAATTCTTGCTACCCTTGCAGAATTCAGGTGGACTCAATAACTGTCAAAAATGACGTATTAACCAATTATGACTGTTTCTTCCTAGCACAAAAAGATAGCACTGGCATATTTTACGTTTATCATAGAGAATAACGACCATAGAAGTTTTATTCAAGTGTCAAACTCATGCCTAGTTTAGTGCTAGATCATAATTTAGTTTGTTAGATATTTTAATGTAGTGCTATACTAGCGCTGCAGTGGCAACATTACTTGCAGCTTATTTTACCAATAAAAGTTATGAATAATGTGACAGTTATTAATTTACATTTGGCTAGTCAATTAGCATAAGTTGTAATTAAATGAATCTCTATAATTTGTTTGTTATTATACATTATTAATTTATTAATGGTCAAATTTTCAATGCCAAAAAATAATTGATAAGATCTGTTTGTTTAAGAATAGATTACCTTTTAAAGTGAATCTCAAATGTTATTTTCATACAGTGTATTTTATAATACAATTATGCATTTAATACTAATAAAATTTATCTCAAGAAGCATTGTTGACAAATTTTTATAGTGCATGTTTGTAGATGCAATGCCTTGATTTATACATGGTATTAAGAATATAATCTGTTCATTGTATTTTAAATGTATTATGTTTGGTAAACCAAATTTAACAAAAAATCTTCCTTGCTAATGAACATCTTTTTTTCTTATAAGTAATAACTGAAGTGCAGTTAGATCTAGTGTTTGTTGTAGTAGTAGTACCTAGAATAGTTACTTTTGGTGAAAAACAAATATCAATGAGATTTGTGTTGTATGTAAAATTTGTACATTAAAATTTGGTCAATTGTTGGTATTAATTTGAAAAAGACATATATATAAATGAAATCAGACAATATTTATTTTAAAAAAAGTACAAATTATATTAATCACTAGATGTCGTAGACAATTTTATGTTTGATTTTTTTTAATGTTGGTAGATGGATAATTTCTAATCATTCTCGCTGTTTTTATTGTTATTATGCCATCAATGAACCACTAAATGGGGGATTCAGGGAAGCCATGAGGATGGGAAAATAATGTTGCAGGGTTATTTACTTAATGAAAGATCATTGTAAATTTTAAAAATGCTCAGTACAGATTATAAAAACAAAAAATCCAAGGGCAAGATCAGCACTCAGTACCACATGAAAATCGGTTATCCTAATGACCTCAGCCACTTTGATTCTTAAAATAATTAATATTTTAAAAATCATAAGATCAAAAAAAAAAATGAGCGTATTTATGTATAAAGATGGTTGCTAATAAAAGATAGAAAATATTAACATAATTATAACTTAAATAAGTTTAGCACTGATTTACACTGGCGACGACACACGCCGTTTTTGAATTTTAGCCGTTTCAATTCGATAACTTCTCAAAAATCAGAAAAATTTTAAAATAATAAATAAATAAATTTAAATTCAAACAATAATTTATATTTTGGGGTCTCTAGAGGTGCTAAAACAAAATTTCATATTAGTTTCATGGAAAAAAAGATGACCTAGATTACTTGAAAAATATTTGGTTTTTAGAATTTTTTTGGTTATTAATAAACTTTGATAGCTTTTACTATATTTTTACTGCAATTTTCATAAAAAATGCTGCAAAATGATATATTCACAATAGTTGATACGAGCAAATAGAAAGGCGAAATAAAAATATTTAAAAAAATGAAAAATTTCAACTTTCAAAAAATTGTTTGGTGAAACCAGGGCCTGTTCACAAGAAGTGGCATATAGTGTCTGATATTTTGGAGTTTAATCACAAAAAACAAGTTTGGTACAAATCTGTGACCTGCTTGCTTTGCTGGTTAGGTATGGCATTGCTAAGAAGGAGTAGAAACATCAGCACACCCTATTCTATGTGGCAATGTTTAGTCCACACATAATACTGTCATTTTGGAAAAAAAAACAGTGGAATGGAAACTAGGAAAATTTTTATATTCCTAAAGAAGTGCACTTTCCATAGTACGGACGTTCAGGGTCAATCTACAATAAACCCAATTAGATCACAATGAAAAGTAGGTCTTTAAAACACCAAGTACCCCATAAAAAAGTTTAGTATTACTCGGGAAATGTTGTTATAATGTCAAAAAACAAAATTTCATAAAAATATTTTTATATTCGTTCATGCGGCTGACCGTTAACCAATTCATTTGTTATGTGTAGTGTTTAGTGACTGTTAATCAATGATTATTCAGAGATCATGAGATTCAGTCTGGTGTGAGGTAAGCCTGGGATTTACAAACATTGTTTAAATTTAACAAACACATGCAAAATAAGTTTTTTTTTCAATCAAGGTATTTTTTGCATTGTATAAATTCATTTTTTTTTTCTTTCCACATCCTACATGTATTTGTAAAATTTAAACAATGTTTGTAAATCCCAGGCTCTGAAGATGATCTCAATAAAGATCGAAACGTTGGCACGATATATAAAATGTTTTTATAAAACCTATGCCACGCCAGACTGAATCTCCAAATAATCAGTTATAGTTTAAGTGTCATTTCATTTTGAAGAAAAAATAATGGTTTTTGTCATGGTTTTTTTCTTTTTTTTTTAAATGACCATATGTACACATTGCAAAAATTTGTGCTTACTAAACCTTTTATTTAAGGTGTGTTCAAATATTTTAAAATTCATTTGAATGTTTTCTTCTTAAGCTATTCTTAAATAGAATTTTGTTAGTTCAGGAGAATTTGCCATACTTTATTATTTTAAATAATTTTGGACCGTTATCATGTTAAAGATAATTTATGATTTTCAAAATTTTAGGGAACAAAAAGAGATTTTTGTTAAAGTGCGATACTGATTGGAATTGACTTTTTTTTCTTTTTATTCTTAATTCTTATTCCTTAAAACAAAAAGGGCTTATATTGAGTTTTTTTTTTAATCAGAAAGGGCTAAATTTAGTTTAAATATTTTACTATTAGAGATGCAAGTACAGTTATCAGAAAGTGTCAAAGAGGTGAGTAAACGCTGAAAAAAACTTTTCTTCGGTTCTCTAAACAAGAGATAAATTTATAATTTCGATTTTAAGTGAAAATTAACTACCCACAGATATGTATTCATTATGTTTAGTTTTATTTGATTTAATTTGAAATAGGGAAATTCTCGGTGTAATCGAACAGTTTTTGAAGCAAACCTGTAGTTGGATGACTTGTTTTTCGTGGGTTTCGCGACTGTATCACATCCGATATAGCTTGCTCGTTTTAGCGTAGTATGTTGATTGTCTTAAAACAAAAAAAAGCTACATTAAAGTGATTTTTGACCATTTTTTCAAAAACTCTCATGAACTTTTAGTCCGTAATTGATTTCTTAAACATCGGAGCGATTTTTACATGCTGTATTTGAAACCTAAACCGCACATTTACTAAGAAAAAGGTGAGTTTAATCTAATAAACGTTTGTGTTTAAATCGGCATTTTAGACAATTTAAAGGGTTGAAGTTATGTCGAGTTTTACACTCACGTTCGTGTTTATGCCGAACTTATAAAAACTTTATTAACGTTGGATTTCGTTAGGAAACAGAAAATGGACCGGTTATTAAGATTGGGAGGAGGAATGCCAGGGTTGAGCCAAGCACCTCCGCCGTCAGACGCTCCAGTTGTGGATACAGCGGAGCAGGTATACATTTCATCTCTCGCCCTACTCAAGATGCTCAAGCATGGACGGGCCGGTGTGCCGATGGAGGTCATGGGTCTCATGCTTGGTGAATTTGTCGACGACTACACCGTTCGAGTCATAGATGTGTTCGCCATGCCGCAGACCGGAACGGTAACTAATCTACACAAACACAAAAATTGAAGATTTCTACAACATATTATTTCCAGGGAGTCAGTGTCGAAGCGGTTGACCCAGTATTTCAAGCGAAGATGTTAGATATGCTAAAACAGACGGGGAGACCCGAAATGGTCGTCGGCTGGTACCATTCACATCCTGGGTTCGGTTGCTGGCTCTCAGGTGTTGACATCAACACTCAGCAGAGCTTTGAAGCTTTGTCAGAACGGGCTGTGGCTGTTGTAGTTGATCCAATTCAGAGTGTTAAAGGTAGTTATCATTTTATTTTTATGTAGTAATGTTGTATATTTAGATGTATTAGTCGGGGTGATATACTGCACCCTTTAAGAGCTATTGTATCTCCAGTTCTTTGCCTATAGTACACCGGTGAGTCCTATTTCATCAAGGAACGTGATTAGTAGGCCCAGTTTCAGTGGTTGAATTTCTTCTACAGTCACATTGTACATCTCAAAGCACTTCCTCCTGTGGGCAAGTGTAGCACCACAGTTCCAATCTTCTTTAAATGCCCATTTAGTTTGCAGTGTCCTGTTAAGAATCCTGTTAGTTTTTGCCTGCTTCCTTTGATACATTCTGTCACTTCTTTTCTTCTGAAATTTGCTAGGAGGTTCTTGGATTGTTTGTGTCCAGTGAGTGAATTCCATTGTTCCTTCATTTTCTTTATATCCTTCTGAGGTTGCTAATGTGTATTCCTATGCCACAGAAATGCTCGGGTCCTATCAGCGGTATAGCAGCCCTTTCCTTGCAAAGGTATCCGCTTTCTAGTTGCCTTCTACTCCCACATGTCCTGGGACCCAGCAGAGGCCGACTTTGTACTGTGTACCTAATAAGTTTAATTAGGTTTTGCAGTTCATCATCATCTTTGAAATAATGATATTTGAGCTTAGTGCTTTGATGGCTGCTTGGCTATCTGATGTTTTTTTTTTCTCTCTCTCTCTCTTTAGTTAAGTGGAATTGAGTACATCTCTCGATTGCATGGGCTTCAGCTTGGAAGATACTAGTGTGTTTTCCCATGGGTTCTGAGTGTTCGGTTCTAGGACCAAACACTCCTACCCGTATATCTCCTTGTGTTCTAGATCCATCTATGATGGTGTCTTTCTTAAAGGAGAATGTGAAAGTATCATTTAAGCCTGAAATAACTATTGCTGGTTGAACAATTTTTCATGTTTGTTTTGGGTTAAATTCCTTAGCCTTATTGCACCTGATTCCTTAGAACGAGGATAATTATTTTTTTGAATCGTTCTTGATCCTCAAGGCCTGCTTCATCTATTCAAAACCGTAATCTGGGGTTGATCTGGTTGATTTATTTGTTCCTGTGTGAGTACTTTTTTCTTTGTGCTGATGCATCCTTTTGGTGATGTAAACACCTAATGCCTAGTACACACTGAGATTCTTTGAATCGATTCATGTTGCGGGGCAGAGTCGGGGCTGCGTAGATTCATTGTTGCGATGCAGCCCCGGCTCTGCTCCGCGACAAAGAACCGTGTCCAGACCAAGATTCAGTTCACATTCATCAGTGCCTGCGAAAATGACGGGGAACTAGCTCTCAAGAATTTCCCTTGCTCTTTTTTGCATTGTACATAGTGCATCCAATTGGAAATGCATTAAAAAACTGTCATTTTAAAGTGTGCATTTTTTTCAATTTTGGCGACGGAAACACTGAATTTTTGGGTTAAACCATTCAATGTTTGGCTTTTCAATTCCTGATTTCTGTATTCCGTGAATGATACATCCCACAAACACCGATGGGAATGTATGACTTCAATATACTGTAAAGTCGACTCGGTACTCCACAACATACCTTTAATACAAGACAGTATCAAAATCTTCAAGAAAACACTCACTAGAATGTCAACTAAACAAATAAAGTGAGCGTTGTTCCGATTCACGTCCGCACTGGCAAATGTTGCACAACATTGAGTCAAAGAATCCCACATCAGATAGGATTCAAAAGAGTCTGAAAATGCTACCCCGCAATACACCAGATTCATCGTGACAATGAGTCGGGGCAGCCCGGACTTAGGCTAGACACAGCCGAGTCTCTCCGGAGATTCAAAGAGTCAACTCAAAGAATCCCACTAGGCCTAATCCTCTTATGCAACTAAACATGTTAATAGTTGTCATGTGCTGAAGTTATTCAAGGTTCATTTCTTTCTTTCAGGTAAAGTAGTAATTGACGCCTTCCGGTTAATAAATCCGAATATGATGGTTCTTGGACAAGAACCTAGACAGACTACTTCAAATTTAGGACATTTACAAAAACCTTCAGTTCAGGTACTATTTTTGGTTCTTTAATAAAACTTTATGTATGATCATTAAAAACGATCGAATTTTTAGGCGTTGATTCATGGTCTGAATCGTCACTACTACTCCATAAGTATAAATTATAGGAAGAATGAACTCGAGCAGAAGATGCTACTAAATTTACACAAGAAATCCTGGATGGATGGCCTCATGCTTGCCGATTACACTGAAAATTGTAAAATCAACGAAACAACTGTGAGCGACATGCTTGAACTCGCCAAGAACTACAACAAGGTAATTTGTGATACATTTGAATACAATGCCAATTGAATAATTAACTTATTGTTTTTAAAGGCCTTGGAAGAAGAAGAGAAAATGACACCAGAGCAATTGGCGATAAAAAATGTTGGAAAACAAGACCCCAAGAGGCATCTTGAGGAGAAAGTCGACGTCCTCATGACGGCAAACATCGTACAGTGTCTTGGAGCTATGCTTGATACGGTTGTTTTCAAGTAGTCAAGCAATGAACTCACCGGGGATGATTTATGTGTACACTTTTCCCCACATACTATTTTTTTGTTATTCTAACAATTTTTAAAATAGAGTTTTTCTTAATATTTTTCTGTGAGTTTTATTTATATTTTCAATAAACATTTTGTTCTCAATTAAATTTATAAGACAGTCTATTATTTACCAATTTGTTTAGGTTACATGTATTTTGTTTTGCTTTTTTTAGTTCTAATATAAAACTTTCGTTACATATTTAATATTAACATTTTCTTTTATTAAAAACCAAGTATTCTGCCTAGAAAACACATGTAGTCATATTATTCCAGGTGTTCATTAAAAAAAAAAATATGTCCCATAATTGACTTAACAAAAGGCTGATCCTTGGTTTACTTGGTCGTTCTGAGAAATATCGCTTATGCAGGTAATCATTTTTATATTATTTCAAGTCTAAAAATAAATAAATGGCTTTCACCATATGAAATTTTGGAAATAAGAAAAACATGTGAAACCATCAGTGACTTATTGTTTTTATATTAATAAAATATTCCAAGAAAGCTTAGCTTTTTGTATTTTCACTTTTCCAATTATTTTTTTGGAATTAATTTTTATAGTGTAACGAAAATACTGTCTTAAACAAATATATATGTTATATTAAAAGACAGACAATTCTTCAATACAAATGCTAATTATCTAACGTGAAAAAATGTGTGAATGTCATTTCTAAACACTTTTAAAAAAGTTGACCTTTTAAAAAGAAGTGTCGAATCTTAAATCCATGTAAAATACAGTCATAGGTGTAGTTTTTAATAATGTTCTATTTGAAAGCATAATTTTTTATAGCATAGCAAAGTATGACTTTAATTAAGAATATTCGTTTGTCTCATGGTTCAATTTTTATTTTTGTAAAGCTCATATAAAGACAGCGAATCCAATACTGGCAATTTTGTACTCTTAAGTTCTACAAAAAAAAATTAATAATAATAATGACGTGAATACAAACTACTAAAAGAAATTTAATCAATTAAGTTTAAATTTGAAAAAGATTAATTATTTTCAAAACATTTTTGATTTTCTTCAAACATTCATGATAGCAAATATAATGGTATACTTACAAAAATATCTTTGTTGCACAAGTTGACTTTAGATTGAACACTAGCTTTTTTTCTCTGAAAAGTGGTTTTTTCGGATTTGAAATCATTTGTATACTTTTTCCAATATTTTGCCATTTTTATGAATATATTTTCTATCTAGCCCCTACAAAACCTGGAATAGTACTAGTACACATAAAAATGAATTAGGGAACTTTTCATGATAATGGCCCGGAAAAAATACGAAATCAATATGAATATCCATATGCTTAGCAGTCATAACTACCTATTTAATTATTTCAGAATTTGAACTCACGATCATTGGCTTAATAATGGCGTTGGTGTCTGAGTGGATCAGTCATGATAGCTCAAGTGGTTAGAGCAGTGGCATATTGAGCTGATACAAGAAATAAATCCATCATGTTTAGTGGTCCAAATGACCAAATTACCTCTTTCAATTAATTATTCTTTTTATGTTAGGTGTTGGATGAGATGAAAAAGTCAGTGTCATGAGCAGGATCCGAACCCACTAAAGCCGATGGTCGTGGTTCGAATCCCGCTTGTGATGCTAACTTTTTCATCTCATCCAACACCTAATATAAAAAGAATAATTAATTGAGATAGTTAATATGGTCAATTATGACTGCTAAACATGTATGGATTAATATAAAAAAAGTTTTGCAAAAAATGTGGATTGAGTCAGTTTTGAAAATAATCGCCTCAAATTATTCAATGACATTCATCTTACTAAAGAATAAGCTAAAAATGATCAAAACTTCAGAATCAGAAGAGTGGATTTTTGGGCTCAAATGGATATATATTTTTTTTTATAATTAATTTTACTGGGTGGAATTTGCTGAAAATCTGTGTGAAATTAGGAACAGGATTCATTTGTTCTGAAGAAAACCCACTTTAAAAAACGAATTAATGATAGTTAACATTTATTGTTAGTAAAAGTTTTAAAAATAAAAAAATAATAATTTTAAAAAAAATGGACCCCCATACAAAATTTCATTTTTGTGCAACACTGTACCGTGTAGAAGAATAAAGCGGGAAAATCAAATTTGTTAGTATGATTACGTTAAATTTAAATTCTAATGAAAGATTATTTTTATATCTTTCAGCTTTTTTTCTAGTGTTAATTTTTGTTAAAAGATTTCAATTTTTGTGTATTTTAATGGTTATTTTTATTGAAACATGTCTAGAGAGTGGGCGTGGCAGGGTAAAGTTCTGGAAGTAAGAGCAGCCAACTCAATTTATTTTTCAGGAATTCCATGTACACGGTAAAACGCTATTTTAATTGTATAACCGACCTTATATGTTATTTTTTACTGTATGATTAATAAAAATATTATTTTATAATAGGTCTATTGTGGTTTTTATTTGGAATAAATTGATTTTTCTACGACGAACATAACCGAGATAAGTTGGCCCTAATGCGAACATCTGGTCGAACTGACAGTCAGACGGCCGTTCTGTTTTGTAGTGGGTAGGGCAGATTGTCGAATTGTTCTATTCCATTGCGATTTGAATATCAACCAAATTTGAAAGAAAATACTGGAAAATGGCTAAGGCGAATCCAGACTCAGAGACTCTCAAAGGCCTCCAAGACGAGAAAATCGGTAAGGGAACAATCGCACCCCCAGACATTTAACACATTCCCAACAAATCTGCCTGCACTCAGAATTCTTTTCTTTTGGCAGATATGCTCGTCGCTACCAGCGTACTGCAGCAACAGGCTTCCGAAATCAGGGGTCAGCAGATCAACTGGCAGTGTTACTTGCAGTAAGTACAGTTTTGTTACAATTTCGCCTTGGCCGAACAGAAAGACATTATGTAATTGTGTGATTTTATTGTTTGTCCTTTCAATTAGTATTTGGCAATATTGGGCCTTTACTATCTCATTTGTAAGCTTTATTTTTATTATTTTAACTATGGAAAAGCCCAAGATGATAGTGGACTGCACTAAGAATCCAAAGTGCATGAACTGGTCATAAAGAAATGTAAACCAGAGCCAATCTTTTTATCTTACATAAAACCTAAAACACTCGATTAACAAGCAAATGATCAAATTAGCATAAAATGAAACTACATGTTTAAAGGTATTTAAAGGTTTAACTTGATCAAAATGGTTAGTTCCTTTTCTTGGGGAGCCAACAGAACAAGCCTACTGTGACTTTATAGGAGTCTAGTTTGGTCAAAAATAGACTATTTGTCAAGTGTATGGGTCTGCTTCTCAACGAACTTTATAAATTATCGATACAATTCACAGAGGTCTTCGTCAAGCTATCGGAACTTTCCGCTTTAGTCCGGTCAATAGCGTGTTTGTAGAAGCGGGAGACCTTCCACTGCGACATAGACTGTGTCTCTTAGAGGGTAAATATTTTACAAAATTGGTCATTCCCTGCCTTCTCACATCCTCTTGCAGAACTATTTCCTGACCGAAAACCCATTCCTTACGCAGAATGGAATGTGACAAAAACCAAGGAATTTTTCTGTTAATGTGCCTTCGCCCCACTCGATTGCTAAGATATCTCTCTCCGGTCATTTATGGAAATGCTCCTTTAAAGGTAATCATAAATACAGAAACATTTTATTTTAACTAATTTGTGTAATGATTAATTGGTAATAAAGGAATTTGAGGTCCTGGGGGCAAAAATTCAGCTATTTCACTAATTATCACATCGTTAGGAGTCCAATGAATTTCGGCGAGTACCCCACTGCCATTTGTTCCTCGCCTTTGCTTTTCCCAATACTCTCTCGATGGACAGTGTATGTGCAGGGTGGTCGGGTCGGCAAAATTGAGAGAGTAGTTCACTGTCATGGCGGAAACTAGGATCCTGGGACAATGTTTCATGTGCCTTCCACTGATTGGAGATGGTGACAGATCCAGCAGTGATCCGATCCCAAATTATAGTGATGAGAGTGGTGGCTGATCTCTTTGGAACGGCGACTAGAAAACTTTCTCTTGTTTGGTGGCAAATGCCACCAAAAAACCACTGATATGGTAAGAATCTCCCGGTGTTGGTTTTCTGGTGCGAAAACAGGGATTCATCAATTTCCACAGTCAATTGGGGTCACCAATACTTAAATGTCTGTGCAAAAAGAGTTGGAACAGACTTTGTGCATGTAGTTGCACCAATCAACGAACGGGTTATGCTTTATACTTCACTCTCTTTCACAAAATTTAACGCTTACTATTTTGTATTCCCAAGCTTATACGAACAGCACGATGGTCGAATATGGCAGTCTTGAGCAGATTAGATATGTGTTAGTTATTAACATCATTTCCACCTTGCACCCATACTTGTAGCACCTCCACTTGTCACGCAATTCTGTCAAATTCAGCCTCGCGTCGTGACCTCCTGAACATCGCACAGCTAGTGGAAGAAGGCCCTTTTCCTGAAGGAATGAACTGCCGATTCGTATAGTGCCAGAAAGTTCATTTTTATTTAACACGGAACTCTTTGACAACTGGTATACAACACAATACACCTTGGCTCAAAACATAAAATAACATAGGCTAAGAGCAGAAGCCCAGAAACCTGACCTTTGTCTCGATATCTGTCACTGAACACTGTCGAGTGGGGCGGAGGCACATTAACGGAAAAGGTCCAAAACACTAGACATCACTTTGCAATTCGAGTTTCAGCCTTTTTAATGAAAACCCTCCCATTAAATTCCCAAAAATTGAAAGAAAAAAAACGTTCCTATTCCCTATACCTCAATGGCTAATTGCCTTCCCTAGCATAGATTTTTTATTGAATTGTTTTCCCAAAGATACCCCTCCAGATTCCGTGTATAGAGAAGAATTACTTAAATTACTAAGCTCCTATAAGGGATCACCTTAAGTATTTATAGAAGGACCAAAGGCGTTGGTGCCGAATTTTTCTGTAACAATAGGAAAATGATGTTCTCTTTGCCAATGGTCTGTTGTAATTTTATAGCTGAACTACCAACCATAAATAAATGCCTCAACGTAGGTGATTACAAGTCCCCTAATGGAAGAAGAACTGAAGAACAGGTTTAGTTTTTTCAACAAGCAGTTGATCCCCCCCCCCCAGACAGAATTAAAACTGGGGCAAGTATCGAATTCGAAAATAGATTTCAAGGTAGAATCTGAAGTAATTTCTTTCTTGAAACAGAAAACAGTGTGACCACCCAGGTCTTGCAGCATTGTTTCTCAACCTGTTGGGAAGCATTGCCAAAGAACGTCTCCAAACTTTAAAGGTGTGCTTTATTAATCAACATGCCATTCGCAAGCTCCATTGATCCACATCCATCAACTGATCATTATTAAAAAAAACGTGAAGTGGTTTTTGTTTTAATGTGGCCTGGTGTCCTTTGTTTAAATCAGGGCTTCCCAAAATTTTTAGCCAGCAGACCCCTTTCTCAAAACAAAATCCAGGGTGGACCCCTTACATTCAAGTATTTAAAATTAGATACTTACAGTATGTAGTAAATTAAAATTTTATTAGGTGTGGTCAGTCCTTAATTAGGTGATGGAGGGGGATATCACTATGAAAACAAACATTTGGTCGACATACTTAACTTTATATATAAAATCCGAAACACAAAAATCAAATTGGGCAGAATGGAATCAACAGTTATGTAAAACTCGAGCCAATTTTAAAAGTAATAATTTGAACATGAATGATTAATGAATTCATTGGAAGAGTGAAGTTCATTACTTCATAACGTACAGAAAGGTAAAAAAATAAAAATCCATTAATTTATGCCTTAAGAGCAGGAATAGCCAAGTGTATGAGTGATTTGGTCACAGACCCGACCCCGATTCATTTTCAGGGGGATTCAAACCCACGACCTTTGGCTTTGAATAATAATATTTTAATTTGAACTTCGTCTTATAATTTTATTAAATTTGAAATTTTTGTGATAGAGGGCTAATGATTTCACAAGAGGAATTCAACACCATTGTCGCATTCGATACTACTGATGCTGCAAAGAGGGAACGTGTTATCAAATCCAACCCAACTCAACTTGCTAAAACTTTTCTCAACATTCTTGAACATGTGTCAAAAGACAGTACAATTCAGTATGTCCTCGTCCTCATTGACGATATGCTTCAGGTTAGACACAAAGTTTAGCCTTACATGATTATTTATTTATTTTTAATTCAAAACTAAAATTGATTGTTTTCTTTTTTAAAGGAGGATCTTAAGAAAGTGGAAATATTTCGAGAACACTCCGTCCGCAAAAAGGAACCTATTTGTGGTCAATTTCTAAATTTGTTAAATGGATCCGATGGTTTTATCGTCAATATGACTGCAAGGATTATTGCTAAGATTGCTTCTTACAATACTGAATTGATAAGCAAATCTGATCTCAGCTTCTATCTAACATGGTTGAAAGATCAGTTAAAAATTCCTGTACGCATTTATTTTTTTTTTTAATCTTTCATCAGTTTATTGTAGTTATTTATTTATTTATTTTTTTTTTCTTAAAGAACAACCAGTACATGCAATCAGTTGCACGATGTCTTCAGACAATGCTCAGAATTGATGAATACAAGGCAGCTTTCATTTCAGTCGATGGGATCACAACTTTACTCAGTGTCCTTATTGGTCATGTTAATTTTCAAATTCAGTATCAGCTAATTTTTTGCATTTGGGTTTTGACATTCAACCCAAAACTTGCTGAACGAATGAATAAGTATGCATTTTTAAAATAATTTTATATTTAACATACATATTATACTGTATTTCTAGGTTCAGCGTAATTCCAATCTTGTCAGATATCTTGAGTGATTCTGTTAAGGAAAAAGTGACCAGGATCATCCTTGCAACCTTCAGGGTACATTTGTTTAAACAATTTTAAATTTTCTGTGTCTGATCTAATATAAAATTTTAGAACCTGATTGAAAAACCTGAAGATGCTTCAATTTCAAAAGAACACTGTATTGCTATGGTACAGACCAAAGTTCTTAAACAGCTTAGCATTCTGGAACAGAGGAAATTTGACGATGAAGACATTGTCGAAGATGTGCAATTCCTGAATGAAAAGCTTCAAGCATCTGTTCAAGATTTAAGGTTTGAATACTTTGACAAACTCTATTGAACAAATATGAGTTATAAGATTTTTCTTTTAGCTCATTTGATGAGTACGCGACAGAAGTTAAAACGGGACGACTTGAATGGAGTCCAGTGCATAGGTCTGCCCAATTCTGGAGGGAAAATGCTGGGCGACTTAATGAAAAGAATTATGAACTTCTTAGAATATTAATTCATTTGCTAGAAACAAGTAGGGACCCATTGGTTCTTAGCGTCGCATCTTACGACATCGGTGAATATGTCCGACACTACCCGAGAGGAAAACAGTGAGTGTTAAGTGTAACAATATTATAACAAAGTGTAATTTTTTATTTTTCCAAGTGTGATCGAAAACCTTGGAGGGAAGCAGCTTGTAATGCAGTTACTTTCACATGAAGATCCCAACGTGAGATACGAAGCCCTTTTGGCGGTCCAGAAGCTCATGGTCCACAATTGGTCTGTTGAAAATTATGTTTTCAAACTTTAAACAACGAGTAATATTAACATTCGTATTTTAGGGAGTATCTTGGGCGCCAGCTGGAAAAAGAACAGACGGCAACAGCCGGCAAACCCACATCAGGAGTGCTCACCGGGAAGGCATAGAAATTTGGAAAGTATTGATTTTTTTGGTTTTGGTGCTAGTTTAGAAATGTTGCATATTTCAGTTTTCTTTTAAAACATCTTATCAAAACATGTTACACCCATATTTTTTTTCATTATAAAAATGTACATTCCTTTAAAAATTGCATTTCTGTACAGCTTGTTACCATTCTCTGATGTTTGTTGTATAGTGTATCATGTAAATAGTGAATTATGTATCTCAAAATCCAATTGTTATGATTGATATCAATAAAAAAATAATGATATATAGTTAATTTGTGTTTATGTATTATAAATGGAACAATCTTAAATTAATTACAAACTAATTTATCCCTTGTTCAGACCCAGAAGACCGCATGTATTCTATTAAATATCCATTCAAATAATTAATTGAATTAGCTTTAAAGCTAAGAATTAATTATGAATAGGGATACTAAGCAGTGGAGGGTTACGTTCCCAAAGCAGTGCAGCTTTTGGATTATGGTACTTTCCTAGGTGCTTAGTTCAGTGCAGTCAAGAAGTTCGTTAGGGGCGTCATTGTGTAATTATACGATAGAACCTTCCTCATTTTTAAATTTAACCTTTTGTACATTTTTACGATTAACTAAAATTTCAAGTTTTCCCCTACAAGTTTTTTTTTTTTTTAATAATGTGAAATACATTTATATTTTTCCTTCTCAAAAATACTTTATTTGAAAGAATTATAGAGGACAGCACTTCAAAGGAACTTCCTCATTCTTCTTCCTTTTCCTTTGGCTCCATGACGGTTTATTTTTTTATTAATCATAAAATAATTGTAATTATTTGTATGAACATTTTTTATATGAATGTATGTTTTATATATTTATTTTATATGAATATATATGAATCATTTTACAATTGTGTTTAATTATTTATAATTATAAATAAATTTGATACAAGTAATTAATTCATTATGTTTAGTGGTCTAATTGACCAAATTACTTCTTTCAATTAATTATTCTTTTTATGTTCTTGGTTGAGAAGACAAGCATCACGAGGAGTTTATGAACCGACCAAAGCCAAAGGTCATGGGTTCGAATCCCACTCATGGCGCTAACTTTTTCTTCTCAACCAAGACCTTACATAAAAAACAAGTTATAAATTTCAACTTATACAATATTAATCCATATATGTTTAGGGGTCATAACTGACCTATTTAATTATTTCAATTAATTATACTTTTTATCTAGTCTTCTTGAGATGAAAAAGTTAGTGACATGAGCAGAATTCGAATCCATGACCTGCGGCTCTCCACGTAATGAAGATGTTTTCTCTGATCTCATCGACTGGTAAATAATCCTCCCCCCACTCTAATTATAGCAGTTTGCCAGTCTTGGTGAAGTTTTAATAAGCTTATAACAAAGAATTAGTTAATATATAAAAATTATTGACAAAATCAACTACTAAGAAATAAAAACTAATAGATTTATTTTATAATAAGGCAATATTTACACAAGGTTTTGTTAATTTACAACAAATATTTATAATAAAATATTTACAATATAATTTTCACAAAGTCATTATGTGTACTGCTTTAGTGACTTTTTCTTTTTTCCGTTTTAATTTTTCTTTTTGTTTGTGCTCTATTTCAGCATCCTTGAAGAGCTGAATTCCTTCTTTTTCTTCCAAATTCCTTTGGATGAATTTCAAGCCGTATAAATTAAGGCCTACCATGTCCTGGAACCAATTAAAAAAAAATTAAATTAAATTAAATTAAAAAAAGGAATGCTTTCAAAATTTACCTTGAACTGCTTAATCGTCGCCATGGCTGGTTCTTGGATCTTTTCGATCATTTGAAACTTGGCTATATCCGCTGTTATTGGGCCGTTATGCACTTTCAACAAAAGGAGAACAGTTTTGCAAGCCACTTCAGTCGTAAGAGGGTTTGACAGTAGTTTTGGTAGTAATTCCATCATAAACGTCACCAAGTGAAAAGGCAATAAAAGCAATGCTTCACCTAGCTCACTAAACAAAAATTTATTTATACTTAGAACAATTTATTGTTAATTAATTTTGTCAAACCTTGGTCTTATGCTCGTTAATGCTTTAGCTAAGTAATCCTCAACAGTTTTTAAATTGAATGCTTTCATTTCTATAGGTAATTCTGGTCTAATTCCTGAAAGCAAGTCGTTGTTGTATTTTTGTATGGAAGTTAAACACTCCATCAGAGTCTCAGCCTAAGAATGAAAAATGTCATGTAATTGAGATGTTATATGTAAAAACAAAATCATACTCAACATACCCCTTTCTCTGCAGTTAATGTCTTCGTAGAAGGAAGTTTTACAAGAGAATCTTGCCCGGTGGCCAATTCTTCTTTTTCCCTCTCTTCTTCCTGTTCATCACTCAAAACAAGAGGTTCGTCTGTTTTTTCAAATAATCTCAACACCCTGTCTTTACCACAAGTCACGACAAAATTATCGCAAACGCTCAGATTCCAGCATTCACCGAAATGGCCCTTAATAAAAAGAAAAGAAAAATCGATAAATCACAAGTTCTTTAAGAAAAAAAGAAAAAAAAATTACATACATCCAAGGTAATAATTTTGTTGAATGTGTCTGCATCCCATTGTTTGACTTTTCCGTCTTTTCCAACGGAAAAAAAATAATGCGTGTTCGGCACGAATTGCACCATCATCACTGAATCGTCATGGGCAAATATAGACTTATGACAATCACCAAAGTCCAGGCCCCAAATTTTAATATTTCTATCAGCACTGCCAGTGACTATGATTGAAGAGTCATAGGAAATATCGGTGGAGAGAATAGGCAGTTTATGACCATATAGACTAAGAAAAAACTAAAACAAAATTTAGAAAAATTAAGATATAAAAGTGTACAATACACTTACAAGTGTATAAAAATAATTATCTATAGGAAAAGCTGTTAATATTATATCAAAAGTAATAAACAAATCATTAAATCTAATAAAATAAGTAATTTTAATATGCTGATATTTACAATATTTCAGTTACATTAAACAAAAATGAGACTTTTGCTAATTGTCTATAATAAATTCAAATATTTCCACAATTAAAAAAAAAAAAAAAATTATTTGAATTTTTTCTAATAAGCAAATGTTTATTTATTCAAGCTGGCTTCTTAAAATAAAATCTATCTGAAGCTTTGACGTCTCCAACCTGAAAGTATAGTCTGACCAGGATGATCCAATCAAACTACCTATTTAACCGACTAGTTAGCATAATTAGACTTGGCTCATAGGCCCCACGGCCGTGGGTTCGAATCCCATTCCGTTCCAAAAAAATACGCACATGCATATAACAGTCTCCTTGGCTAATATGCTTAGTAAAAACTTTATTGATGTTAACAATTTATACTTAACTACTGACAAATTATTACTACTAGACTAGTTTGTAGTTAAGAGATTTCTTGTCAGACTCCATTGACTATTTTATATTAAACTTTTGTAAAAAGAACTTTTAATATACTAATTTTAAATATATCCACATATTTTCTTTTAATATATTTCTAGTTATTTATTAATTTATTTTATTTTATTAATTTATTTAATATTAATGAGTAATTGGACTATAATTTTCTGTAACACTAGAGACTCAAGGAGCCTTAGCTCTTGGATTTTTAAAGTTTACTTAAATTGAAGCTAATTATAGAATAAATTCCCCTGAAAAATAGAATAGAAACCAGGGATTGGAGGAATTCTCTCCTGTACTTTATTCCTGGCTCCATATTTTGGGGGAGGGCTTGCAACACAAGTGTGAATTTGAGCCCCCGGTGTGCCGGTGTTCTTCCATCGATGAAACTCATTTTTGAAGGGGGTTAGGACCAAATTCAGGGTCACTGAGATCCGATCCCGCCCCTTCCATTGATGAGTGCCGTGTCAATTTCTTTCAATTGCGGCCACCAGTCCCCTTAGGCATCAGAAAAATCAAGAGGCAGCGGTGGGGATCGAACCCACGACCACGGGATCTACTAGCCCGAGAGTCTGATGCCTTAACCACTCGGCTACCGTGGCCCGACAGACAGACTTTTTACCTCACCCAATACCTTACATAAAGAATTAATACAAAAATTTCTCTTTTATTAAATTTTGATATACAACAGTGTTTTTATTATTCACAAATTATATCAGTCTTTTTTAATTTGTAATTTATATTTTTTTATCATTTTAATTTGGGTTAAAGCCATTGTCTATGCCAAGATTTGAACTCAGAACTGCTTGCACGGCAAATACTAGTCAGATGCTTAAATCATATTCACTCAGTCACCCTGGACTCCTTTTTTGTAATACATGTGCATATATTTATTTATTTTACTTACTTTAAATGTATCCCAGAAAAATATTTTGACTGTAGAGTCAAGTAGTGCAGCAGCTATTAACTTTCCGCATGGTGATACTTTGACTGATAACACAGCATCGGACAATTTTAAAGTTCTGACATGTTGAACAGATAGTACTTTTCCCTTTGAACCATCAACATTGACAAGTTCAAAAGTCCAAACCTTAACGGTAGTGTCTCCACTGCAAGTAATCGCACCAGCCTGTTGGAAAATACCATAATAAAATTTGTAAAAAAATGTATTCGTGGTAGTCGTCATACTTGATCATGGGTCTTTATGACATTCCAAATTTCGGCTGTGTGGGCTTCAACATCCTCCAATATATCGCCGGAAGACAAATCCACTACTAACAGATGGCCACTTTTTAGCCCAACCAGAGCATGCCTGTCACCGGGTACAAAACAGATGGACAAAGCGTAATCCGTTTCTATAGTCCTTAAGCAATTAAGTGATGTCCTACAAACCAATTAATTTGATATTTTTCTCATCAACTTTATAAACCTTAATAAATTGTACCTGTTCCATATTTTAATAGAATTTGACCCAGCAGATGCGATAGCTAAATTATCAGAGCTGAAAGCTACAGCTCTCACCTCTCCCTGATGTCCAGGGTTCACAATCCTACGAAGACATTTGCCTTCTTCTTTACCTTTCTTTTGTAAGGATTCATCAACATTAAGCGCATAAAGTTCTAATTTGTTACAAGAAAGGGAAACAGCAACCTAGAAATATTGCTTAATAGTTGTTATATGGTATGTAGAATTTTATGGGTTTGTTGCTAATTATGTGGGGGTTTGTTGAAGTATAGAAGTAATTGATGAAAAAGACTACTTCACCATACCCCATATAATGTATGTTGATTACCCTTAATTCAGCAGATCCTCGGACACAAGAGATACCCTTGACTTTGTCAGAAGCTTTTATTCGGCCTAATCTTTCAATAACATCCTTTAAAGTCATGTCTTGTATTTCTAATTGCTCGCCAGTCCTATAAATACACCCAACATAAATAATTTGTTACCAAATCTAAATAGCAAATACTTACTTTGCTGCTTTTTTCCTTTCTTTAATTTTCCTTTTGTGCGCTTTAATAGTGGCTTCTTCCTTTGTCCGAAACATGAATACTTCTATGAGGGAATCAACACCATGGGCAGCCAACATACGCCCAGTATTATCAACCACCATGGAGTACAGTCTTCCTTTCCCCTCTCTCAAGATACTACCTGCCTTAGTAACTTTAACATCACTCTGTAATAAAATATTTTATTATTTTTTAATTAGAAATTTTGATGATGATGAAAAATGCTTACACCAAATTCCATATTTTCTTTTTGGTGGTTGTCAAACAATTCATTTGGCTCTAAACTCCAAACCCTCAGCTCACTGTCATTACTGCCTGCCACTATGTATTCATCATCCCCTATAAGAGAAATTCCCCAAACCTAAATCCAAAAACATCAAAATTGAAAATGATCTTTCAATTTGTTTTCAATAAAAAAATAATAAACACCTCAGTAACATGAGCAGCTATCGTGTGAAAACAATGGGATGTGTCCAAATCCCAAAATTTTATGAATGTGTCTTTACTAGAAGAAACTAGTATATTTTTATTTTTCAAAAAAATAAGAGATGTAATGACTCCTTTATGACCGCTCAGTCGCTCGAGGCCTGTTTCAGAAATGATATCCCACAGGACAATTTCTGTATCCTGGAAAAAAAAAATAATGTGATTTCTTTTTTCAAAAATATCAGTTAAAATTTGATCTTTTTTTAAATTATCAAATCATTTTATTTATTATTTAAATTTTACAATAGTGCTAAGTAAGAAATTGATTATACAGGTACATTCCATCCAGTGCCTCCTCACAAGATAGTAAAATTAAATACAAAACACATTAATGAAAACATATTTTTCCAAGTAGTCTTGGGCTAAGCTGTTTGGAAGGGAATTTTTTGAGTGGCACGATGGTGGAAAACGAGTGTATACAGTTGATTTGTCAGCAGAGTTGGATTCCATTATTGTAGTTTGTTGGCTTAGGAATCAGTCAGGGAAGAAACCAAAATCAGACAAATCTGACCAAAATATTTTTTAAACTATTATTACTATTCATATTTGTGTGGAGATTAGTGACCGTTAATCGATAATTATTCAGAAATCGTGAGATGCGGTCTGGTGTGATGTAGGTTTCAGAAAAACATTTTCTTTATTGTGCCAACGTTTCGATCTTTATTGAGGTCATCTTCAGGGCTCAAAGTGTTTGTCTTCTGTGTAATTGTGCCATTCTTGCGTGTCGTGTTGAGACTTTGTAAAATTTAAACAATGTTTATAAATCCCAGGCCCTGAAATTTGTATTTGGTAGTGTTATTCTGGACAAAAAATTAATACCAACGTGTGTGGTGGTTGGTGGTCTCAACACGACACGCAAGAATGGCACAATTACACAGAAGACAAACACTTTGAGCCCTGAAGATGACCTCAATAAAGATCGAAACGTTGGCACAATAAAGAAAATGTTTTTCTGAAACCTACATCACACCAGACTGCATCTCACGATTTCTGAATAACTATTCATATTAATTTTTATACAATGAGGTTTCGAACAACATCCGGATTGATACCCCAGAGCACAACCACTTGACCTACCAGACACCAATTCATCATCTCAACCTACAACTGTTTTCAACATGTTTCCCTCCTTTTTATAGTTTTGGGATTTACAATACAAGTGTAAAAGAAATTCAACCACTGAAACCGAGCCTAATAATTAAGTTCCTTCATTAACTAGGGCTCACCACTGTACTATCAGCACAGAACAAGGGATATAATAGCTCTTAAAGGGCACAGTATACTGCACACTTAAGGGGATTTTACACCCTAAGCGAGCTGATGTGACATGGACCCACATGTTCCCTCATGTGCTGAAAACAACCAGATGTTGATTTAGAAAGGAGTGTCTACATTGACCCGACAACATGAGGGAACATGGGGACTGACGGGATGACCTAACTACACACTTCCTGATGTGTGTGGTACCAATCAAACTTTCCAGATATCAGTGAGTTATGACAGCATGTTGCAAGAAAGACGGCATGGGAAAGGAAGAACTGCCGATTGAGTGTCCGGAGCAACCCTGTTTTGCATGATCCGTTTTCAAAGGAGTACAGAAACCAAATAATAGAATTGACTTTTTGATAGCGGTGATACATTAAAAATCGTTCTTCATCTTGTAAAAGTTGTGGCATCGAATGATGAAATTTGTCATGCTCCCTCTAATTCTCAATAATTGGGTGGATCCATATTTGAGTAGGTTCCATCGCACGAATCAGGCCCAAAGACGCAGGGATTTCTTTTTCTTCATCAGGCCCGTTTAAAAGCATGTTCTGGTAGCTCTGCACATTCCTCTTTGAGAAAGAACTCCTCTATGCTAAAGAGAACAACCCTAAAGAGAAAAAACATCAAATTACAGAATACACTCTTCGGTGTAGTGTGTGCAATGTACACGCGTAGTGTCAGCTGATGAGAGGCCACGCTGCCTGACGTGCCTCATCACGTCTGCTCGTGTAAACGCACCTTTAGAATGAAACATCTAAAACCTACAATACAGCTTATACTAATTACCTTTCCTCCTGATGCCAATCTATGTCCCAAGGCATCGAACACAAGATATGAAATCGCGGTTCTGTGCCCTGCAAAAACCGTTTTGATCTCCTTGTTTAGAATATTTGTCAAGTTGACCTTGCCATCTGAATATCCGATTGCGAGATGGACCTTGTCTGGGCTGAAGGCCAAGTATGTCACTTCGTTGTGCTCCTCACCGTACAGGGTAAAAGTCTGCAAAAAAAAATTTTATACTACTATTTGTACATATATTTTTTTAAATTATATTTACCTTTTCCCCTAATCTTAGGTCCCACACGATAACATCCTCGCAGGCTCCGGAGGCCACGTACCTACCCTCTTGACCATTGTAAACGACAAAGCATACGTTGCAGTTGCTACTTGAAATAATATTAAACTTGCCGGACGGTGCATAGCGAAGATATTGTTTTGTCAGACCCATTTTATTTAAATATATAAATTATTTTGTTTTATAATAACACTATAATCATTATTTCGGGAGGATTGTCGAACAAAATGAACTGGACGAGTTGTAAACAACGACACACGTGCGGTGTACGAGGTCGAAGGTTCTGCAAAGGCAAAGCATAATTGGTTATCCTTAAGGAAAGACAGTACAATACGGTTTACGAAATTCCCTTGGATTTTTTTATATATCTCTTTTTTTATATCTATTGTTATTTCATTAAAATCACAAGTTTACAATATTAAAATTAAAAGCATGCCAAGTCATGACATAAAGCAATGTTCACTGATTATTCTTTTGAAAATCCTGATGCCGGGGGGGGGACTACTAGTATCAAATCAATTTTAATATAATTTTTTTTCATTGTCTATATTCTTTATTGTTTTTAGGACAAATTTTCATGTATTAGGTTGTTTTGACCTAAAAATTACGCCAATGTATAATAAATAAATGGAAAGTTAAAAAAGTCTTTTACCTTGAATGCAAGCAAATATTTGAAAATTACCAATTATAGTATCATAATTAAGAAATAAAATACCAATACAATATAGTATTTAGGATACATTATTAGCTTCAATGTTAGGGATATACTATAAATAAATAATTAAAATAACAGTAAAAACATAATTTATTGTGTTAACTTTTACAGGTCTCAAACATTTTTAAATTTATTTAAAAACCTTATTACAAATTAAAATAAATAAATAATTTTTGTGTGGATATATTCAAGCAATTTGGAATGTCCATAAACTAAAAAAAATTCAATAAAAAATTAATATTCTGAGATAGAAGAATCTTCAGGTACATATGAGTATGAACAAGTGCCTAACAGCTTTTCTAGTTCGGCTGTGTCATTTTCATCAATCCTATTGACAAAACTCCTGTTTTGATGGTTCTTTACGATAAACAAGTTATCACCTTTTTTAATGAAAAGTTCCCTGTGCGATGCTGCAAAGAACTGCATGTTGTTCAACTCAGACAGCATATGGTTTAACAAGTCGATGGTTTCATCGGTTAGAAATTGGTCAATTTCATCCATCAGGCATATTCTGAAATTCTGCACGTTCGCCAATGCTAAGACTAGAGAAATTAACAAACATGTCTTTTGACTTCCTGAAAGTGAAATTGGCGAACACGAAATACTGCTATCTCCAGAGGTAAATAAATTCATGATCAGTCTTTTTGCCGTCCAGATTTCCTCTTCGTCAGTTTCTAAATTGAGGCTCACCCTGCTGTTTGGAATTAATTGATTAAAGTAAGAATTAAACAAGTCTGATATTTTATTCACATTTAAAGAAATGTGATTTTCTAACCATGCTGTCAATTTCATCAGTTCCACATTAAAAGAACATAAATTGAAAAAAATATTACAAGTATATGTCTCAATTTTTTTAAATATGGAACATTTCTTTATTATAAACCTTATATCTTTTATATTTCCAAGATCTTTAATCTTATTTTTTATTATCATTAGTTGCTCATTTATTTTCTTCGTTGTTAAGCTGTCAGGTTGGAAATTAACTTTTTTAAATTTACTTTTGTATTTAGACATATAAGTCAGGCATTCTTTTATTTTATCGTCTAAGTCTAATATATTCCGAAGACTGACTGACAAGTCAATATATTGTTTAGAATACTTGTAATTATCAATCTTTTGTTCCAATACTTCAAGTTCGTTTTTGTATTTATTTTCTGTCTCCTGTATGTTTTCTATTTTTGCTTTAGTATCTTTAACTCTATTGTTGAGTAAGTGTAATCTCTTGTTGATCATATCCCTCTTTGTATTGAAATCCCTTAGCTTATTCTGACAAGCTATTAATTCAGCATATTCTGTATGAGCATCATACTTAACTGATTTGTATGCTTCAATTTTATTTTCAATTTCATTTTTATACTTTTCTTTTGACAAAATAATCAATTGTCTATCACTGACCTTTTTTTTAAACTCTATTATATTTTTGTTAAGCCTTGTAAGTCGGCTGGAATCCACTGTGTATTGTGCACCAAAAGGCTCTTTTAATTCTAACTCTAAATTAAGTAAATTTCTAAATAGCTGCTTAATCTCCTCTTCCTTTCTTTCCTTTACTTTTTTAACTGATTCAATCTCTTGAGTTACCAATTTTACTTTATTGCTAACTTCTGCAACTGATTGTTGGCTATTTTCTATTTTGGCCTTTGCATTTAATTTTTGCAGTTCAGAGAGAACTTTGTTCATCTGCTGTGACAACTGATTTGATTTTTGCGCATTGTATTCGAGTTGTTGGTATTTTTTAGAAATCTTGGATTGTTGTCGTAAAATATCATTATACATTGATCGCAAGCTCAATTTTTTCTGTCTGTAACCCCCAGTCAATATGCCACTCTTTTTGACCACATCTCCATCAATAGATACACATGTGCATTCATATGTTCTTGCAGACTCAACCGAGGCTTCAATATTTTTACAAATTAGAATTCCACCGAAACAAAACATCATAGCTTTTTCAACCTCATCTGTAAAACTAAGTAATTTTATTAGAGGCATGGCATCATCGTTTATTATTTGTATAGCATCCCTTGTAATTATACGGTTTAAAGGTACAAATTGTGCTTCACCAGGTAGATTTAGCTTTTTCATCTTTTGAAGAATTTGTGTACCGATAGAATCTGTCGTAACAATGTGTGAGAACATGAATTTTCCGACTGTCGCATCGATGGCTTCGTTAAGGGCATCATCACATTTGAAACTTTCTATGATAGTACCTAAGTACCCTTGTGCCATTTGGAAATTGGTACCATTATTTTCATTTTTATCCAAATCTATGACCTTTTTAACTGATTCTATCCCTTCTACTATATTCCTTCCAACTTTTTTTATCAGCTCAACTTTCTTAAAGTTTATACTCTTTTGTAAATTCTGAATATCATATTCAAGTATATTTTCATCTCTTTGTAATTCATTCATTTCCATCTGCAAACTGCTGTATTCCAAGGAGTATTTTCTCTTTTGTACTTCTTCTCTGTTTTTATTTTGAGAATAGAGTTCTGCTACCTTCATCTCATTTAAATATTTTTCTTTCAACTCTTGAAGATTCAATATAGTTTTTTTAAAATCGTTTATTGAATCTTGTTCGTAATTTATTTTGTTTTTTAATATGATAATGTTTTCATCCAGCCATCTGTCTCTTGAATCTTTATTTGGAAACTGATCCAGTCTTCCCATTTTTCCGATTATGAGAGCTCTTTCATTTTCCGCCATTTCAAGTTGTTTTGTTAAATTGTTTAGCATGTCGGTCTCTTCCTTAATTGTTTTTTCTTCACTGGTGAGGCAATGCATAAGTTCTTTTACAACATCCTCTGAAATCTCTTTTTGAGAATTTTTCATCAAAATACTTCTCTTCTCGTTCAGATCATTTATTTTCAATTCGACTTGTGTTTGTTTTACTAATAAATTGAGTATTTCACGCTCAGTATCCTCAAGTAGGGTATTGGTTAATAAATGCATTTGTTTCAATTCTTCTAGCAGGGTTGTGGTTTTTTGTAACTGTAAACAATTTTTTCTGTATTCGGCTTTGTTTTTACTGTAAGAACCTGTTTCTCCTCCAATGCCAATTTCTTTTTTTCTCATCTTTACAAGGCAATTGAGTTGCATTTGAGCCATAAGATAAGCTTTGCATTCACACAAGAGTTTGAATTGTTTCCATTTTTTCAACTCCTTGGCATTAGACTGTTTGTAAAAAATGCTTATTTCTGAAAGGTGGTCTTGAAACGAGGATATTCTCAGCATCGAGTTTTCAATCTTACGGAGGACTTCTTTAATGCTAATGACCGATTTGTAAAAAGCCATCCCTAAACCGGATAACAGAAAATCGAGTTTTTGCTCCGGCGAAAAGGTGATAAAGGTTTTCAATAAATTTTTATTGACGAAGTAGTACTCGGCACCTGTGCAGAACCCGCAGATCTCCAAGAGCCTGTAGAAATTTTTCGAACTCGTCTTGCAGTTGTTGATGAAAAAATCAAACCCTCTGGCGTTCATCTCTCTCTTCAGGGCCAGCCGTCCTCCCAGAGCCGGGTCGCAGTCTGCGAGGACGATCTGCACGGACACAGATCCGTCACAGCCGTCGCTCAAGACGTGCAGCTTTTGATGGAATCTAAAAAAACTTTTTTTACCTTTGAGCACAAATTCGACGGCTTGTAAAAGGTTGCTCTTCCCAGAGCCGTTCTGCCCTATAAAAACGTTCAGGCCGGGAGAGAGACCATCTAAGACAGTTTTATCACGGTAGCTCTTGAAATTTTGAACTTCCACCTTCTCGATGTACATTTTTTCTTAGGGCTAGGACAAGACAAGACCTTAAGAGATAAGCCAGTAAGGTTTAAGCCTTGGCGCTAGATCTAGTTTTTTCTGCAAAGGAAGATTAAGCCTCGGATCGATTTCAACATCGACCTTCAAACGCCTGCTTTTAGTGGCCTCTACTGGGACAAAATAAAATTTCTTCCGGTTTAATTTAAATTTATATATTATAAAAATACTGGGGTAAGAAATTGCTCATAAACCAACCGCCTCCAGATCACAAAGACGATTGAAAAGAAAGACTCCGACCTTGCACATCCTAAACTCGTATCTATTACTTTTCTAGCATTGCATAAATTCATTTTTTTAATCTAAAATTTTCTAGCGTATAAATTCATTTTTTCTTTTTAATCTAAAATTTTCTAGCATTGTATAAATTTAATTTTTTCTCACCTCCTACATGTATTTGTAAAATTTACACAATGTTTATAAATCCCAGGCCCTGAAGATGATCTCAATAAAGATCGAAACGATGGCAAGATAAAGAAAAAGTTTTTCTAAACCTACATCACACAAGACCGCATTCATCCCCAAATAACCATTAATTAACGGGTCACTAAATATTAAACATGCTGGAATCTATTTTTTTCGCACCAAATCCAATTTAATGTTGGAATGTGTCAATGGTTAAATATATTTATTGGGCTCAGAGAGCTTGAAGTCCATAAGGAGAAGGCGTAAGTGGTTCGATCCGATCTGTGAGGAGTTGAGGAGTGAGGCACGTGCCTAGTATCGAAACGGCAGTCGGCACGCTGCCCAGTGTTTTGAACCTGTCCGAAGGCCGGACAGCTAGCCCGAGGATGTTTGTAACCTTCCGTAGATAAACAAATTTACTTTTCACTCTGGATTTCTCATTAAAGTTTACGCCGTTTTTTTTTCTTTTGTCAGAGTCGATCGCCCGACTGGCGATAAATGGTAGCGGGCTGGCCGGCGAAAGGCCAGGGATGAAGTTTTCAACTTCCTCGTAACGCGGTTCCGTCTACACAGTTCGCTCGTCGCAGAGTACCAGCAGAATGTCGACGGCGGCACCTTCCCAGTTCGTCAACGGGCTCAAGTCGAGGAGCGCCGAAGTGAGGGCGAAAGCGGCCAAAGATCTCTACAAATATGTAAGTATCGCCCAAGTCCGCCGTCGGACTTTGCTCGTCCTTTTAAAACAACGCGTTTATTTATCAAATTGAACGTTTTAAAAAGTCCTGTCACCTCTGTAAAGATTGTGTCCCTTAACTTTGGTTCAACAGAGAAAAGTTCTCTAAAGTCGCACTTCACCTTCCTTGATTCGCATTTTGAAATAGACTTTCCTCGATATGACGATTCATTAAACTCTGATCTCTTTGACTGATTTTTCCTTGTATCATTATCACTTATCATTTTTATGTTCAAAGATAAAAAAATATTCTGCTACACAAGCTGTTAATCAATGAAAAAATAATAAAAATAAAATTTATTTCAACCCTTGTTATTTCACTATATTTGTAAAAATTGAAAGCTATGCAATTAAAAATTCTAAGTGAATTTTAAAGTTAGAATCTCTCTAAACTTGGCTAAGTTTTTAAAAGAAAGCCCCCTGCTTGATATATACAAACAGGGATTTCTTAAGCTGTGCTTCTCTATCACAAAGGCGACCTTCATTTACCGACGGCTGCAAGAATTCAATCAGTTCCAGAAGTCATAAGTTCGCTCTTTTTGCAATAAGTAAAACTCCATCGCCGATCTTGTTGCACTCAAAAAAGTTTGAATATTGTTTTCCCTGTTATACAAAGACTGATCATGTGTATGGATTCTCCAGCAGCACTGCTGGTCATACAGAATCAATTCTCCCTTAATCCCGTAATTCAGGAAATACTCCTAGCCCTGAGGGAAGTTCGTTCGAAAAATGTCACTGACCTATTCATATGGATTCTGGGTCATTGTGACATTCGTGGCAAATTCTGATGCAGCGGTCAAATCGTGGTCGTGGAAGCGACCTAAATAAATCGAGTGTCTGGGGAAGCCTTCTCACCCATATCAAGAGATCAATTTGGGAAAAGTGGCATAATGAATGGCGTCAAATGACTTAACAAGCTGAGAGAAATTAAGGAAGATGTAAAACAAAGGTCCACCGCCACTCGAAAGGAAGAAATGGTCCTAGCTTTCCTCAGAATAGGTCATTGCAGATTCACGAATGGTTTTTCTCATGGCGAGAGAAGCTCTATCGATGTGTCAAGAATGCCAGGAACCACTAACAGTGAAACATATTCTTACTGTCTGTCCTCAGATTGTGCCGGAAAGGAGTGCATGTAGTGTTCTAGGTAGTTTGGGACAGATTTTGTCAGATGATGGACACAAAGTATAACATATTTTCAGTTTCTTGAAGATGGCTGGTTTGTTTTCTAAAATTCAGTAGACGAGGCATGAATGATTTTTTTTTTTTGGTGGCTGAGGCCGTCTCGGCGGGTCTGGTGTGATCTTGCAGTTTCTGTTCATCATCACCCTAAACGTATTCTGTTCAAGTTTTCAAATTTATTTTTTATCTTGATCCACTCTGTTCCAAAGACAACCAAATTTTTCAAATTTAAATGTATTTCCAATATCCGCATTGTTGGAAATTGTTGGCTATTGTTGTTTGATCAGTTAGTCAGTTTATCTTAAGCAAAATTCAACTCCATGACAAATTAAGACCTTAAAGAGCCTTATTTATTTATTTTGTTTTTTGTGAGGGTATTTCTACTTTGAGATTATATGAACCCTCGGGTTTTTGAAAAAAAAAAAACCTATTTGTAAGTATGTCAAGTTCAAATGTAAGCCTCCTGGATTCAAACCCAGGACCTTTAGCGTACAGTGATGAACGCCTAAAGTCCGGCCACTGATGTCCCTTTAAAGATTCTTAAAGAGAAAAGATTAATTTAAAATATAGAAAATACTATTTCAAGTAATTGGAAAAGTGTCATTAGAACAAAGTCATTTATCAATTTATCTTTGATGAGATAGTAGGAATAAGCATATAGCTTTCAAATTCTATAGCTGTTGAAACTTTTGGTTAGTTTATTGTTTTGATATAGTTTGTTTGGTCAGATACAATTAGCCTTAATCCAATGTAAAAATATTGTTTGATATGTATTCATAGGCAAAAGTAAATCACAAAGCTGAAATCTCAAATTAATTTCTATTTCTACTAACAATACACCAAATTATACATTATTAAATTGAGAAAGCTTTTATTTCAAATAAAATAATTATACTATTTATCATTGTTTTTTAATGTTTATTTTCAAATGTCATATATGATTAATTATTAGTAAATATGAGAGAGTTAGCAAGAAAGATGTATAAAAAAAGAATTTTTTGTTTTATGTGCAGAGGGTTGGTGATTACTATTTTATATTTATAGGCATATAACTATATTACTACTAATAGCAGTATTTAATCAAAATTATTCACTGATAATCAAATTATGAGTTTATTTAATTTAGCTATGCCGTTTTCTAATTATTTAGAATAATAATAAGTTTTCTTGTATTCACCTAATTAACATGTTTTTAAAAAATTATGTTGAGAAGTTAATAAATTATTATAAGCAACTAGGTATATACAGTTTTACATATGCGTATCTACATATTCTAAGTACAGAAAGGGCCAGTTGAGATTAAAGCTTAAATTTACTCAAGTTCATCCCATAAAAATTCATTGAACGAGTAGTGAGCTTTATTTAGAAGTTAAACATTTTCATGCCGTAGTGTAATGTAAAATTTAATAATTCAATAGTTCTAGCTATTAGGTGATCTATTTATTCTCAATTTTGGCAGTTTTAGATTAGGTTTGAAAAGTTGGCACTTCGATCGCTTATTTGGTTTACTCAACAGTTAGACTTAAATCAAACATATACTTTGGTGGCCTGAGGGCAAATTGAGTAGTAATGGAAATCTGAAACTGGTCGTTAAACTAATTTGTAAAATATTGCATTGAGGACAGATTATTCTCATTGATTTTGTTTGCAAGCATATTTTAACATTTCACCAAATTCAAAGACAAGATGGCAAAACAGTTATGTGATACCAAACTACCGAGGATAAATAAACTGGACTGGTCGTGGGATGTTAAAGCTTAAAGTGTTAAAATCTTAGGCAAGGATAGAATTATTTTTTGGGATGTGGGAATGTTATTAACAATTTAGTTTCATTATCCATTGTGGTTCAAGATTCTTTTTCAACGTGCTTTAAGAAAAATCAACACTCTTGTTAAACTTTTAACCCAACAAGACTTTAATGAATTTTTTTTTATATATTAGTAAATAATAATAAAATTCATTATTTGTACCCAATCCATACATTTTCAGTTTCTATTCTAAATGATACAAACACTTTTGTTTTTGTAAAAATATTCAAATTTTTAGGTTAAGACTGAACTTCGTGAGCTCTCTTCAGAAGAGCTTGCTGCCTTTATGGATGAATTCACAAACAAACATATTTATGAAATGGTCTCCAGTCAGGATGTCAATGAAAATAAAGGAGGAATTTTAGCTATAAGTAAGTATTTATTTTTATTAACTTAATTAAAAAAGCTTAAACTGAATGCATGTTATTTATTTATTTTTTTTGTCTAGTGTGTCTCATAAGCTCTGACACCGATGCCGAGAATATCAATAGTAGGACGGCAAGGAATAACAAGTATACGCAGTATCTGCGTTACCTCTTACCTTCACAGGATAATGGCGTGATGGAGCTCACTGCAAAAGCCATCGGGAAGCTAGCTCTAGTCTCAGGTGCAAGATCTGAATTTTTTGTCAAATTTGAGATAGAAAAGGCAAAAGAATGGCTCAATGGAGAAAGGCATGAAGGAAAGCGGCATGCTGCGGTAATTCATTAGATTCCAGTCATACGATTTAGATCTTGATTTGAACTTAAATTTTATTTGTAGGTATTAATTTTAAGGGAATTGGCAGTTTGTGCACCAACGTATTTTTTTCAACAAGTGCAGTCTGTTTTTGAACCTGTTCTGCGTACTATACGTGATCCAAAACCGGCTATCCGTGAAAGTGCTGTGGAAGCTCTTAGAGCAGCTTTAGTCGTCACCGCTCAAAGAGAAACCACAAAGCAAATGCAAAAACCACATTGGTATGTGGTGCATATTGTCTTTTTTTACTTATTCTTATAACTTTTTCCCTTCTTATTTATCTCTTCCAGGTATAAGCAGTGCTATGAAGAAGCAAAAATGGGTTTTGATGAGGTTTATTCAAGGGAAAAAGTCAACAGGGATGATAAAATCCATGGTTCTCTTCTTGTCTTAAATGAACTCTTGAGATGTAGCAATACAGAATGGGAACACATTTTTCATAATATAAGTGCTTATATCCATTCTCCTCCACAGCAACAGGTGTGCAATTGTTTATTTATTTCAATTGTTATTGCCAGTGTGTGTAATAATTGAGAAAATTTTTAGGATAATTTAAATTTCTTACCTAAGATAAAACTTCCTTTATTTTCGAACAAATCCCGCCAAACATCACCTTCAGAGCTAGTAGTCAAGCCGTTATCTACAATGGAGCCGATATACGAAAGTGCAGCGTGTAAAAGTTTAATTACTGAAAATTTTGATGACATTTGTTCTTTAGTTCTTACACAAAGAGTATCAAGGAGTCCACATATTCATAACACGCTTTTAACAATTTTGCCACGGCTAGCTGCTTTCAATAAAGACAAGTTTGTTAAAATGTAAGAAAATTACAATTATGTCCAGAAGGTTTATATTTTATCTCTATTATTAAAATTTATTTCCTTAAAGGCATTTACAAGCGGTTATAGTCTACTTGCTTACTACAATTAGATCAAAGGAAAGAGATAGGTCTTCTGCTTTCACCACACTCGGGTTCATTGCTGTTGCGGTCGAAAAGAACATAATTTCTCATCTTCCAAAAATTATGGAAGCTATAAAAAATTCACTGCCGAGCCGTGAGGCGACAAGCGGAAGAAAGAGGTTGGAACCCGCACTCTTCGGGTGTATAACTCTCTTGGGACATGCAGTAGACGTTGCCATCAAAGATGACATCAAACAACTACTTCCGGCAATGTTTGCCTCCGGTTTAAGCCCAGCTTTGACAACTGCACTCAGAGAACTGGCTAAAACCATCCCTCAGTTGAAACGACAGATTTCAGAAGGTACGGTACATTATTAATTAATGCATATCCTAAACAACCAATATCTCAAATTACATTTCAATTTTCTTCTGCGTTTTTTATTATTAGGATTATTAGGAATGTTGTCACAAGTAGTGATGAACACTGAGCTTAGACATCCAGGCCAACCGCTGAGTGTGACAGGCTCTGTCACCCCTGCTCCAGTCCCACATGACGTCTCTAGTGTTGTTTTAGCCTTGAGGACACTAGGAACTTTTAATTTTGACGGTATTGTATATTTTCATAATGCATACTTCAGAATCACATTATACGAATTATTATGACTTTTTGTGTAAACAGGGCATTCTCTTCTTCAGTTTGTTAAAAAATGTTCTGAAGATTTGTTATACAATGAACAACAGGAAATTCGACTGGAAGCTGTCTGTACTTGTGTTCGACTGTTAAAATTAGCAATTGAAAGTACTTCAGCAAAACCTTCACCAACTGTCACCCAAACGGTGTCTGATGTTCTGTCCAAATTATTGGATGTAGCCATAACTGATGTCGGTAAGCAGATTCAAATCAATACTTCTTCATAACAAAATCGTCGACTTTTGTTAATAATTAGATATCTACAAGCCAGTTTAATTATATGTTCTAATTATTTTTATTTCAATTCTAGATGCTGATGTCAGATATTGGGTATTGGCTTCATTAGACAATACCTTTGACCTTCATTTAGGACAAGCAGAAAGCTTAAGCAAACTATTTGTTGCAATGAATGATGAAGTTTTTGACATCAGGGAACTTGCAGTGTGTACCATTGGTAGGTTGACTTCTGTAAACCCAGCGTACACTATGCCATCTCTTAGAAAGGCCTTAATTCAGGTATGTTTGATTTGATTTTTAACATATAAGTTGATTCATTTTTTAAAATTTTGATTTCCAGTTAATAACAGAGTTGGAGCATAGTGGTATGAGCAGAAATAAAGAACAGAGTGCAAGGATGTTGGACCATTTAGTATTAAATGCGCCTCGATTGATCCAGCATTACATTCAGCCGATTCTTCGAGTTTTGGTGCCAAAGCTGAAGGAGCCTGAACCCAATCCTATCGTCATTATAAATATCCTAAAAGTCATAGGAGATCTAGCAGAGGTGAAATCAACATTATAAACCACAATTAGGGAAAATATATTAATTTGCTTATAGGTGAACGGTAATGAAATGGTAAGGTGGAGGGAAGGGCTTGCCCACACCCTTCTTGATCTGGTTAGCGATGTTAGCTTTCCTGAGAAACGAGGTGTGGCGCTTTGGACACTGGGACAAATAGTTGGAGCGACTGGGTTTGTCGTCGAACCTTACAGTAAATATCCAACCCTTTTGGACACCCTTATTAACTTTCTGAAGACAGAACAGCAACCAGAGATAAGGTTAGTTCACAATTTATTTTTGATACTTGAGAACAAGTCAACAAGTTTTATTTTCAGGCGGGAAACTATTAGAGTGTTGGGACTGTTAGGGGCTTTAGACACGTTTAAACATAAAATGAATCATGGTCAAGTGGACACGCAGATGAATTCTACAGCTTTGTTATCCATGACTGACGGAAAATCTGAAGTTGAATCAAGTCACGGTATGTAAAAAAATATGTAATATACATCATGATTGTAAAATATTATGTTAGGTGTATAAGGAGAAGAATAGTTTGAAATAATAATTCCATGTATCATTCTTTTATGTGTGTATTGAATATAAGATTGGTATTCGTTGCTTGAAGGTTTGGAATAGTAAAGAATTGGAAAAAATTTAATAATAAACTGATAGGGTGGATAAAAAATGAATAAGTGTTAAAATTAAACCAATTTTGACTGACAGTTTCTTTCCTTTTGGAATGCTTTGGCTTTCTGTCTCATCTTAGGAAGTGTGATTCCCTGAACTTGATTTGTCTCGTTGAAACATTCTTCCGATTCAACAAACCCAAGTATCGCATCTACAAATCACATTGTACCCAGGTACTCTTTACATCTTATCTTTTGGAAAGAATCTCTAATCTAGGCCTATTACATTTTTATTTTTGTAAATTAAATAAGGAAAAAAATTTGTCCTGGAAGAAGTTTTACAAACCGCAATAAGTTGCAGAAACTTCATTTCCAAGAGAAAAAAGTACTTGACACAATATTTCAAATTTGGCAGATATAATTTGAAGAAATAGAAACTGAATAGAATATAGAGAAAATTAATTAATAAAATCCCACCATTTCAAAATAGGGCAAAATAAAGATCACGGAAATCAGATGAAAACGGTGATGAAAGATTGGGAGAAATTTTCTTACCATAAAATCTGGTCATGGGTAGGGCATATTGATCAATGGCAATCCAAATGAAATGATAGACAACAATGGGGGAAAGGAAGAAAAATAAGCAGAAAAAAAATGGATCGTCATAGAAGCTGGAGAATCGTGGAGATAGAGACACAATGGGAAGTCTTTGCTCAACAAGACTTTTTGGCACAAAATATGTTCAAAACAAGCTTAATATATTATTGATATATAACTTAATTAGTTATATTCACTAATTTCGTGGTCTGCTTGACCAATTAATGTATTACAATTAATTAAGGTTTTTAGTTGAGATAAAAAAGTCCATGGCACAAACGGGATTCGAACCCATGATCTTCGGCTAGATACGCCGCTGCTCTACCACTTGAGCTCTCGTGACCTCGATCCACTCGGTCACCAACTTCCTATCTCAAAAAAATGACAAAAAGGAAGGAAAACTCATAAGGTGGGGTTGAGATAGGAAGTTGGTGTCCGAGTGGATCGAGGTCACCGATAGCTCAAGTGGTAGAGCAGCGGCGTATCTAGCCGAAGATCGTGGTTTTGAATCCCGCTCGTGCCATTGACTTTTTTATCTCAACTAAAAACCTTAATTAATTGTAATTAATTAGTTATGTTAACACTTATAAATATTTTCCCTTTGTAGGTATAGGCTATTTGCTATATGAATCTAGAATTCTCTTAAAATCTAAAGTTATTTATTTTCATGTTATTATTCTTAGTTCGTTATTGGTTTTATTTACAGAACTTACTACAAGTGAAATGTTGGTAAATATGAGTTCGTCAACGCTAGAAGAATATTATCCTGCTATAGCGATAGCCACACTCATGAGAATTATAAGAGACCCAGCTTTATCTCGGCATCATTTAACAGTTGTGCAAGTATGTAAAACATGCCAATTAGTCAAAAAAACATGCATTATATTTTATTTGTAATTATAGGCAGTGACGTTTATATTCCAATCGCTTGGAATTAAATGTGTACCTTACATACCTCAAGTGATTCCAAGTTTTATAAACGTGATAAGGACGGCAGAATCCAGTTTCAGGGAGTTTTTACTTCAACAGCTTGCGACATTAATTGCCATAGTCAAACAGCACATTCGAAACTATCTCGATGAAATTTTCAAATTGATTAAGGTAAATAATTCATTCAATTTTTAATAGTTGATTCGGCTAAATATTTTGTTTTTGTTTAGGAGTTTTGGACTGTAAATAGCCCGCTACAAAGCACTCTGATATTTTTAGTGGAACATATTGCCGTAGCATTGGGGGCCGAGTTTAAAGTTTATTTACCACTTCTGATGCCACAGATTCTTAAAGTACTCTCCCATGATTCTAGTAAAGATAGGACAGTGACTGTGAAAGTAAGGGATGAAGTTTTTTCTTGTCGTATTGGGCATTAATAATTTTAATGTTTTAGCTTCTCAAGGCGTTACAAAAATTTGGAAACAATTTAGATGAATATATGCATCTTGTACTGCCACCAATAGTTAAGCTGTTTAATGCAGTCGAATATCCAATGGCAACAGCCAAAGAGGCGATTGAAACTATCGATCATCTTTCCGATACCCTCGACTTCACAGATTATGCTTCACGGATCATCCATCCATTAGTAAATATACAATCAGCCAGCGATTTTGATGGAATAATTAAAAAAAAAAATCTTTTGTAGGTTCGTAGTATGGATCAAACGCCTGAATTGTGCAGCACTGTAATGGACACGCTATGCTCATTAATAGTACAGTTTGGAAAGAAATTTAAAATTTTTATCCCCCTTGTTAAAAAAGTCATGAACAAACATAGGATTTTATGTCATAACTATGATGTGCTTGTTACTAATATTTCATCCGTGAGTAAATCATAATAGCTCAGTTTAAATGATAGCATTGATAATTTCATCTGCTTTTAGAACAATGCAACAATAGCAGAACTTGATTATTTATCAATAAAACATAGGATGTCAAGAAATAAGACTAAGGAAATATCATTAGCCTCAGATCATATAACAATTAAAAGGGTGAGTTCTTTATTTTATAAACTTTTTACTATAAACAAACTGGAAAAAAAATAGAAAAACTCTTAAGAAAATGTTTATCTAAATAACCAAAATTCTGTGTAAGGATGCTAAGTTTTGTTTGTACAACATTGAGTACCCAGAATACATAATTTTATTACATGTTTAACTTGTTTTAAAATTGTCTAGGTGTTCACATCAGCCCCATCTTTACAGCTGGCATGGACAGCTACCAGAAGGGTTTCAAAAGATGATTGGTTGGAGTGGCTGAAAGGTCTTAGCATAGAATTTTTGAAATTTTCATCTTCGCCTGCATTAAGGTAAATGATTAATTGTTACATTGTAATAAAAAGCTATAATAGAGTTTATGTTTCTAAAGATCCTGTGGTGCGTTGGCTGAAACCTACACTCAGTTGCCAAGAGACTTGTTTAATGCTGCCTTTGTTTCGTGTTGGACTGATTTAAGCGAGCCTCTCCAGCAAGAATTAATCAGAACTCTAGAACAAGCTTTAGAGGTGCCAGATCTGCCTGAAATTATTCAAACCATCTTGAATTTAGCCGAATTTATGGAACATTGTGATAAAGTGAGTTAGTGAACTTAAGCGGTTGATTTGTAATAGTTTCTTATAAAAAATTTTTAATGTAAAAGGGACCTCTACCTCTTAATGCTCAACTTTTGGGTGAAAAGGCTATGCAATGCAGGGCATATGCAAAAGCTTTACATTATAAAGAAGAAGAGTTCCACAAGGGCCCGACCTCACAGGTAGTTGAAGCGCTTATTTCAATAAATAACAAATTGCAACAAAGAGAAGCTGCCATGGGTAAGTAACTAAAAAAATACATATCACCAAAATATAAAAAAAATGTTTCAATTTGCAAAATATAAACATTCAAGGTCTTCTTGAGTACGCTATGACCCATGAATGTGAACATCTAAAAGTTGAAGAACGCTGGTACGAAAAATTGCACAACTGGGAAAAAGCTTTAGATGCATATGAAGAAAAGCTTCAAGAAAACCCGCACGATATAGAACTTGCTTTAGGGCAAATGCGTTGCATGGAAGCTCTTGGAGATTGGTAAGATTGCACTTGTTAAATATATATTTACAAAGGAAGAATGTATTAGTTAATATTTTATTCAGGGACCAGCTTCACTCTGTTGCGAGTGTACATTGGAATCAGATAGGTGAAGCAGGAAGGGAAAGGATGTCAAGGATGGCAGCGGCGGCAGCTTGGGGTTTGGAACAGTGGGATAGTGTCGAACAATACGTCTCGTGTATTCCTAAGGACACCACTGATGGCTCCTTTTATCGAGCAGTGTTGGCAATTCATAAACAGCAGTACACTACAGCTCAGCAGGTATTAATTACAACATAAAAACAAGATCTGAAAAATCTGATCTTAAAGAAAATGTTAATGTATGTAATAATATGAATTGTTAACATTGACTGTGGAATGGGGAATTAAGGTAATGCACTTTTGGACTCTTAGGCCTAGTACGCACTGGGATTCTTTGAATCTCCGGAGAGTCTCGGCTGCGTCTAGCCTGAGTCTGGTGTGTTGTGGGCTAGCATTTTCGGACTCTTTTGAATCCCATCCGATGTAGGATTCTTTGACTCAATGTTGCATAACATTTGCCAGTGTGGACGTGAGTCGGAACAAGCGCTCTTGCTTCATTTGTTTAGTTGACGTTGTAGTGAGCGTTTTCTTGAAGATTTTGACAGTGTCTTGTATAAAGTAATGTATGTATAATGTTGTGGAATACCGAGTCGGCATTACAGGTTTATCGAAGACATGCATTCCCATCGGTGTTTGTGGGATGTATCATTCATGGAATACAGAAATCGGGAATTGAAAAGCCAAACATTGAATGGTTTAGCCCAAAAATTCAGTGTTTCCATTGCTGAAATTGGAAAAAAAAATTAATTAATTAAATACACCCTTTAAAAGGACAGTTCCGTTTGTTTTGAAATCCTGAAGGTGTACATGAGGCTTGTATACAAGTCTCCATTCGCTAGGAACCGGAGAGTGGCAGCTAATCTGTTGGCTGGAGAGATAGATTCCTGAAAGTTGGTATCTTTCTTGGAAATTTGACTGCCAACTTTCATTAAAATGGTTTCGAAATCGGTCGGGGACATCCTCAAAAAATTTCTGAAGCCATCATTTAATCTCAACGTGTCCAAAAGATTTTTCCCGTATTGATTCCCGCCTTGAAATATTTGTCGAACCCACCATCTTTTTGGGTGTTTTTTAATGCACCTCCGATTGGATTCACTACGTACAATGCAAAACAGAGCAAAGGAAATTCCTGAGAGCTAGTTCCCTCGTCATTTTCGCAGGCACTGATGAATGTGAACTGAATCTTGGTCTGGACATGGTTTTTTGTGTCACAGGAGCCCCGACTCTGCCCCGCAACATGAATCGATTCAAAGAATCTCAGTGCGTACTAGGCTGAACAAATCAAAACAAGTAGATTTATTTTTGCTTGGCTAGTAGCAAATTCCCGGCACAAGGATGACACGCAAAATTGTGCTGTGTTCAACATTTTTAGACATAAAATGGGCTTTTTTCAACAACACGGGCACTCCGAGGCTTCATATAACCTTGTAGTTGAAAAAAACCCTTGTTAAAAAAAAAGTCAGTTAAAAAATTTTGACCAATTAATTATGGGCAAAATTTTATTATTCGAAATTTCATTGTATGTTGTTTTATTTTGGTTTTCTTGTTTAATTGGTAAGTGTAAGGGTTAATTTAGAATATGCAGTGTAGTGACCATGACTGCCTGGGATTTTACCAGCCATGGTGACACTGTTGTTTTTATTCACATCAGCATAGTGTTTCATTAGTATTTTCTTTGGGATTGATAAGCCTTCTCAGTTTAAATAGTTTTCTTTCCAAAAGGTAGATTAGGGATGAGGCCAGGAAGACAGAAACATTTATTTTCTTGTCAAGCTTTCGGCAGAATATATCGCCTTCATCAGGACTTCAAAAAATTCATTATACTATATGAACAGGTACATGTGTGGATAATGGAGTTGTACCGAGGTTCTACCAGCTCTCTGATATCCACACATGTACCTGTTCATATAGTATAATGATTTTTTCGAAGTCCTGATGAAGGCGATCTATTCTGCCGAAAATAAATGTTTCTATCTTCCTGGCCTCATCTCCAATCTACCTTTTGGAAATAAAAATATTTATTGTTTCATTAGTGTTCTAACAGAGGTGAACTTGTTACATAAGGGGCTGTTGATTGCTCTGATTTTGAATGAAGGGGAACAAAATCCGTGAAAAAAACAAAAGTCCATCAGACATGGAAATACAAAGGAATGGAAGAGAAATATAATGGGGGACCAGAAAGTGATGTCGTTTCTGCCCATGTCAATATTCGTTTGTCATTTATCAGCTCATTGTGTTCGCTAAAGATGTGCCAAAGACATTTTAAGTTTAGAATGACTTGTTTACTCGTAAATAATTAAATCTTAATTTTTTTGCAATTTATGTTGAAATAGCCAGCCAAATACCAGAAGAGGTACATATCATACATTGTATGGTAGTAATGCAACAGTTGCTTCCAAAAACATTTGTGATGTTTATCCAGTTCATTAAACGTTTGTAAATGCCAAAGGTGGTTTTCTAGTTCAAATCCAGTAATTTTGATCTTTTCGACTCTTATCGATAAGGAAGACTAACAACTTTAGACAATGACATGTTAAGGGTGGGAGTTAGCAATCCGAGTCAGACAGTTGAGAAACTGTCATTCTTTACCAACCTTGGTCAGCCATCTAAGAACATTTGCAGCAGATTAGTAAAGCAAGCAGAGTAGGTGTTTGTCTCCCACTTAATCTGTCCGAAGAAAACCAGCCCACCACATTCAACTTATTGCATCAGCAGCACATTACAGCAGCATTTTTTGATCGCTCGATCACTGGAGATGAAAAAATGGGTCCTTTATCTAATCCAAAATGCAAAAAGGTGCTTTTGTGTGTTTGGTGGAGTATTCGCGGGGTCGTTCATTTTGAAGTGCTGAAATGTTGACAAACTGTGAACAATTAGATCAAGTAAATCAATCTTTAATTAAAAAGCCCAGCGATTGTCAATAGAAAAGGGATTATTCTGCAAGAAGATAATGCAAGACCGCACTGTGTAAGACAAAGCCTGGAAAAAATTAATGAATCGGTTGAAAAGTATCGCCTCATCCTCAACACTCGCCTTTTTCTATTATGGAGGTAATTTATCTATGTTGGTGCAAATATAATAAGTGATTATATTTTAAATAAATTCAATAGGGTTAATAAATAAAATGATCTTTTATAATAATATCTATCCTACTTAAGGATAGGTGAACTGAATGTTTAATTTTAGGACTATTTAATAGTCCTATTAAATTCAATAGGACCCATTAATACAAAACATTTTTCAATTCTTTTTTTTTATCCTCTGTTGACATATTTGAATCAACGGCATTTTGTAAGGGTTAAAAACAAATCTCATTTCACCGTTTCAAATGTGACAGTGTGATGCTGCGTTGCCTTAAGGAGTTCAATACTTGATGTGAAGGGACTTGCAACAAAACAAAGCTCAAACAGTATGGGAAAAAAAATTAACAGTGTTTCCTTTTCCATTATTTATGCTCCTGCCAAAAGCGTATTTTTTTCTTCTGGGTTAAAATAAATTTCAGTTGAATAGGTATGGTTAAAACCATTGGATTTCCAAAATGCGATCTCCAGATATTTTGCTCAAAAACCAATTAATTTTTATTGATTCAGCATTGAAAATTTGTACTACTGCAAAAGGATAACGAAGATGATTATATCTTTCATTAAATGTAAAAACTAGTTAAAAATTTATGTTTGCATTTAATGTAAAAAAGGAAATTACTTTCCGGTTCCCCCAATACCATGTATAATTGATTGAAGATGAAGCATGTTAAGGAGATAAAAATTAATCTCAAATTTTGAACACATGGTCTGAAGGAAATTGGAAAAAAATGTTATGAATGTGTATTTTGTATTCTATGGTGTACCAATTTGTATTATGTATATTTGTATTTGTATAATGCCGAACTATATGCTATAATCAAAGCTCTAGACCACTTAAGTAAAGTAGACAGTTCTAAATTTTGCCTTATCACAGACAGCAAAAGCGCCATAGCACAAATTGAAAACTTCAATACAAATTCAAAAAGTGACTATCTTTTGAGTGATAAAAGTGATTAAAGAAGACACATGACCTAAAGAGTTGCAACAAAACTGTCGTCTTCTGCTGGAGTAGGGCACACATTGGCATAAAAGGCAACGAAACGGTTGACCACCTGGCCAATCATGCAACGAAGGAAGGAGAATACTCGGACATCAGGCTTCCAAGACTGGATGCCAAGCGTTTGCTGAGCTCCGTGTGGAAGGATGAATGGATCGCCTGGTATAACACGAGTAAAGGAGCCTCCTACCGATCTATATTTAATAGTCCTACCACTGTTCCTTGGTTCAAGAACGAACATGGAAGCAAAAAATTCTTTTCGGTTTCAATTTGAATTGAGGAAACAAAATTTGAGGACGAACCATGCTATCTGCGGATCTCATTTGTATAGGATCAGACTCAGACAGTCGCCAAATTGCCCAACCTGTGATGAACCAGAGACCCTCAAACACTTAGTGTTCTCCTGTGTGGAGCACGAAACTACTAGAGCAACTCTTTTTGACTGACTCTTCCTGCTGAAAGAAGTAATTAAGCCGTTTTGTTTTGAGAGCCTGTTGGCATCAGGTAACAGAAAAGTCTATAGAGGAATTTATGAATTTCTACAGAACCACCCGGCTGCATCTCACGATATCTGAATAGCTTTTGATTAATGGTCACTAATCTCTACACATTTCTACAGAACACCGAGTTGGACTTATAATTAAGTCAGATAGCCGAGAGGCCTGGGATTCCGCTGGATGGTCTGGGCGGGCTGGGTGGGTTGCTGACAGGGGGGTTGAAGAAAGTGCACAGGGCAAGTTGTGCCCCAGACTGCGGGGAAGATGCGGACTTTTCCAGGGGATGTAAGTGGTTTTTATCCGCATCTTTCTGAAGCATCCGAATCTGGGTGGTGTTGCCCAAATGTCAAATGTCTACACTTAATAGATGCACTTCGGCCGACCGGTCGGCGGTGGCCTGGTCTGGTTCCATTCTGGTGAGATCTTGGACTTAGACACTACTCACGGGACTTTGGCTGTTTGCTAAAAAGGCGAGGCCATGAAAAAAAAAAAAAAAATGTATTAACAAGTGCTGTCTGGATTCGATGTCCATTGACCAATTTCAGTTAATTGTTGTGTATTGGATCAGGAGTGCAGTCTTAATTAATTAATTACTATTGTAATTTCACAAACTTTTTGTCATCTATTCAGCCTTCTTCAGGGCTTTACATTAATTAGCTGTTACATTATAATTAGTGTATATGATTTTTCATTGTGTACACATTGGTATTATTGACTTATTACAGTTTTTTAAAATATTATAAATATTTTTACCCATTTAGGACCAAGAACACTTTTCCCCCACCTTAAATCATTCACATAGCTATTCTATTAAATAATTTATTTAAAGGTTTGTTAAGTCTTATATTGTCATTTAGCTTATAGACACTGCTAGAGATATGCTTGATACTGAGTTGACATCGATGGCAGGAGAAAGTTACCAGCGAGCCTACCCTGCGATGGTGTCTGTACAGATGCTGGCAGAATTGGAAGAAGTCATCCAATACAAGCTAGTTCCTCAAAGACAACCAATGATAAGGAGCATGTGGTGGAGAAGACTACAAGTAATATAATTTGTTAAAATTTGAAAGTTGATTTTCCATTATACAAATTAACATTAATTACTTTATTTATTTAACTAATAAAAGGGATGCCAAAGAATAGTTGAAGATTGGCAGCGAATAATTCAAGTTAGGACGTTGGTGGTGAGCCCACAAGAGGATATGTACACCTGGCTTAAGTACGCCTCTTTGTGCAGAAAATCTGGAAGACTTGTAAGAATATTTTTTTAGTTGTTTCGTATTATGTATAAAATTTGTTGTTTGTTTAGAAATTGTCACACAAAACTCTTGTGATGTTGATGGGCTTTGACCCAACTTCCAATGGGGATCAGCAACTTCCTACAACTTATCCGCAAGTGACATATGCTTACACTAAGCATCTTTGGACTTCTGGAGAGAAAGACAAAGCTTTCAGGTGAAAAAAAAAAAAAAAAAAAATCAACAAGATAACTTGATTGAACTAATTGAGTAATCCTTGTTTTCAATTAATTATACACAATTTTTTCAAAATGAAAAATTTGTGTCACAGGCGGGATTCGAACCCACAACTTTCGGCTCAACACACCGCTGGTCTACGACTTGAGCTACTGTGACTTCAATCACCCATGCCATTCTAGATTGATACTAAATTTTTAATTATTAAAAATCTAGAATCACACCCGTGAATCGTGCACAATCCCGCTAATGTAGTGCAATTGTTAATAGAAAGTTCTTCTATATGAATCCGCGATTTGCTTACAATTGGAATAAAAGGGGGGAGTCAAAATGAGAAGTTTGTGACGGGTGATTGAAGTCACAGTAGCTCAAGTGGTAGAGCAGTGGCGTATTGAGCCGAAAGACGTGGGTTCGAATCCCGCCTGTGACAAATTTTTCATTTTGAAAAAATTGTGTATAATTAATTGAGTATTTATATAATTAAGTCGAAGCTGATAAAATAATTTTAAAAAAAATCATTGTTTTGTTTCAACAGCCAGCTTAACACTTTTATCCAAGCTGCACAACAGCAACCCATCATGCAGTTATCAGGCCCTGACGATTTTAAGCAACAAGACTTGAGGAGAAGACTACTTGCAAGGTTAGACTGATTCTTTTGGTTAATTCTTGTAATATTTAGAATTTTGGTTCAGCGTGTTAATATTATAGGTGTTATATGAAATTGGGTTCATGGCAAGAACAACTTCAAGGCATAAACGAACAGTCGATACCTGCCATACTTCAGTGTTACATGTCGGCGAAACAGCACGATGATACTTGGTACAAAGCTTGGCATGCATGGGCTTATATGAACTTCCAAACTGTATTATTCTACAAAAATCAGCAAATGCAGCATTTGAATGAAGAACAAAAAGCACAAGTAAAATAAAAAAATAAAATTTAAAAAAAAATTCTTACTGCACTTAACAAATATTTAATTTTTCTTCTTCTTTTAGCATGTATCGCAGTTTACAGTACCAGCAGTCGAAGGATTTTTCAAATCAATTGCTTTATCCCATGGAAGTTCTCTTCAAGATACATTACGGTTACTTACATTGTGGTTTGATTATGGACAATGGCCTCAAGTGTATGAAGCAATAGTTGAGGGAATTAGAACAATTGAAATCAACACATGGTTACAGGTATTCCAGTTCTCATATAATATTATTAAAAAATATATTTAAATTCTGTCTCTCTTCTCTCTAGGTCATTCCTCAACTGATTGCTAGAATAGACACTGTTCGTACCTTTGTCGGTCGATTGGTACATCGCCTTTTGATTGATATTGGTAAACAGCATCCACAAGCTCTTGTTTACCCTTTGACGGTCGCAAGTAAATCTGCCAGCTTACCTCGACGTTTTGCCGCAAATAAGATTTTGAAAAGTATGCGGGAGCACAGTCCAAATTTAGTTCAACAAGCAGTGATGGTAATAGATTTTGTGAGGTTTATTTTTATTTGTTTTTATTATGTATTTAATTTTATAGGTAAGCGATGAGCTTATCAGAGTTGCTATACTGTGGCACGAGTTGTGGCATGAAGGTCTGGAAGAAGCGAGCAGACTTTATTTTGGGGAGCAAAACGTCAAAGGGATGTTTGAAACATTGGAGCCACTCCATGCAATGTTAGAAAGAGGCCCTCAGACATTAAAAGAAACATCGTTCAATCAAGTACTTAGTTCATTTTGTCATTGACATTACATTAAAAGAAAATATTATGAGAATGTTTTTTTTTCCAGGCATATGGGGCAGATCTTGGTGAGGCTATGGAATGGTGCCATCAGTACAAGATATCAGGGAATGTCAGAGATCTGAATCAGGCCTGGGATCTTTACTATCACGTGTTTAGAAGGATAACTCGTCAACTGCCTCAGTTGACGTCTTTGGAACTGCATTATGTCTCGCCAAGGCTGTTACTTTGTAGAGATTTGGAACTCGCAGTTCCTGGCTCTTATGTTCCTAATCAGCCCATTGTACGAATCGCTTATATTAACAGTTCGTTGCAAGTTATAACTTCTAAACAACGTCCAAGAAAACTTTGCATCAAAGGTATGACAATAAATATTCTGAATAAATTAAGATTTTAAGTTGAGATAAAAAAATTCAGTGTCACGAGCGGGATTCGAAGCCACGGCCTTCGGCTTGATACGCCGCTACTCTACCTCTTGAGCTATCGTGACTTAAATCCACTTGGACACTAACTTCCCATCTCAACCGCACCTTTTGAATTTTCCCTCCTTTTTGCCATTTTTCAAATGTCGTTTAATCTATTTGATTCTCATTTGGTTAAGCAGACCACGAAAAATAGTGAATTTAATGAATTAAAATGAAGTAAACTTCACTAAAGCTCTCCGTGGCCATTTCACTTGTTCGCCAAGAATCAAATAGATTACATGACATTTGAAAAATGGCAAAAAGGAGGGAAAATTCAAAAGGTGCGGTTGCGATGGGAAGTTAGTGCCCGAGGGGATCAAAGTGACGATAGCTCAAGTGGTATCAAGCCGAAGGCCGTGGGTTCGAATCCCGCTCGTGACACTGACTTTTTTGTCTAATTAATTGAAAAATATTAATTGGTCAAGTGGACCACCAAAAATAGTGAATTCTGAATAAATTAAAAAAATAAAAATCTAGTATGTGTTATTTATTTTATTTTTTGTAGGAAGTAATGGAAACGACTATATGTTTTTATTGAAAGGACATGAAGATTTACGACAAGACGAAAGAGTAATGCAGTTATTTGGTCTTGTCAATACTTTATTGTTAAATGACCCTGATACTGCTAGGCAAAATTTGACTATTCAGGTAAATCCTTTAAATTTAAATTCCTTTTTTTTGTTACTTTTAATAATTATAATTTAAAACTAGTATATTTGTTAATCTAAATATTGTAAAACGCAGATAGGTTATACAAAAAGGTAGCATTTGGCTTAGTTTTAATATGCTGGTTTTGTTTTGAATTATTAAAAATAATCTACTAACGTCATATTAATTTTTCCAGAGATATGCTGTGATACCTTTGTCCACAAATTCCGGTTTGATTGGGTGGGTTCCTCATTGTGATACGTTACATACTTTGATAAGAGATTATAGAGAAAAAAAGAAAATTTTGTTGAACATAGAGCATAGGATTATGACAAGGGTAAGTAAATATAAGTAAAATAACAATGACTGATTGGTTTAATACAATTGTTATTTTTTTTAGATGGCTCCCGATTATGAGCATTTGACATTGATGCAGAAAGTTGAAGTATTTGAACACGCTCTAGAACACACGCAAGGCGATGATTTGGCCAGGCTCTTATGGCTTAAATCGCCTTCGTCAGAAGTTTGGTTCGACAGGAGGACAAACTATACAAGATCGCTTGCAGTAATGTCTATGGTCGGTTATATATTAGGATTAGGTGATAGGTGAGTTATTTATAATTTTAAAAATTTTATCCATTCTATTCAAACTGTTCAAATATGTAATTATATTTAGGCATCCCTCTAACCTAATGTTAGACAGACTCAGTGGAAAAATATTGCATATTGATTTTGGAGATTGTTTCGAGGTTGCAATGAACAGAGAGAAATTCCCCGAAAAAATTCCATTCCGGTTAACTAGGATGCTTGTCAATGCAATGGAGGTAATATAGAGTATGGAATGTTTCAAATTTGAATTTTGAGTGTGCAAATTTTTAGGTGACCGGGATTGATGGCACATACACAAGAACTTGCGAGAGTGTAATGACCGTTCTTCATAGGAATAAAGATAGTTTAATGGCTGTACTGGAAGCGTTTGTTTATGATCCTTTGTTGAACTGGAGGCTTATTGAAAACAATGCTAATTGCAGTAAAGCCAAAAGGGCTCAAGCAGGATCGAACCATTCTCAAGACCCACTCACTGAACTTCACGACAGTTTGTCGACGATGATGACAAACAAACCTGCGATCCCGAGCAGCGTAGAAAATATAGGTTTTTATTTAAAAATGCCAATTTTTGTTAGAAATTTACTGTAATTTGATAATTTCAACCCAAATTTTCTGCTTTAGGAGATGGTTCCCAACCAGAAAATACAAATAAAAAAGCTCTAGCTATCGTTACAAGAGTAAAGGAAAAGTTAACAGGGCGTGATTTTGCACATGAAGAAAGTCTGACTGTAAATCGCCAAGTTGAACTTTTAATACATCAGGCAACATCTAATGAAAATTTATGCCAGTGTTACATCGGTTGGTGAGTAAATTTATTTAATCATGGTAATATTGAATTTTATCAATAGAAAATAACTGGGTATTAATGTTCTGTTAGGTTTAAGTTTTTTAAATAGTGTGTTCTCCTTCCCCCCTTAAAATTAACATAATCTGTGCAGACATAAATCATAATTTTTTTCATACTTTTACGGTATTCATTTTGTTAAACATGAGTCACAGTCAATATATTAATTGCAGACTATTCTCATTTTACCTTCTAATATCTCAGCCCACACAAAATACAGTGAAATCCCTTTTAATGGATAATTTTTGCATTCCTTGGCAAAAAAAGATAAGATTTCTGTGTATTTTAAACCCTCTATAAACCCCTCCAAACTGGTCGCAGACACTGCCATCAGTCCTCATCAGAGTAATTCACCCGTCTAGAACAGATGTAAACAGTAAAAATATATTAAATGAGGAAATATTTGTTACAATTATTTTATATTTTTTAATTAAAAAAAAAAGGTATGACATGTAGAAATTTTCTTTTCTGAGAAATCATAAAAACTGTAACCCTTTTCTAAGGGCCTCACATACCCTGTTTTGTACTAGAAATTGTTAAGATAGAGTCGATCAATTCACTGGTTAAAAATGATGGTTCTTCTCAAAAAAAGTTTATGAGTAGGACCATCGTTTTCAACCAGCATTATGTTTTGTGTTCATTTGAACTTGTTTTGATAATCCATGTGTAGTTACTTCATACTTACTATTTTCTTCTTAAGGTTTGTTCCTCCTCCGAACACTTCTATCCCACACAGGATTGTTCACCTATTTGACAGTTTCTTTTTCGTTTTTGCCTGGAAACTACATTAACTTCATGTGGTCTGTTTCTTCTTTGAAAGCTTGTTTTACATATAGGAACCAAAAATTCATATCCCACTGCTTTAACACAGTTGACTCTGGTCGGAGGAGTGCCACCCTATCTATTTGATAAGTAATTCCTGTCACAGGAGGGCTTAACATCCAACTGTGTTAAGCGTTTATTAAATTGGATGTCATGGACGAACGGTCAAACTCTTAATAATACTTTCTTCATATTATTTATAATTAACAAGCCCTAGTCTGTGGGGACTGCTATTGTGGCTGTTGTATACACACTTAAGCCGCACTTTACTTATGCTCTGTTTCACAGATTCAATTTTCAAAAATTACATCCTTGGAAAAAATCCGTTTCAAAATTTCAGTTTCTCCTTTTCTGTAAAAAAACATCTCTGACTGGCATATCTGTTTTTCTGATAAAAAACCCAATTTTAATGGCCTTTTTTATCTGAGCTGTGGTGGCTATTAAAGTTACATTGTGAGATTTTACATCAAAACTCTGGATGTCTGTTCTATCTGAAATTCACATGACATCGAGTCTATTTTACACTTTCTGATAGTGTTCAATTCTGAGTGAAATTCGTTTGTTTCACCGCATTTGTTTCACTCTGTTGAGGTTTTTGGATGGCTCAGATTCTCGACGCTTCATTCGTTATGCATGTAATTGTGCACAAGTTGATGTGAGAGTTTAATTTTTGATTTGTTAATAATTTTTTTATTTACACTTATTTTTCTTTTTAAATAGTTGTACATGCTATAATTTTTTTAATCCTACAACCTCCAGAATTTTGTAATTAATGCTGCAAATTGAAATTTTATTTTTTATATTTTAAATAAAGCATTGTTTATTATTATTATTATATTTGAATGCATCACAAATGTAAAATGCGTTTATCTAAATTTTAAAAAAAGCTAATATCAATTTTTTTAAATATAAACATTTTTATTTAATTAAAAGTTTCATTAAAGTGTTAATTATTATTTATTTCTGTAGAACATAAAAGTTATTTTGATTTAAAAAAAAAAAAAAAACTAATTTCAACTCCTTCTGAACGAATACCCCTCAATAAGGAACGACAAAAACGCATTTCTTGCGTTTTTTTTTTTTTTTCATTTATTAGTTACATATATGTATAAGTTATTATTTATTTTGTATGCCCCCTTACTTTTTTTAAAATTAATATACACGCACACATTTGCAATTCATTTCTTGTTACAAACTAACATGTCTAGAAATATTCTGTAAGCAAAAAAAAAAAAAAAAGATTTAAACAGAGAAAATAATGAAATGTTCCCTTTTTAGATAGTTTCTACTTACAGTTTTTAGTAGCAAAGCCGTTCTTAAGTTTGTTTGTTCGTTTTAATTATTTCAACTCATATTAATTAAAACATTTAAACAAGGCCTAAAAAGACAATTTTATTAAATTTACCATGTTATTTATGTCCACAGGTGCCCGTTTTGGTAGCAGCGTTTTGTACACATCAGCTGTTTTTCAAGTTCAATGTTTTGTATATTTTTTAGTTTAACTTTTAAGTTATTTTTATTTTAATGTGAATTGTTATATAATTTTTAGTAAATAAAATAAGTTTTAATAATTCTCATTGTAAATTTACCATTACTTTTGGAAATAAAGGTTTAATTTGCGTTTTATAAATTGTCAGTTTTATGAGCTATTTTGCAATTGATAGAATGAATTGTACATAACAGTTTTTACGTTTTTTTTTCGGGCTTTTAAAATGATGAGATGAAATATTTATGATTCGATATTCCTTTTATTTCCGGGCTTTTTTCCTTGAAAAACAAAAACCCCTTAAGGTATAAAATTAGAGAAGAAAAAGTAGAAATGTATAAATAACAGGTATTATTTGTTAAAATATTATAATAGAATAATTATATTGTACATTTGTTAAATGAAAGTTCAATAAATAGCATTAAATTTGCTAAGAACATACAAAATAAAAATATATCAATATTAACATATACAGTTTGTTGATTTAATTAATTATAATATAAACTTCCAGTCAACTTGTAATACTACCCGAAATTTTAGACTTAGAATAAAATGGGGAACAATACTTTATGAAATGATGGATTTTGTAATAAAGTCAAGCATTTTTTTTTATTTTAAAACAGTGTAAATAATTTCATATGATTATAATTACTTGAGATGCAATTTTGTTTTCAATACATTTTCCACAGAAGGAATGAATACACTAGCAATCTATTAATAATTAATCGTTTCATGAGAATATAAGTAGTTTAGCAATTATATATATCAATCAAATTTACATCCCTTTTTGACCCAATAATCACAATGATATGATATATTTAAGTGGTAAGGAACTAATTAAAATACAACTCCTATCATTTGAATCACAGCGCCAACTTGTCAACATATATTAAGATAAAATAAAATATTGGCTTGATACAAGTCATTAATTACCATAAAAATCAAATTACAAAATTGATAATTAAAATTTTAAATGTAATGTATATTAAAATTATTAATTTTTTACTTTCTAAGTTCCATTTTTCTGGGGATAGAAAAAGAAAATGTGTGAATTACTCTGACTCGACCATACATTTTTTCTCTAAGGTAAAAGGTTTAAGCTATGCAACACATCTAAGAAGCTTATAGTAGGCTTAATGATACTTTTATCTTTTCGATTACATAATTAAAAAATAAGAGATAGTTTATTAAACTGTTGGTTTCAATGAAAGATTTCTTAAAAGACAAAGGTCACTCGCTGTCGCCTTTCGCCCAGCGGGTGAAGTTAAATCGTACAGTCGTAACACCAAATCTGTTGAAAATAGGTTGGGTAATGCCCGCACCAAATTGGGTACCTGAAAATCATTTTATTACAAAAATGCACAATTTTACACACAAGTGGGCGACTCACAAGAGTATTGGGCATTCCTTGAAGCAGCGGCCTTGTTTGATCGTGTCCACATGTGACAATCTGCTCCAGGACACGAAATACAAAATGGCTTTGTTGAGAGATGTAAAGAGTGTGATCTGTGATGAGTGAAAATGATGTGAACAGGCTTTTCAATGATTCTAGCAATGGACCGTTAAGAGGTGGGACTTGGGGTTCAATTGAATTACCACCTTTGAGTATGATTGCTCCTTCTTCAAGGTGAAGCAGTTTTGCTGGGATTCCAATATCTTCAAGATCCTGTAAAATATAAATAGTCAAATACTGGGCTCCACTTTTTTTTAAAGTTATAACGTACATCAGAAGGAGGGTAAGGTCGTTTTCGTGTATTCGAACTTTGAGACTGCCAAGCTGCGTACGTACAGTAAGCACACAATTTTGCCACTGCAGATGATTGTGGCTCCACAATATCATTGCTTCTGAAATGTCAAATCAGTGTTGATTTATATGGTAGAACATTATCTGAGGTTCTGACTCAAATTTTATGAGCAAAACCTTGTAATAAATTGTTAGTTAAATTTTATGAGCGAAACCGTGTAATAAATTAGTTAAATTTTATGAGCAAAACCATGTAACAAATTGTTAGTTAAATTCATTCTATCGGTATTCCGGTGTTTTAATCAATTTTCTTTCAAACCAAAATTAAACAGTTTTGATTAAAACTAATGAATTTTTGATCTCGTTTAATTTTGTTTACATTCAAATAAGCACGTTGTAATTAATATAATGAAAAAAATACATATAGTTTGAAATAAACTACAAAAAATATGAGTGTCTTCGACTGTACTCGATGAAAATCTGGACATGGGGAACTTGGTTGTATCACATAGAATAGGGTAGGCGTAGCGTGTTGTTGGGCGGATGTGCATACAGGGGGGGATGCAATTTTATGGAAAATTGGACATTGGATTTATATCGAGTCGCTTCGGGTCACATTGCATTGTGTAGCGTTCGGGAGTGTTCCCCGCTCAATATATTTCAGTACTATCATGGACTTCGTTGAGCCAGCTGCTGTGTGTGCTCTTGAATTAAGAAGGAAGAAAAAAAAAAAAGAGCAATAATATTGGGTGCATCTTGTCATCAGCCAAAGTTTGAAGGAAAAAAAAAGCAATTTTATTAATTACGATGCCATTCATAATTTTTTTAAAATTGTTATCGAATGAGCATCAAGAGCTTCGATGTTCTTTCAGATTTGATACTGCCTAACATCACACATCTGGAGAAACTGCTTTCTTAACAATCTGCCAAACAAATACTACAAGTTCATAGCACCCAATGGAATTGTCTGATTGTTTAGTTGCTGTGAGCGCAGTCGCCATTAACTCTACGATACAAGTGCGTTGCATAAAGTTGTGACAATACTCCGGGTATGAGGAAAGCTAAGAGATTTATAAACAATTTAAAACGGAAGGTGAAATAACTCTCTCAGCAGGCAGGATATGAGAAAAATTATAAGCCTCTATACCAGCCTTTTAACTTTCACCTTAAGAAGATAGGCAAGGCTGAGCGGAACATGCTGATTCTGCCAAGAAGAACCAAAGACATCAGCTCTTATCCTTTGTGAATGTAAAGCATTACCCCATTACAGCCACTTCAGTAGGACATTTCTCATACCCAAAGAAATCCACAAAGGAAAAAAGTACTCTGTTTCATAAGGAATAGCACCCTTTCCTTGGCTATGAAGCTAAATGAGTTCCACAACAGACTTGTTTAGGTTGCAGCCAAGGAATGAATTGTGTACCTTTAAAAATATAAAATAAAATAAATTACACACAAACTATTTAGCTTGTCGGATTTGCAGTTGTATGTCAGTTTTGAGGGTGCACACTTTCATACAAACCCTTTTTAAATAGATAAAACACTGGCATACAAAGAATTTGTATGATATTTATTGACTATATACAATTTTTACAAAATATCTGTTATTTTAGGCAATCTTGTGAGAAAAAAAAATTTAATAGTATTTCTGTAGTATCTATAATCTTAATTTTCTTTGTTTCTCAAACAATAAAGAAGTTGAGAAAAGAACACACGTTTTACTTGATTGATGTTGGACAATTTAATGTTTTTATTGTTTTCCTAGAAAGACGAATAATCTTAATTTTCTTTGTTTCTCAAACAATAAAGAAGTTGAGAAAGAACACACATTTTACTTGATTGATGTTGGACAATTTAATATTTTTATTGTTTTCCTAGAAAGACGTATCGTTTGAGCCAATACAAGTAAAAAATTTTTTTCTTTCTTCACAATATCATGAACCATTTGTTCGCTAAATCTGAAATTCAGCAGCTAATTGTTTTAGATTGTCATAATTTCATCAATACAATTTATTATTATTAATTAAAAAAAATAATAATAATAAGGATAAGAGGTTGAATAATGATTTTAAAAATACTTTCCTCCACTGCAGCCTATATAAATATATTGTGGAACCCCCATACATTATAACCATAAGCAGTGCACTTTTTCCTTTAAGACAAAGCACTTTCCTCGGACCTTCACACAACTCTTTTTTGTGAAAATTGCCTTACCGATGTGGCTGTACTGTAACTGGGCTAATGCATCACATTCACCGAGGATATCTGCTGATGTCTCTGGTTCCTCCTGTCTCTACGTTGCCCATCTTCTTTGGGCGGTAATTCAGTGGCTGGTTTAGTCATCTATAATTTTTTTAGACTCATGCCTGCTGAGAGAGGAGGTGTTCCTTTGCTTTCCTTTTTGAGAGATTTATATATCTCTTAGCTTGCCTTGTACCAGGTGATTTTGTCCAGAGCTTGAGTGTTTCTTTTTCAAGCTATTTTTTAGTTCCAACTACACACATTACAGTGTACCTTGTGGTTCTGGTCCCATGAACGAAAGGGCTACTTCTTTTTAGCTAGTTGGTCATCCTGTTTATTTCTTCCTACATCTTCATACACCTATGTCGAGATGTTATTGAGAAACCAACTTGGCTATCCCAGAGGGCTTAAATGTCATGTCTGGGAACCACTTTAAGGTAAATTTGTGTTTTCTTCAGGCACTCCCAAATAACCATGGAGTTAGTTAAAAGCATTATTTAGTGCCTTTATTTCTACCCTGTGATTAAGAAAATTTGTGCACCTTGTTTCATTTAGCACAATACTTTTTTTAATGCTACATTTACATTGGCAAATTAGGGTTGAAAGCAAAGTGGGGAAAAATAAAACCAACAATAGCCTGGGTAATGGGGGGGGGGTTCTACCGTATTCTAAAACAAGATAATAAATATACTTACAGGTTGTTGTTGTGCAGATATTGTGGCACTACAGTAGTAAGTAAAACTTCAGTGCACACTTCTATATTCAAATGAAATACTGCTAAGGCTAAATCCACGGCTTTATTGAGCTCCTCCTTATAACGGAGTTTCATAATTTCCTACAAAAATTCATGATTTATTATTCTGTTCAAAATTACTGTCATACTCAAAAAACTATAGTATATATTTACCTTAACAATATTCGTGACAAACCATTCTGGTCCTGCTGTAAGAAAAAGGCTTTCAAAAGCGTGAGTTGCGTTGATGTTAAACCAACCTCTTTCATGCACCCCAGACCATACATCTGCAAGTTCTTCGCTCATTGGCTCCTTCGAAACAATGCTAAGTGGAAAAAATATTAATATGGCCCATGTCAATAGTAAGTATATAATAAAATTTACCTATGAGACAAATTTATGACTTTAAGTTTTGATGATGTTGCCAATTGCATGTCATATTGCATTTTTCTGATCATCTGGACCATCAGAGTTGATCTATCTTTAAAATTGTCTTGATGTGAACCCTCTTCTGAACCAACACCAACAGGTGATAAGAACTGTTGTACCATGTTCATTGGCTTAAGCAAGGCATCTTGATGTAAGATCTGAAATACATTTTTAAAAAATTAATAAATAATCATTTATATTTTCAAATTTAAGACCGTAAAAAAAAATAACAGACTTGCATGTAGCTGCATAACCAAAGGGATGCACATATTGGCAAACAACACATGCTTTGTCTCATGTTGTCTAAAATTCTTTTAACATCAGTTGCTGAAAGAGCACCTTGCTCCCACGCCAAAACAACTTCCTTCATGGTTGCTCCGACGCTCTTGCATATTACATCCCAACCAACTCCTCTGAAAAAAAAAGAATAAAAGTTGTTAAATTAAAATATATTTGTTGACACTGCAGTCATTTTATACATTGAAGAGAAATCCGGCTGGTTGGAATTCAGTTGTGCAAGAAGGGCATCAACGACAGCTGTATCTGCCTGCTGCAACATGGCATCAGGGCATTTTGGCTTGCCTCGTTCGATCATAAAATCTTCCACCCAATGTTCAAAAAAGCTTTTTTCACCGACATTTTCATGTTCAATCACAACATTCGAACCATTTGACTGAACGATGAAACACAGCATAACAAAAGTTATGTCAAATAATACTGGTCTACTTGTTTTGGCATACTCGTTGAACTTTATTAATTTCGTGACAAATGGTTTGATTTCACCTTCAACTGCTGCTACTGCCAGGATAAGCTCAAAACTTTTCCCTGTTAACACCTGTGATAAAACATTCGGTAGTGGGTCCTTAAAAAAAATAAACAAAAACAGTAAATAACAGTTAAAAATATTAATAAATACAATGCTTTTCAAGTTACTTGAATTTTAGCCAGATCAGCATCTAAAGTCTTTAAAATGCGCTGCAATGTCGGTTGAGCTCTGATTATAACTTTGAAGATTGGCTGGGACTGGGCTCCTGAATTAATTTCTGTTCTAGGCAAACCAAAACTAACAGCTTCCCGTCTAAAAAAACCCAAAAAGTATACAATTTTTAAATATATTTAAATTAAATAGTACTACATCTAGGTCTAATTTTTTGTTGAGGTCTATTGGGTGATGAACATATAGTTTCATCATTATTTCTTTAATACAATGTATGTTGTGTATTTTTTTAAAATCATTTTCCAGCCGTTTATTGTAGTATGATGAGGTTTGTTAAAATAATTTATTTCAACAAATCTCATCACACTACAATAAATGGCTGTAAAAAAATTAAAGTAAATTTTAAAAAAGTCAACATACATTATATTATAGATAATTAAACCAGCAAAAAAGTTTATTTAATATCATTCATTCTAATCATCCATCTTTCATTTAGCATTGTTGATAATATATTGCTAAATTTTCAAGTATATAAATTTTCCATACTTTGCAAAGTATGATTTTACATGGGATTCATTGAGCATTAAATTAAATTTTAAAAAGTCAGCATACATTATATTATAGATAATTAAACCAGCAAAAAAAAGTTGATTTAATATCATTCATTCTAGTCATCCATCTTTCATTTAGCATTGTTGATAATATATTTCTACATTTTGAGTGTATAAATTCTCCATACCTTGCAATGTATGATTTTACATGGGATTCATTGAGCAATTTCAATTTAACGAGCTCAGCAAGAAGTGCCTCAATGCAGTTGAAAGAAACTGGAGAATCCATGAGATCAAGCAATGGTACAAACTGAACCAGCAACTGTATCGCTTCTACGATATCCTCACTATAATCTCCTTCGGCTAAAAATTCCATGTTCAAATCAAAAACCTTGCTTATTTGCATAGTTTTGAAGTTCCATGTGATACTAACGTGATGATTGAATATTTGATCCGTTTAGCGCTGATAGGACATAAGGAAGCTTTAGAAATGTGAATGCGCCCCATTTTGATTCTTCGCTTGTTCCCAATGCATCATTCAAACTCATTAGGCAAGCTCGAATAACTTCACAGCACAGTCTTGACATCTTATACCCCTAAATATTTAAATACATACACTAAATTCTGTTTGTTTAAAAAAAAGAGATATGTATATATACAATTTATGTTTAAAGAAAGTACCTTGAGGCGTTGTAATAAGCGTAGCTGATTTGCTAGGTGATTTGTTTCAGCGCCAAGGTTTTGTATAACTTGTACTGCAAGAAGGGGTTGAACACAATAAGTAAGAGGCTCTGAAACATCTGCTCCTCTATCAGTTAAAGTTGTTAAGCTGGTGTTTCCTAACTCTAAACTACACAACTTCCTAAATTATCAAAAAGACATTATTTTTAGTTTTATTTAATTTATTGGAAATTATAAAGAAATATAAACAAATTAGACATAAAAAAATTACATTAAAGTGTCCTGAATAGGAGCAGCAGCAGCTATATTGCTGTTTTGTGAGACAATCACCTCAATTTCCTGACATTTTTTAACAACTTCATTGTAGAGATCTAAACATTTTAACGTTATAAAATACGATTAATTGAAAATAAACCGACTATTAAGTTTTGACCTTTGTCATCATGCTTAGCTAAATACAGCATGGCAGTCAGAAAATCGCAGTTCAACATATAGTGAAGTATCGCCGAAGGTTTTTGAAGCATTTCATTGACAGGTTCGGAATTGGTGAGTGCATGGTGGTAGCACTGGAGAAGCCAATGAACGAGGCTCAATATCGCGCTGGCTAGTATTCCTTCTTCAGGTTTGCCACGGCATGTGATACCACTCTACAAAATTATGAATTAACAACTAACACACAATTAGGAATCCAGAATGTTTACCTGTATGCTTTCGACAAACTCTAGAAGGCAGTTGATGCAGTGAGGTTTGTGAAAGCCGTCGTATTTGGCAATGCGTTGCAATACCGAAGCGTATGACACTAGCTGCAAACATAGAAAGAAAGCTAATAAAAAAAATCTTTTTTTATTTAGCATTTTATTTGTTTAATGGATAGAAATTAATTTCACCTGGGAGCTGAGAGAATGTTTAAGGTATGAGAGTACAAGTTGATTTGGTGCTGGGCCTACAAGAGCTTGCTGAAGGATGCAGTCTGCAAGATTATAAACATCCCCGCTTACACCTCTTGGAAGGATCTGATGTAAAAAAAACAATGAAAAATGATTTTATTAAATAATAGTTCAACATTTTTACTAACTAATAAAAATTACAATTATGAGACAATTGCAAGTCATGTAAAGTTCATTTAATGTATAACTGCAAAAAATTTCTTTATTTGCATGTAATTTAAGTAATTTAATAAAACCTAATAAAATTATTCCAAACTAATTTGTAGGAAAACTATCACTAGTCTTCTCAGGCTGCCAAAAATACAAAAAAGGAATAAAAATATTTCAATTGGGCTATACTAACGTTCATTTGTAACGAACAGAACAGTAAAATAATTTACGCATGTGTAGCATGTGTTATGTATATACATAATGGTTAGGGTAATATAACATTTGTAATAAATTATAAATATGTAATGATATTCAGATAGAGATGTTTCAGAAAGACTAAATAGAAACATTGTATGTAATAATTAACAATCTCTACCCTACACACATAATTAACAGAATAATCAACAACTACATCTCAACACTAACATCATCCACTAATAATTATAATTAATTAAGGTTTTTAGTTGAGATAAAAAAGCCAATGGCACGAGCGGGATTCGAACCCACAATCTTCAGCTTGATATGCTGCTGCTCTACCACTTGAGCTATCGTGACCTCGATCCACTCGGACACCAACTTCCCATCTCAACCGACTTTTGAAAAATGGCAAAAAGGAGGGAAAATTGAAAAGGTGCGGTTGAGAAGTTGGTGTCCGAGTGGATCGAGGTCACGATAGCTCAAGTGGTAGAGCAGCGGCGTATCTAGCCGAAGATCGTGGGTTCGAATCCCTCTCGTGCCATTNTTATACAAAAATGTCTTTTCTATACCGACTTCCTTCCCCACCCCTTCAAAATCCAACATAAACATAAAACAGCAATATCACACTGGCACTCTCAACACGACACACAAAAATGGCACAATTACACAGAAGACAAACACTTTGAGTGAGTAGAAATACTTTGATTGACTAAAAAAAAAATATAAAAATATATATATTGTATAAATTCACTTTTCCACATCCTAAATGTATTTGTTAAATGTAAACAATGTTTGTAAATCCCAGGCCCTGAAGATGATCGAAACGTTGGCACGATAAAGAAAATGTTTTTTCTGAAACCTACATCTCACCAGACCACATCTCTCGATTTCTGAATAATTGTAAAAATTAAAAATGACTAATTAATTATTGTAAAAAATAATATATGCTCAGGAACAGACTACAAAAAAAAGTAACTTATGTTTTTGAAAGAATAATAATATTTGAACAAATGTATTTGTAAAATTAAAAAAAGTATATTTATAAATAAGTCTGTATACAAATATATAGGTGTCTATGTATTATTTTATATTTTACTTATATGCATATATGTATGTAGTGTTAATTGTTTTAATGGAGTATTTAAAAAATTATTGTAGGAGTAAGTTAAATGAGATTCCTCAGATAGTTTATTTAATTTGTCTTTGGTAATAAAGGTAATTACTTAGCAAACCAAGTAAACACAAAAATTAGAAATCTAAAGGTATATAAATAATAAAAACTTAATCTATCTATTTGTAAAAGGATGTCATCAAACTGAAAATATTTATTTTTGAATCCGATTGCACATCCAATTATTAAGAGAAGAATCAAAAATTAAAAACTACAAATTCTAATAAGTAGAAAAAAACATGCTCAGGAAGTCATTTGGAATAAATTAACATTCAAAAAGATTGTTGGGAAAAATGAAATTCATATTCATGGGAGTTCACACCCATTAAGGTAGTACTGTTAGAAAAAAAAATTCCCCCAGTATGATTTGCCCAGGTTTTTAATAAAGAAAACTTTATGCATGATTTTTTAAAAACAAATTCCCTTTTTGTTAACAGTTAATGTAACGATCCTGCATGTTTAAACAATTAAACATTAATATTACTTGTGCTTTGATGATTTTTTAAAAATTCATCTTGGCTCATTCAGACAGTAACTTCTTATCTTATCTTATTACACGCACATACACATGCACACCATGCATGCACACACACACACACACACACACACACACACAGAGCAAATCAGATGATAAAAATAATAACAATAAAAATACTTAAAGTGAAAAAATGAAAATCCAAAAATAAATAAATAAAACTGTTTATGGGTGTGGTTAACTTAATGAAAAAATTATTGAAATTTAAAATCGTTTTCCTGTTATTATTTTTTTATATTATTATTAATATTTTTACTAGTTAATTCAATAAAAATTATCTTTCCCATTATTAATATTTTTTTAAATCTAAATTTTGTAAGCATTATGTAAAAAAACTCTCATTAGACAACTTCGTGCAAGTATTATTTGTTGAATTTAAAATGTGCATGTATCCTCAAACTGATAGTTTTATTTTTGATAAATTTATAGTAAGTTGAGATCATGAGGGAACTGAGCTTTGTTAACAGTAAGCACACACCAACGACAAGCAAAAATAAATAAATTTAATAAAATAATTTGCAGTGTACCATACTAGATTTACTCACCGTTTTAATGTGTATGCCCCACTGTAGATCTGACCATCGTTCACGCCATGCCCGGAGTAGGAGTGCTTTCAGGCTACTTGTCTTGCTGGTGACTTTGCTGCTTTCCATTGTAACACCCATCACTAGAAACTGAAGACGGGTTTAGTCGAGCACTATCCAAATGTGGCACTCCTCACACCATGTCCACAAACTCAAACAACGGCACTCCACTCACTTGACAATTATGTTGGGATGAATAAGAAAGGATATAGAAAAGAAATAAATCAACACAACCAACAGAATGACGACTGCACTATCTCCTTGATGTTACAAGTTGAAGAAATTTTCTATTAGGTTTACCATAGCATAATTGATTTTATATAGAAATTTGTAGCTAGCGTAGCTTTTCTGTTAATTATTTCACCATTTTCTTAGAGCTGACTGTATATTGTGGTCTTGCCAGAGCATTGTGGACATAATGTTTGGCGCCAATGAATATTTTATTTATATTTTTATTTATATATATTATTTGATTTACTGAAATAATGCTATTTTTATGTCGATATCACTTGGGTCAATAAAGGGATGTTGTACTAAATAATAATTAATTTGGTTTGTTCAGTTGCAAGTTATGTACACAGTGACTATTGCCTTGTTAGGCTTTGCATGCTTCCAGAGAGGCTATCGTCATCTGGATAGCATTCTGAATTGGAATCAGAAATAGCCAATGTCGAAAGACCCATTCTTGCTGATTCGTCATCAAATTGTTCTAACTCTCGGTGTTGCTTTTCTCGCAATAGCCTAATCCTTTCAGACCTTTCGTGAGCAAATTGTTCAGTCTCTAACTTCATCTTTTGTTCCAAAAGGTCTCTTCTCACAGTGACCCTGTCTTCCAACTCCTTTCTCTCTCTGTCTCTCTGTGCTTCTGTCTGCATTTTGTTTTTGCTCTGGTAAGCCATCAATATTTCAAGCTCATAATGTAATTTCTCCTGTAAATGATGTCCTTCCAATTCCTGCGATTCATCTAATCTAATTGACTGTTTTTGCAACATTTCCGCTATGCTTTGCTCATATTGGTCAGCTAATAGGGCCAATTTTCTCCTCTGTTCATCTTTCAACTTTTTAATTAAAAGTTTATGCTCTTCTTTAGGCCTAGTGATTGAAAGCTCAGCCTTTAGCGCTTTGTATTGGCGAGTTTGGATTTTACATGTATCCCTAAACTGTTTTCTTATTTGCATTTCTTTTTGTTTTAAACTCTTTGGCTGCTGTTTTATCTCGAGGGCGTGTTTCTTTTTCAAATCACGTTTACACCTATTCAAATAAGCATTTTGGTTTTGAAGTTCGGTCTGGTGTTGCCGCTGAACTTGTTCTTCTCGTAACACATGAACTGCTTTCTGTTGTCTGTATTCGAGGTCTTTAGTTTTCTCATGATGTCGAAGCAGCATTGAATGTGCTTGTTCTAATTGAGTCTGGCGTTTATTTAATTCCTCCCTTAAAAGTTCCTGTTCCAAAGTCTGATAACTCAACATTTTTCTTCGTCTGAATTTTCTCATTTCTATTTCCAAATATTCCTTTTGTCCTTGTACCAATCTCTGCTCTTCTTGTGCTTCCAATTGCTTTAGATTATCTTTCTGGCTCTGCAAAGCAGCGTCCCTCTGGCGTTTTGGAGTCGATTCGTCTAAACTCAATTCATGTTTCCATCTTTCCTTATTAGCCTTGTATTCTTTTTTCTTTTGGCAATCAAACGCTTTGCGATCCTGCTCTTGGCGACTGCTGATTTCCTTCTGCAATTTCTTGTCAGCAGAAGAATTCTGTTTTAGTTTCCTATCCAATTCTTGCTGATGCCTGATCTGGAGTTCTTCCAACTCCTTGCTGAACTTTTGTAGTAAAGCTTCATATTCTTTGTCTAAGACTTGTTTGTGACTTTCCATTTCAACCTTGCATTTTTCTTCCAATTTGATTAAAGCCGCCTGATGTTCCCTTCGCATTCTCTTATAACCGGACATCTGTTCATGCATTTCTTCTTGCATATGCTCTTTCTGCTGTTTAGTTACTATAGTTGTTGTTTTTATAGTGGCAAAGTTGTTAGCACCGTGTTCTAAAAGTGCAGAAGAACTACTCGCTTTCTGTCTGACTCTGATCGATTGGGTATAGCAATTATCATGATTCATATCTGTGACCGGAGGTAAACTATTCGTTGAGCTACTTTGTGATGATGCACTGACACCAATTGAATGAATCGAATGTTCTGATGTTATGCTGTTACTCTTGCTGCTATCCCCTCCCACTTGCTCATCAGGAGTATCATCAGCATCGCCAATAGTGCTTTCTGTTTCACAAGAATCTATCATCAATATTTTCATCTTTTTGTAATTTTGGTTATCGAGCTCACGAACTGCTGCTTTTGTTCTCTGGATTAAATCTATCAGAACATGAGGCGATCTGGCTCTAATGACCAACTGATGCGATAGCAACTTGTTAGCGGAAGGACGATCGGATGGACTTTTCTGCAGACAGGATTCTACAAAATGTTTGAACACATCGCTCCAATCTGAAGAGTTCAAAGAAGGCGTGTCGTTTTGAGCTATGTGATACAGAGCACTCATAGCATTCATATTAAAATAAGGCGGCTTTCTCTCTGCTAGCTCGATACAAGTTATTCCTAACGACCAAACATCAACTTTCCCATCGTACTGTCCTTCGTCCATGGCGAGAATGACTTCTGGGGCCATCCAATAGGGTGTTCCGACAAAGCTGTTGGCAGGGCATTTAATACTAGCAGAACCAAAATCAGCAAGTTTGACAGTACCGTTTTCAGTCAACAATATATTTCCAGCCTTAATATCTCTATGAATTCTGCCTAAAGAGTGTAAATAGTGAAGCCCCCTCAGGACGCCTTCGCATATAGCAGATATTTCATTTTCTTTCAAAGGACTTTTATGTACTTCAATTATGTCCGAGGCGGACCCGAGGCAGTATTCCATGACCAGCCAAGCCGTGTTGTCCCTCAAATAGCAACCTTTGTATTCGACCGTGTTCGGATGGTTCAACTGACGAAGGAAACGGATTTCTTTAAGGATATCCTGCCACTTTTCAATGCTCTGTTTTCCCATGTATGACATCTTCTTGATGGCAACGATCTCTTTGTTGACGCTGTCCCTCGCATAGTAGACGGCGCCAAAGCTCCCATGGCCGATTTCTCTGAGGTCTTCAAAAATCTTGTCCGGGTCTTCTTTGCCGAATAATTCGGCAATCTCCGGATCTTTGAGACTCCCAGGGCGAGGTATCGCTGGCATCGTAGATTTCTAGATGTTTTAAATATATATATATTTTAAATATATTAAAAGCTAATTGGCCATTTCTCAGCTTTCTCGTTCCACAAATGTATGCATATAAATATTTTCTTTAAGTGTTTTAATTCGATAAAAATCTTATTACTAAATTTTTATAACTATTTCTGAAGATTTTATCCTATCGCTCGCTCCCGGCATTGCCTGTTAGTTCCGAATTACTTTTATTGCACTTATTGCTCCGATTTTGGTCAAACCTCTACGGAAACGGCTCGCGGTACTACACGGATTGTTTTATCGAAACTTCGATCCGTTAACATTGGAAGAATAAACGGAGATAAATTTTTGTTTAAAAAGTCTATCACGTTTAAAATAAAACAAAACTAAAAGAAATGTTCGAGTTTTGAGTGGGTTCTCCTAAAGTCCCGACAGAGTGGGGAGACTGACTGTGAAGCCAATGAGCCATCTATTCCAATCCTCTCCAAATAAAATTGTCACCCTATTAAATACTTCAATTTCTTTTTCATTTAGCCGATTTCGATTTGTTCCGTCGATAGAAGAAGGACCGCTCTATAAATTACGTTTAACGTTTTAACCAATATAAAATGATAATGTTTACCTTGAATCGGGCTAAAATCTAACCTTAGCCAACATTTATAACAATTACGGGAACTCGACTCACATCAGAAGCGTACTCGTCTCGAGACCAAACCGTCGGAAAACGAAAATAAAAAGTTTCGCACAGTATTATACTTAAGGGGGAAAAAAGTCCGTTCAACTTAGCTAAATCACAGATAAAACTCTTTAAAAAAAAAACCCGAACCGTCTTACAAACAATTCGATAACAAGAAATAGGATTTCAGGATAGCTGTTTTATCCTTTCTTAACGATCTTTTCCTTTTACGTACCAGATAGCAGCACGGCTACACGCCCATTATATTTAAATAACAAGATCAAGACTTGATATACCTATCCTTTGAGTCGGGACAAAATACTTTAAGTACGTTTACTGACTTTTTTAATTCAAAAAGTCCGTCCTTTGAGTCTTTGGGCCCGGATGGGGAAATCCTTTGAGCCCTTAAGTCGGCACTTTCGGCCAACAGATGTTACCGTGTATCCTGCGGGAAACCGGCGTTTTGCCTCCCGTCTCAACAACCCGTTGGCTACGTGTTATTGCTTTTGACCTGTCCAGATTGTTTTATTATACCTATTAATTAATTAACAGTTAGTAAGTACTTAAAGCAAAAAATATGGATTTTTTTAAAACGATCCCGACACACATGGTAATATTTGTTTTGCATTTTATAACTTAATTAAAAAACTTTATTAATTTTATTTCCTTTTTTTTAATATATAAATAAGGATTTCGATGGGCAGCACAAAGCAGAGAAGTTTTCAAGAATTATAATCACACTATTTGGGGTGAGTTTTTTTTTAAACAAAAATTATTAAGAAAACAATTTTTCTAAAGATGGATTTGAAATCCGTCTGTCAAAGTTCCAATAAAACGGAACAAAAGCAAAGGAAAAAAAAAGAAAGCAAGAATGAACTAAAGTTAAATATTAAAATATGAAAATGGCAAAAAGAGGGAAAATTTGAACGGTTTAGGTTGAGGTGGAGAGCTGGTGCCCAAGAATATCGAAGTCACGATAGCTCAAGTGGTAGAGCAGCGGCGTATTGTAGCCGAAGGTCGTGTGTTTGAATCCCGCTTGTGACACTGACTTTTTTATGTCAACCAAGATGTTAGAAAGAATAATTAATTGATTGAAAGAAGTAACTTAGTCAATTGACTGCAAAAACGTAAATGGTTAAATATTAAAATGAGATTTATTTAGAAATTGTGAGATGCGGTCTTGTGTGATGTAGGTTTCAGAAAAGCATTTTCTTTATCGTGCCAACGTTTCGATCTCAATAAAGATTAAAATGAGAATTCAGAGATCTTGAGATGGAGTCTGGTGTGACATAGGTTTTAAAAAATATTTCTTTAAATTGCCAAAGTTTCGACCTTTATCGACGTCTTCAGGGCCTGGGATTTATAAACATTGTTTAAATTATACAAATACATATAAGATGTGAATATTTATAAATCCCAGGCCCTGAATTGGATAGGAGGATCTGCAAGACTGTACAAAGGCCCCAAACTTGGGATATTGAATAACAAAGATAGAATCCGCCATCATAGAATGGATCCAAATAAAACAAAAGATGTGGATAAACTTTCGTAGCTCTAGACGCAGTAAACTTGTGATGAAACAACCCTCACTATTGCTGCACTGGAGAGGGCTAGACTCAGAGGAGTGGTACGACCGGTCACTGACATCTGAGAAAACATATACATGTTGTCATGGGCATATACAACGATAACCTCATCTGAAGATTATGCACTGATGAGGAGGAAACAGCCACCCATATCATCTTTGAATGCGAAGCAACAGGTCATGGAGATTTAACCTAACATACAGAAAAAATCTAGGAAATGAAATTGTAGCACCTACAGTCAATGACCTGATACTTTGAGATCATCTTCATGGCCTGGGATTTATAAACATTGTTTAAATTATACAAGTTTATGTTATATATTATATTATTATAATACATGCAGGATGTGAAAAAATTGAATTTATATAATGCTAGAAATTTTAGACTCAATCAAAGTATTTGTTTTCTGTGTAGATGTGTCATTATTGGGTGTCGTGTTGAGAGTGCCAGTGAGATTGATGTTTTATGTTTATATACGTTGAATTTTGAAGGGGTGGGGAAGGAAGTTGGGTCAGTTGTATAAATTCACTTTTTTCACATCCTACATGTATTTGTATAATTTAAACAATGTTTATAAATCCCAGGCCCTGAAGATGATCTCAATAAAGATTGAAACGTTGGCACGATAAAGAAAATGTTGTTCTAAAATGTCACACCAGACTGCATCTCACGATCCCCAAATAATCATTAACTAATGGTCACTAAACACCACATACTTAAAAATAGATACGCTCGTTTTCGTCTGGTTTTTACAGACAGGTCCAAAACTGGCAATAATTAAGATTGGCAAGCTCACTACTGCAGTTTGCAAGGGCCGGACTCAGAGGAGTGATAGGACTATTAACCAGTCACTGGCATCTGACAAAACATCTACAACCCATTTGTAGATTAAATAATGAGGCAGAAGAAACACCACCCATTTTATCTTCGAATGCGAAGCAACAGCTCAATCGAGAAAGGGGGTGGCATGGGCCATGTATAGCAAGGGAATGCCCACCTTCTTGTTATTGCTCCCTCATTGGAGGTGTATACCATTTGGCATGCTCTCGAGGCGATACGAAGAAGGCTGAGCCCTTCTCGCATGTACCGACTGTGAGGATTATATGGGCTATATGAGACAGGTTCTCAGTGGACCCTCTTGTCGTGCTCTTGTTCGAAAAATATGCTGAACTGGAGCACCTCGGAAAAACGGTCTGGATAACAACGGACGTGCGGACAAGGCAACAAAAGCTGGGATGTGCCACCCCCATACAGGAACATTGGGTTCAGGCCCTCTAACACTAAGCTTGTGTGAAAAACATGGTAAAAAAGTTGGCAGTCAGTGGGCGGGGTTGTCCAACTCAAGCGTAAGGCCAGTAGATGGTTCTCAGAGAACCTGAGCCAGAAACAAGGGATTGTCCTCAAACGTTTGGTGATTGGCCCACATGGGCACTATTTTTGGGTCAAAGCCCGCACAGGTGCCCCTTACTCAGAGAAAGGTTGCTCGATATGTCCCACATAATAGAGGCGTGTCAAACCTTAGCCCCATACAGAGAGCATGTAGGCATGCTGTTGGATTTAAGAAAGATTCTTGAGCACAGCAGTTGGTTTCTGGGTCTGTGTTGTTGGGTATTTTACTGGTGTTTTGTTCGAATGTACGTATTTATTAGTGTGGGTGGTGAAGGATGATGGTGAAATATAGCGTCACCGTCGCCCCCTCCAGCAGTGTGAATGCTTAGGGTCTATGGCGGAATATTTATAAAAGTATTTCATTGACACTTATTTACGTTAGTTTATTAATACTGTGTATAGGTTGATAAAGGAATATCCAGTACTCTACCAACCAATCAGCATGAATGTATTTATATGCATGAATTTATTTATTTGTGGGACTTTATCCAATTTAAGTAGTATTAGGCTAGATTATAGTTTGCATGCATTTGGGGATGAAATGACCCAGCTGTTGATAGCCTCGGTAGGGAAATTGTATATGTTAATATATAATAATATTTGTTCAAGATGAAATATGTACACAAAATTCTAAGTCTCTCTTGAGTATGTTTCCTTAACACTAATGTTGAAAATGTTTTTGAATGATTTCAGGTCGTTGGGCTGATTTGGGGGTACATAATTCAGCAATTTTCCCAGACGGTGTACATAGTAGGAGCTGGTTTTGTCCTCGCTGCTATTGTAAAAAATACGCTTATTTAAATACTTATAAGCTATTGTTAAGCTAATTTATAATAATTTTCAGGTGACTATACCTCCTTGGCCTATGTACAGGCGCAAACCCCTTCAATGGCAAAAGCCCCGACCTGATGGTGACCAAGGAGACAACCATCAAAAATCAAAAAAGAAAAAATAGACATTAATTAAAAAGGTTTTATTCTTTATACATTCTTTAACGTTAATTTATATAAAATAAAAATACTTTTTCTAATGGGTTTTATTCGTATTGACAAACAGTGTGAACCATTTTATATGCCCTTCCCCTAATAAATTTTCTAAGGCTTCAAACTGTAACATGTATTAACAAAACATCCCTAGCCTGGTCCAGTAATTTCTTGGAAAATTCTGTCCATTCACTTATGCTCTCCCATGAGAAAGAGAAACAACATCCGATATCCCTAGGTTTAGAATTCTAATGTTCAATCATATTAAGAGCTGTAATTTTTGTTAGTCATGAATCTTGTAGAGTTAACACCTTGCAAGCATTTAATATGTGGCTCCAGCAATAATATAAAAGATTAGTGTTTGTTTCTATGGAAAGCATGTAATTTGGGGTTGAGTAGCCCCAAAACTGTAAAACTTAGTTCAATCAAAACACGTCAAAACGTCTCAAGAAGGCAGATTTTTTTTTTTAGTAAAACTGTAAAAGAATTTGTAAAGATGGGCAAATATAAAAATTTTAAAAAGACGAGATAATTCATTGAAATAAGCAGTTTTTAAAATTACAAAAGTAATTTAATAACAATTTACAGAGTATAAGTAATTTCCTACATAGATGATAGTATGAGAAGGAATGGGTTTATTGATAAACAAACATTAGCTCCAATTGAAAAAAATCCTACTTTATTTGACAACAATTATGCAATAAGTGTAGTCAATATTTTTGTCAACTAGAAGAAATGCTAATTTAAACAGACAATATGATTATTTACACACATTGTGTAGTTTCAAATTCTTGTTTAAAAAAAATTTAATTCTAAATTTACCAATGGTCACTTTTATTTTTCAGTCGTCAGTTTTATTAGTCTGATCGTTTAAATTTAAAAATTTCAATTAGAAAATGGCACGAGGAGGTGTTGTCGCTGGGGACGAACTCATAGTGAATAATGAAGTCGATGTTTCGAACACAATGCCGGCAGATTATTCATTTCGCAAGTTAAAACATTTAGATGGTGAGTGAAAAATAAAGACAGTTTTTCTCTAAGAAAACAGTTCGTGCTAAAAATTAGGAAACATTTTTTTCTATTTAAAAAAAGTCATAGTCATCTGAATTTGAAAATTGTTGAATACTTTTCATCTGTGTTTTACTCCATCACAAACAATTTTGGGACATGAATAAGCAGTTCAAGTGTGAATTTGAACGAAATGTTACCTAAATTTGAAACCAGATAGAAAGTAATCTTAGCTGAACTATTTGATTAGAAATCTTACTTTGGAACTAATTTTTAAATCTAATAAAACATTTTGTAATAGTTTGACCAAGCAAAAGAATGACAAATTGTAGATTTATTGTTTATTGACTTTTGTAGAAAAGATATTTAAGCAACGAACAGTCTCTTATTTGTATATTTGACAAATTTTTACATCAATTTTGTAAAATAAATATGTAAAGGAAGTTTCAGCCATTCTCAAATCTCTGCACAAATTTACTGTTTATTTTTATAATCCACTGTTTTTTTGTTTTTTTTATTAAGTTCTTTAGTAAATTAATTTAAATATTTTGTAAGGCTTATATAAATTTATCAGATTTGGAAGGCGCTCGTCCTCGTGTAATGAGAGTAGGAAGAGATGTAGTGAGAGGTCCGTCGGGAAGGATTCTTTCGAGTGCTCTCTGGCTTAATAATAACAATCTTGAAAGCATGAGGTTTATCACATGTTTTGTTAACACATTACTGGAAGCACCAAATCAGTTGCAATGGCTTGACTTTTCTTTTAACAACATCAAAGAAATCCACGAGGTATTGGATTAAAAATAAATAAAAGTATAGCATTATTTAATTATTTATTTTTTACAGGATATATTAAAGTTTACAAACCTAAAAATACTTTATCTTCATGGTAATTGCATCAATTCCCTGTCCAATGTTGGCATGCTTAAATGCTTGAAGAAATTACGCTCTCTCACATTGCACGGTTGCCCCGTAGAGACAATCCCTTTTTACCGACAGCATGTAATTAGTATGATACCACAGTTGAAAAATCTAGATTTTGTTACTATTACACCGAAAGAAGCCAATGCACCTCCACCTCCAGGATTTAATGCTGCTGATACTGAATTAGAATATGAAGATGATTGATATGATGTTTTCAGTTTTTCTTATTTATAATCTATGCACCTAAATAAAGTAGGTTGTTTAATTTAAACGGCAACAAATGTTTCATTATTTTTATCTATTGAACAAGTTCACGATGAAATCATTAAATTGATTTGAATTTCAAATCAATGTTCTTGTCTGTGTTGTCTTTGTACCTAATGTTTCCTTGACATTAGTTAATTAAAATTACAAGCTTAATGAGTAATATTTTTATGAAAAAAATTGTCATTAAACTTAATGTATACATATCTTGGTTAAACAGTCCCAGTATTGGCACAGCTTCCTGTCAGGATTTGCAAATTCATTTATTATCTTCAGTTCTCGACCTAAAACTTAAATACGTGCCTCTGTAGACATATTTTACATTGTTTTGCACTGATGTCCTTAACATAGGTCGAAAGCTTTGGCAGTAGCAACTAAATTTGATTTTTTCTTAAAGACCATACTATGATCCAATGTTTGTAAGTGAAAAAGTGGTCGATACTTCTAATAGTGTAAAATGTACAGCGCCTTAATTTTTAGAGTAAAGGGTAGTGCTCGGGGGTGCAGTGCTTCGTCTGGGCTCATCTCTTTGTCCACCTGAAGCTGCCAGCCATCTTGCCAGAAATTTTTTGAGATAATGATGATGATGGATAAAAGTAAATGGAGTTTTCGCTCCCAAGGCAGTGTTCTAGTTCCAGTTTCCTAGTTCACTCCGAAATCCAAAAGACGTGATCCTTCTTCTAATTAGTACTAGGTCATTGCTGCAATCCCATTCCTTATAAATTATGAGTATGAGTGGAACATCACCCGTAGAGGTTGATCACCTTTTTTATTATAAAAAAATTATTTTCTTAAATAAAACATTATAAAAATAAATACATTGCACTTTAACAAAGATAATTAATTTTTGAATAAACCAATTTGTTTAAATTATTGTTGTGCTTCATCTGGGTAGAGTCTCTTCGTCCGTACCTGAGCTGCCAAATGCCAAGCACCAGCTACCCTGCCAGGACATCAAATGCTTTACACACGCGGACACGCCTGTCAGTGTCAGTGGTACGAAACGCCGAAGTTAAATTCTGTCATCACTGATATCACATTATCACAAGTGACGGGAGTTTATAATGCGGTTATAAAACCAGGGAAAATGTTTCACCTTTGATAGCGATTATTGGGTGACGTTGGATTTTATTTTGAATTTGTTTGTTTTACCGATTGACGGATGACAACCAGGGCGTAGATTCAGACTCGAGCCGTCCCACATGAAAACATTCCGAAATGGACGAATTGAAGACGAAAATCTTCGATTTTATGCACATACAAGTGAGTCTAAGTTTGACATGATTTGAAACGTTTTCCCTATCAAAAAAAAAAAATTCTTCAACAGGTGAATCCAAAAATCCCCATCGTCGGTGGCTTCTCGACAGTCCAGCAGCAAAACGCACCCGAGCCCGAGGATGCTCCCGTCAGGAAGGAGAAGGAATCGGAACGACCCTCCGACCAGGAAATCCTCGAGGCAATTGACCCGAAGCATTTCTCGATGGAAAATGAGTTCGACCCTGGAAGATACGAACTCGAGGTATATCACAACAATTAACATTAAAAACAAATAATAAAATTGTAATGAAGTTTCCAACTTTCATCTTGGAATATATGATCTCAATAATTATTCAATCTTCCCTAGTGATAGGGATAAGAGAGGCAGCCACAAGGTCTACCGCTTCTCGACCTAAATAGATCTATTGTGTTTCCCTGTTAATTATAACTCACTGGCCAGCCTCAGACTATTAACCAGCCTCCACAGCTTTGCCAGGGGTTCCTTGGTGTAGGATCTTGCTTGTGGTTTTTTTGTCCTAGTTGCAAGAACCTGCACCTTCGCAGAAAGATAAAATAACCAGAATCCTGGTTCAGTTGCGGTTACCTTCCAGTAATTCTTTTGAAAGTTTTGCAGATGGTTCTTCTATGAATCTCTTCGCGTGCCTCATACCTGTGGTATTGTTCCAACAGGTTTTGGACTCATTAAGGATTTATTTTAAGATGTATCCTCTTTTTTGGCAGTCTACTAGGCCGCATAGGGTTCTATGGCTACGTTTATGGCCAACATGTCAACCTTTTCATTGCCTTTATGCCCTGAATAACCAGGGACCCATGCCAGGGTCAGGTCATTAGTGTCGCTGACTTCTGTCAGGACCTCCTTGCATTTCCAAACACTCTTTGCCTTCACCTCGCATGAGGCTAAAGCCCCGAAAGCTGCCTGGCTGTCAGAGAAAAAATGGCTATCTCCCGGGAATGTATTCCTAGCCTTTTTATTTCTCTGGCGCATTGTTCAATCGCTATGATTTCAGACTGGAAAACTGTAGCATACTTGCCTAGGTTTACCGTCAGTTTGATCTTGGGGTTCATCCCAAAGACCCCAGCTCCCGTATCCTTATCGGTTTTGGAGCCATCAGTAGGAATTTGCCTTTAGTGGTGTTCCCTTGGCCCATTCTTCCCATTCAGGTATCAGTATTTTGTACTTCTTGGTGAAGTTGTACTTTGGAGTAGTGGCATACCTAGAATGGCATCTGCCTGTATCTCCTCCCTTAGTTTCCATCATTTATTCACATGGCCTATCCTAGCAGATAGTTGTCCATTTATGATCCTGTGGGCTGCTGCTCTGGCTTCTCCTTGGATTAAAATGTAAAGTGGTGGGAAGTTTAACAAAACTTCCAGAGCCACAGTTGGCGTCAGTGACACTGAGACAAGCTTGTCTTTGGGTACCACTTAGTAGCCTTATTGCAATCATCCCTAACAATCACTGAAATGATAAATTAATCAAGACCATAAATTCTTGCAATAATCTAACATATTTAACAGAAACAGAACATAATTCATGTTCTACAATTCAGAGGATTGAGTGAATTAGGCAATACCCGTGCCTCTTTAATATCTAAAACTATCATTCTTACCTCACCATACGATGGTTTAGATTTGTTTCAGAGAGTCTTTCACACTGCTTCTATCAAGTAGGACTATTGTGTCTTCTTATATCTAGCTTTAGGTTTTTATTAGCATCTGCATTTTGTATCACCATAGCAATTACTGCTGATTATAATAATTCATTCGCTTTAAAGTTCTTATTTCAAAGCCTTAGTTCGATCGCGTTTTGAATATGCAGGTGTTGTATGGGCGCCCTCTAACAAAGGTGACATCAGACTAGAAAGGATTCAGAACTAAACTTTTAAATTTATTTCCTCCAGAAGTACTGGTCATGAATTGGATGAAGGATCTTCGGTCGGAACTACTCAATCAACACTCTGGAATTTTGGAGGAGTTTAGCTTCTTAACATGAATGTACATACATCAGGGTTTCCTCTGTTGCTTTACAGAATCTACTCATGTTCCACGATCTCTTTCAGATATTCTTTAAATCTACTACATATAATAATTCTGAGTTATTTCATGTGCAATCTGATATTTTATTTCTTTCTTCACAAATTCTGCATGTAGTCTCTAGATAGTCTATGTTCTCTGAGTCAAATGAAACATCTTCATTGTAAATTTTTTTAGTTTTTCTTTAAATGTTGTTCGTGTAATATTATAGATCATGTATGTTTTTATGGAACCCAAGCAAACAGTTTTTATTTTATAAGATAGTCTATATTTCCCCATTCCCTCATCAGCGATACCTTCCCGTATATACCTTCCGGAAGAAAGTTATTCTTCTATTACATTTTTCCAGACTAGGAAGTCCTGAAATATATACTACCTTTTAAATTAAAAAAAAATCTGGTTGTTTGACTTCCATATAAACGTACCTGATCTTTGCACTTAAAAATATCTTCGATAGCTTGTATTCCTATCCAGCCAGCAGCATGGTAGATCCTTTCTTTGAAGGTGATCTACCAGGGTTTATTTCCCTTATTAGATATGTCTTGAAAGGGTGGAGGGTGGCTTAGTTTTTGAAGTTAAGTTTAAAATATATTGTGAAACTTTTATGGTAATGAACCTGTAGTTTGGCAATGTCTTATTATTTTGATCTGTCTCTGCTGTTTTGATTGTTCGACACTTTTTGCTATTTAAAACAAGTTTTTGGGTTCCATAACTCAAGTTAGTAAAAAGCTAAAACATGTCTTAACAGACCAAAATGATCAGAAACTAGCAAACTAAAAATAAAATAAAGTTTAATTTGTCTAGAAATTTGTTGAAATGGATATGTCGAAGATAGAAGACCACTTGCATCATTTAAAGCAACAACAAGTGGTAGTTTCAAACAAAGTGTTGCAAATGATTCTCGAGAAACAGTCTGCCTGTCAAGAGGAGTTTACCAGGTAATATGTTTTAAATTAAAATTATTTAAATTTTGTGTTAATCTTATGCATTTTAGGATAACAGAAATTCAGGCTGGACTTGATATGATTTTGAAAGGTGTTCAAGTTGGAAGAGCTGAGCTCGGAATGGCCACCAGACACTTTACTACCGCAAGCCTCGGCATTTTAGCAAACTATAGAAAACGAACTTTGGCCCAACAGCTTTTGAGCTATTTAAATACAATAAAAACCTTGGTATTTGTCACTTGACACTTATGGTTGGTAATAGGATACAATTATATTTCTTGTTATAGTACAAAACGGAATCCAAATTACGAGAGCTTCTGAATACTGGCGATTTTCCTGGTGCTATTGGTCTTCTCCTTGAGTGCCAAGGTGTAGCTAGCACTTACAAACATTTCTCTTGCGTAGCAGCTTTAAGTATGAAACTTAAAGAGACGCTAGAAATGGCTGAAGAAAAGCTAGATAACACATTGGCTGAGGTTATTGTCAAGAATTTTTGTACTTCTATAACAATTTTTTTAAAAAACTAAATCAAGAACATTTTTTAAAAGATGTGTTGTGGCTTTGAAGAAAACATTTATGAAAAACTTCATTCGGCGTATTTTCTTCTCGGCAAAACACAAATTGCAATGGACCAATTTCCAATGCATTTCACTTCTGCAGTACAAACCACGGCTTCGAGTGTTGTGCGCAACTTTATTGACCCTGGACAGCAAAACTTGAGGGAAATGCAATATTCTGAAATGTGTAAGGTATGAAATATTAATTATTTTGATTTACGTAATGGTTGATTGCTACGTATGGAAATAAAATCCTTCCATAAAAAAAAAACTTTTCCAGGAAGTTAAAGAAGAAAATTTTATCCCTTGCCTCCTCACCCTTTGTAAATCCTTATGGTGTATTGTGTTAAGTTACAATAAAGTTGTAGCCTGGCATCACCAAACTTCAAAATTGACTGAAGGTACTTTATTCATAATTTTTATGATTTTATTTACAAATTACAGTATAAAGTTTTTGATCATCTCTGAGAATAATCAGGTTGATCAGGGATGATCAATTTGCATTTTCATCACTCCACATTTCTCATTTTATGTGCTTGTAGAAAAAAAATTATATACATTTTAGATTCAGATTTTGAAACAAAAAAGAATGAACAGAAAATTAAACAAAAGCTGAATAAGGGTTTCTCTAGACTCTGGCATGATGTACAGACAAGGGTCAGTTCACTTGTAATGGCGGCTAATCTTTCATTGTATAAGATTGATGACTTCCTCCAAGTTCTAGGCATCCTTCACAGGTATGTTTTTAATGTAGCATTATCTTTTTTTAAATTTTATATAAATACATCAATGTTATTTGACTTAGACTGACTCAGATCGGTGAAGAATTTTGTGAAAGCGAATCCGAAGAAGTCGCTTCTTCTGTAAGAGCTAAAAGTAGTGATTATTTTAATTCATATCACTCGGCAAGATTAGATGACTTGAAGGTCTTTCTTGAGAATGAATCATGGACACCATGTCCTGTCCGATGTGATTTCTCTCTTCTGCATCTTCAGGTAGGATTTTTTGTTTCCTGTAATGGTATTTTATTTTAAATGAGTTTTTCAGGAGTTCCAAAACATACGTTTAAGTGTGGAGGTATGTGCGGGTGTGAAAACTTTGCCAGACAACTCAGGTGAAACTAGCTCTGCCGGAACGAATTTCTTCAGTAGGTTTCCAAACCCTTTGGCGGGTACTCCTTTTGATTCGAGCTTCCAGGTGGATTCTAAAGAGGAGAACATTCTTGCAAACATTCCAGTCGGTTTAAATATTATTGAATTCTTACTTTAAGGCAAGTTTTAACTTCGGTTTTTAAATGTACAGGATGACGGTACGGGGTACTATAGTGAAGACAGTGAAGACGATGTTGAAATAAGCACAATAGATACAGATAGTAAAACCAAGTAATTTGACCTTGTTAATGTATAATTTTGTTAGTTATAATTTAGTAATTTTTATCGTATTTAAAGGAAAAGTATTTGCGAACCAAATTACAAAGGACCATTACTAACAAATACTACACTAACTGTCTTAAGGTCTTGTGGAAAATATCTACAGATGTCAAGGCTTTTGAAATCAATTTCATCTGAAGTTATTGTAGCGATGGCTCAGCTTTTTGAATACTACCTTTATACGATTAATTCTTTTTTTTCTTCCGATTTACCTGTGAGCATTTACATATTTAAACAAAATCATTATGTACACATATTTCAATAAAATTCCAGGACACTTTATGTGACAACTTTCCGTCCTTAAAGCTACAATCTGTTTTAAATCGAATTAAGGAAAGTCTTATCTTGTCTGATGAAACATTCCATGAGGGTGATAGTAATACAAAAGTTTGTATTTGTATGTGTGTAAACATAAAGTAAAATATTTAATGTTCGTGTTTTTTTCTGTAGGTTTATGTTGCTCAAATTTCTCCGATCGTTGATTTAAAGTCACCAGATACGGTTTATGGCCTGGGCGAAAGGATTATTGCCGTTGAATCTCTAATTTTTCTCGCTCAGGAGTATAATTTACTCAAATCATACCTGGAAAAATTGATTTCACCTCAATGTTCTTCTTTTGTATATCTCAACCAATTTTATAGCCAGGTATTTTGTATTTTTATTTTTCAATGGCCTAGTCAATTAAAAAAAAAAAAAAATTCCAGACTGTAGCAGTTGCAAGTGAAATTCGCAAATCAGTTTATGCATGTTCTGTGTGGAGGGCAATTGATGCCAAATGTATATTATCAAAAATGTCCAAAGTTGATTGGGAAGTAAAAGATGTAATGAGCCAACATAGTGAATATGTTGATGTTTTATGGGAGGTAAAGAAATACTTTTCTGTATTGTTTCTTCGTCTTATAAATTTATTAATTTTTTAAGGCAATAAAACTTTTTGATACCAGATTAAGTGTAATTAAAACATATTTCATCATACCTAAGCCAGCTTTAGATGTGATATGGGGCCGTTTGATACTCCTGATTTGTAATATTTTTGTAGAAGGGTAATACAGCTTTAAAAATAATATATGCTCCTCGAGTGAATGATTTAATGGAAGTCATTTCAGATTTGCCACATCGAAAAAATGTTCCAGCGGAGGAAGAGCATTGATGCAATTAGATTTTATACAATTAATTTCCAAAGTGCAGACTTTGTGTATGCTCTCTCCAATTCCACATAGAGAATTTGTCGAATCATACATCAAAGCTTATTACCAGACTGAAGATGTTTTAGAAACCTGGTTAAAAGATCATAAGGTAATAAATAAATATTCCTTGTAAATTTTACAAATGAAACACGTTTTAATCTGTTATTAGGAATATTCAAGCAAGCAACTGACCGCTCTTGTACATTGCGCGTGTCAAAGCAGCAAAAAGGCGAGACAGAAATTGTTACTGTTAATTGAAGAGTTGGAAAAAAACAGATGAATTATTTTATACAATTATTCCAGTTATTTGTATGTAAATGTATATGTATGTAATATTAAAAGTATACTTTTTTTTACATTGCTATCTTGAATTTGTTCCTACACCTATGCATGTTAAAAATAAACTCATATTACAGTTAAATCACATTTCGTATCTTCAACGGACTGAAGGATAAGTACGATATATGAACATATATCAAGATTATGGTATATCAATGGTAAAAGCTGAATTGTTTAATTTTTTTTACTGTTTTGTATGTGTATGTAAAGAAAATTTTTTATATGGATATATATTTAAAAAAAATTAAATATATGTATTTTTGAAAATATTGATCAATTTTTGTTTGAATTAGAAAATTATTTAAATGTTTGCTGTCTATTGCTAATTCAGTAGTGTGAATTGCCACATGTTTGATCCTGAAAAAAATGCGATCGATCAATTTCTTGGCCTCTTTAGGACTGATACTTAGAACTTCACAATTTGTGTTGTCTGTTTCAGTTAATGGTAACAACCGCCATTGGTTATACTTTTGTGGTTTGCGTGACATAAGTTCGGTCCATCCTTAAAAGGAAACCCCTACCTTTCTGTTCATGTTTAAAATAAGCATTTCAATGTTAAAATATGATTTATAAGATGGTGTAAGTTTGGGTAAGATCTTAAGAGGTAATATGTAGCAAAAACAACTTTTTGGGCTGTGCTGAGCAGTTTTTACTGGTTTATTCTATTATCCATTATTATGATAGTTTAATAAACAACCAAAAGCTCGGCACGACCCTAAAAGCTGTTTTTGGTCCATATTACCCCCGAAGAAGATCTTATCACCCAAACAACTTGCTGCAGGTCAATCAACATCCAAAACAATGACGTTTGTTGATCTTGAAGGGGGAACAAAATACGTTAAACGAGGGTGTTTTTGCCAATGTAAACAATATTTTATTAATAATTAATCACTTAAGCTTTTATCATTTTCTTCCTTTTATATAGATATTAAAAATAAATTTTGTAAATCCAAGAATGGGCTGGAGGGAGAGAAAGACTGCATTTTCCAATGGGTTGTCCTCAAAACGCAGTCAGTTGCTCTCAAGTTGTCATCCTGTACGTTAAGCGTACCTATTGTTTTCGTCTTTCTAGTTGCCTTAATCAGTACGCAGGAATTTACCTTCTGGTCTTGCCCTTTAGTCAGTCGCCGTTGAGACGCACAATTGTGAGAATCCTACTCCTCCATCTTTGGGCACCAGTGGATGAATAAGTATTAAGACATTGCTTCACTCCATTAAGCCAATTTTTACTTTACATTTTCTTCTTTGACGTTTTATATTAATGTATGAATTTTTAACTTTACTTATGTCAATTTTAGCCAAAATTTAATTTCTTTGTGTATATAATAAATTTGTATTCAGTAGAGCAATTGATTATTATATTTTTTATTATCACAATAAACCATTTACACTACAGCCGGCAACTTTCCCTGGTAGTACCCGGACTTGGAGGGTATATATATAAGACCAGCACTTTCTTACGATATTTGGGTACAAAATATCAACATTTTACTGTACAGTAAAAATATATTTTTATTATATTTTTACTGTACAGTAAAAATATATTTTTATTATATAATTTAAAATTGGTCCTGAAGTAGACCTCTTAGAAACGTGATCTGAAAGTACTCCTTACCGCGGAGTCTACGAGCCAAGAGCCTCTCACGCTAACCACTTGGCTACTGAGGTCCTGCTACTCCTCACTTGTTCTTACATATAAGAACTCTCATATGGTACAAAAATACTCATTTCTTATATGATGTGATGAAATGTATAAACATAAAATTTTTGAACATAATCAACTACTTATGTACCTTTTATTTGTTTAAAAACTAAACTTATAACATCTGGATGACAAAAGGCATTTATTATCTCTTTGCAACCGATTGTGTCTTTTTCAACTGCATCCTTTAGTTCATTCTGTTTTAAACATTTGCTTTTAAACAGATTTTGAATTTCTTCTTTTTTGCGTGATCTGATTGTGAACTGGTTTAAACAACTTGCATTTGATTTGGTCAATTTTGAAGTCTCGCCTGCATCCTGCAGACAGTAGTTGAGCTCTTCTAAACTATAATTAAAAGTGAAATCTGTCAAATCATCCTGTAAAAAACAAATACAATATTGAAAACTTCCAATAATTTTTTTGTGTAATTTTATCTAATACTTCATTTGGGTTGAGAACAGTTTTGATATTTTCTTCATCCATATTTTTTGTCAGGTTGGAAATAAATAGTTTCACCAAAGATTCTTCTACTCTTGATTTATTATCGGAGTCCTAAAACGGTTTGGTTTAAATTTTGAAAACATTAAATTCACTGCTTGGTATACCAAAGGAATCCAAGAATTAACACTTATAGCTGGGCTCTCATTTTGCACAAAATGCCACCATCTTTTAGGAACATAGAGAACATCCCCTGGCTCAAGAGTTATTATTTTACCTTCATTAATGTCTTGTAAATTAAATAGAACTTAAATTAATAACACAACTAAAACAAAAATACAAATTATTTGTGTGATTTCTTTATAAATCTTACTTGGAAATTCGTTGCACGTACAAAAAAAGTTGAAATCACTGTAAATACTAGATTCTTCATATGGCACTCTTGTTGGTCTCAGCCTGCCAATCTCTGAAGGGTTGAATAATAGCCATGTTTTTCTGTAAAACACCTAAAGTTAATGATATACTACTGTACTATATTTGTTTTCTTCTTTCTTAGAGGTTTGTTGCTTCTCTGTTTGATTTTGAGTAATTTTTACATATAAGAAAACGTTTCCAACCAATATCTATTAATTTTGAGGAATCCTCCCTTCATCAGATTTTTGTTATTGTAACAATACAATTTTTATAAGATAAAACTATTAATTTATTTTCAAACAAATTACCCTTCTAAAGTCGCAGGAAACACTTGGCTGTGTTTATGTTACACATATTGTCTCATTTTTATGCTTTTGTAATTTCACTATTTGTTGAATATGTTTTTAAATTGTGAACATATTCTTTATCTTTTTGTTTGTTAACATTATGGTTGTAAACATTTCTTCACATATTAAATTACTCAAATTTAAAGCTAATGAATCACAACAATTTTACAAGGGAAAAAAGATGTTACCGTCCATACAACTGGGCGACAAAGTTACAACCGTATGTATCAATATGACAAGGTGTGTGAGCACCCTCTGTTCCAATCCATAGCGTTGAATCCTTTGCAGTTCTTTCAGGGTATCCTACACACGCCCACGAAAAATCCTTAAAAATTATTATTTGTAAAATTAAAAATGTATAAATTAAAACATTTAAAATAAAATTGATATTACTTTACCAATTGTTCTATATTCTTTTCAAACCATTGGGCGATGTGCTTGTAATCGAAGTAGAACCAATTTTTATTGGCTTTCTCTTCCGGTTTGAAGAAAAGTGAAAGGAAATTTGACATTGTCATTTTCTCTTCTGCACATTTCCTCTCCCATTGGGGTTCCTAAAAGTAAGTATAAAATGCAATATCTTCCTTAAATGTTGTCAGTGTTTTAACAGGCAATTTTTAATAATCTTGCTTCTCATTTAAAAAATAAAATATTTAAGAGAAGATTCAGCCATTATAGTTTGGTTGACTTTGGTTGCCCTTCAAAGAAACTACAACGCTCATTAAGTAATATGGGGTAGCAAAGACAACATTTCCAAACCTTCTATCACTCTCCCATGACAGGTGGCCAATATCGGCAGTGACAGGTTTGGATCGTCCAGAAAGGGCTCTGACCTGACGGAAGTATGGTAAATTGTTTCAGATACTAACTTCACCAGGCTATCCTTTTTTGGCTTGTCCTCTCCCTATCCCTTTTTACTTTAAAATTAACAAGGTTTTCCTCCATCGAATGACTGGCAAACTCATTGCTGCAGTTGGAGAGGGCCAGGCTCCTAGCAAAGACTATTAACCAGTCATTGACATCTGAAAAAACAACTACATAACATGTGCATATATAATGCAGGGATGGATCTTGTGATGTTCTTCAATTTTTAAAATAAGTTATACTCCTTTAACGCGCCAACATAAACATGACACCCGAGATTAAGTCCAAAGTACTTTTAAAAAGGGCATCTGGTGGAGCCTAATTATACTTCATTGCAAAATAGTTGACTTTTTGCACCTTAACAGGTGCAATGTTGAAAAATATTTGCCAGACATTAATTAAAATTCAGCTAAAGTAAAAAATAGTAACTTTCAGTGAAATTTGTATATCTGATAAACCTAATTTTCTCGAAAAAAGAAAAACTCCCATAGATTTGGTTGAAATTTCCAAATTTAACAAAATATCAGATAAAATGCTGTTGTCTTCATATAAATTATAACCTTAGAAAGTAACATTCATCCCAGTGTACTCGATATTCCTCGGCGCGGGGTTAAATCACCCCTTCCTTTTATGCTAATAAATTACATTCATTCTTATAAATTACTATAAAGTCAAACACATGTACAACATAAACACACATAAAAAACTATATACATTTAAAAACCCCTATAGCCCTGAGGTACCGGAATAGCAATCTATGCCCGCTGCTGTGCCCCAAGACTACGCACAGGTCCGAGGATATGCCAATATATTTTCTATACACACCAAGCCTTCTACAATTGAAAAGGTGCTCATTATTAATTAATATTAATACTAAAATTACCCAAAGATTAAAAAAACATTCGTTTGTCATTATTCTAGAATTAGGACCTTTAAAAACTAAATTAATGTTTGTTATACATACAATTTATTGGAGACTTTAATTACTTTAAATTATTACAGCGATGACAATAAGCCTTACTTGAAATGGTGTGAAAATAAGACAGACAGCAATTATTACAGGATATTGAAAAATAGCATAAATGCTTGAGGATCGGAATAGCCCGAGTTTGGACAAATAAATCCATCATTTCATGGTGAACAGAAGCTACCAAATTCGATGATTTTTCAACTAAACGGTGAATGAGAATCACCACACAGTTGACTAAAAATTTAAACGCGTTATTTTTAAAATAGCCCTTATGTTGGAAGAAAAAAAAACACTGGGATAGATCTACCTGCACTACCTAGTACCTGCAGTGCAGTTGATCTCCCAAAGAAAAGATGTGTCTAAATCCCCCTTAGTATTGCTGAAAAATTTATTAAAATTATGAAAAATTACAGAACGTTATGTTTGAATATAATTTTTAGTAGTGATAAAAATTACCAAAATACTTACACTGCTGCATTCAAAACTTCCTTTCCTTAAAGGGTATGTAAGTTCACCTTTGCCCAGAAAGTTTCTCCATTCTTTTTCCTTCCATTTAACGACTTGCCAATTATTGCAGGCACCTTTGAAAATTAAAGGCTCGTCCCAAGATAAAATATCTTCTTTGATCATATTTACACGTTTTAATTATTGTTTACTAGATACTTTATTTTCTTCAAAACATTTTTGTTATCATTGGTTGTTCAAGGCGCCACATTTTTCCTTATCAGACTCGTTGATTGGGATGATTTTCAAATTGATTGAAAACTGATGATTTGAACGTTTTATGTTTTAAATTGGCAAAATACTTCTATTTTGACAATAAAATAAAATCATCAATTTTTTTTTTTTTTTTTAGTTTAAAGATTGTGCGAACTGGCGGATGTTTTTTATATTAGAACGCTTGCAAATTTAGCAAGTTGGAAAGTAGGTTTCGCATCAGGTTTTAGCTTGCTAGTAGAATAAATTTGAGATCGACGGAGTCAGCGTTTTTTAAAAACAATTTTTACATTACTTATATTATTTTATCTATCAAATTTTCGACTTATTTACACCAGTATCGTCATACAGTAAGTGGTCCCTTTTGACAGGAAATTTGCCCGACCTTCTGCGTCAAACATTAATTTAATAATTTTGAATAATTAATTAAAACTGTAGGAATGGCTGAAAGCAATGCCGCCCCATCGGCCAATGAAGAGCCCGTCGACGAAGAACTGGACGAATTATTAAACAGTATATATCTCAGATTAATTATTAATTACACAGAGATATTAATTACAGAGTACATTTTTTTAAATTTTTCCCCCCCTAACAGGTGCAATCAATGACTTTGACAAGCCCTCGGATGCTCCGGCTGAGGCGAAGACGGATGGAAAGGCTGACAAAGGTGTCGGTGACCTTTGGGGCTCAGAGTTTACAGCACTAGAAGCTGAAGAGGAGTTGAAACTGATGGAGCAAAAGATGAAAGAACTATTTTCAAGTTAACAGTTTGAATTTTTCTATTTTGAAGTTATTTGTAGCTATATTGGCCTTGGCCATTTCGGTCTGTCTATTCCTATCGGTTTTAGTATTTCATACACATTTTGCCAACTTGGCTTGCTCTTAGTTTTTTGCTATCTAATTCTGAACGCAATTAAACAAAGAATCGGCAGACCAGGGTGACTCGGCGAGATTGATTTACACTTTCGCCTTATGCCTAAAGCCTAGTTCGCACTTGAGCTCAAAGTTGCGTATCAGTGTTGCGGGGTTGAATATCCCGCTCAATCAGGAGAGTTGAGATTTAGCCTCATAACATGTCCCCATGTATCTGGAGTGTTTTACGGGTCTATGTGATGCAATATTTTGAGTCCCACCGAAATGGGATTCAGTGTGGATGTTGTGCAACAGTACAAGTTGCTTATTCAGAGATCGTGTGATGCGGTCTGGTATGATGTAGGTTTCAGAAAAACATTTTCTTGGCACGATAAAGAAAATGTTTTTCTGAAACCTACATCACACCAGACCGCATCTCACGATCTCTGAATAATTATTGATTAACGGTCACTAATCACCACACATTACAAGTTGTGTAGATGTGTTCCAGGGGCAGTTGGAGTGTGATTGTGAGTTTACGATAGGGAAATTGAATTTCTAAATTTTGTGTTTTCATTAAGCACCTTCGGTGCATCATTTGCAAGAGATTTTCAAAATCTTTGGGTATCATCCTTAAAAAGTTGATAAAACCCTTACATCTTCTAAGCTTGATGTGTCCAAAAGATCACGGCATGTATCATTGTTTACTAAATAATTTTAGGACCCACCTACTTGATTTCTATTTATATCTTTAATTAATAATGACAATGACATAGGAACACCCGCGAGGCCTAACTCCTGAGACATTTTCTAGGGAACTGCCTCTACAGTTCTGATGTCATTTATTTTTGTGGGCCAGCCCTCGAACAGACGCGCAACGTTGATCCTTGTGTGGACTAAGCTTAAGTACAAGAAGTTTGACCGAAATCTGTTAAGCCTGATTGGACTAATTTTCCATTTTAATTGTAACGATGTGCTTGTAATCATTTATTAAGTTAATGTCTGTTTTCCAGGCATGGGCGATGGTGCTTTCGGTGGATCGGAAGAGCTAGACGATGATTTTAAGAAAATTGCCGCTGAAGCAAATAGATATTTTACAGACAGTACATCTAGAGATACTGATTTTACCAATAAAATATCCCAAGCGCTTAAAAGTTTATCAGTTGATGCTGAAAACGTTAAAGTAATTATTTGTATTTCTGTTCATATTATTTCCTTTTTTATTTAGTTTAGAATTCCAGATTATTGGGATCATCGTAATGGCCTGTTTTCAGAAAATTGTTTTCAAAGCATTAATTTTCTTTTTTTAAGACCCCATTGGATCCTGAAGCACTCTCTTCTATGTTTAACGGATTGCAGTTTGGTGAATCTGGTATGCCGGGTGATTTTTTACCTATGATGCACGATATAATGCAAATGTTTCTTTCAAAAGAAGTGTTCTACCCTCCATTGAAAGACATCTGTGTTAAGGTATGTTCTAAGATCCTTTAATTTACCTATTATAATTATATTATAATTTTTTTCCCATTAGTTCCCCAAATGGTTGGAAAGAGAAAAAGGTAATTTGACAGAAAATGATTACCAAAATTACGTTAAACAACATAAACTAATGGAAAACGTTTGCCACGAGTTTGAACAAGAGAACGCTAATGACAGTGATGAAGTTAGAAAAAATAGGTTTACCAAAATTTTAAGCCTCATGGAGGAGGTATGCTGAATGAATTTATTTATACTGTGCGTATTGAATTTTAACATATTTCAATTTCATTTATGTAGATCCAAAAGTTTGGCGTCCTCCCTGAAGAATTTACTGAAGCGTCCCTATTGCAAAATCTTGATGGACTGAAACTCCCTCCTGATATGCCCCGTCTTGAACCTGGTCAATGTGCAGTTATGTAAAAATAGATGCCTTTTTCTTAGTTAAAAAAAAACTGTAAATTATATTTTTTTATTTATTGTAACTGTGCAATGGGGAGGGGGTAGTCTTTTTGAAAAAGAATCGTGTTTCTTTTAGTTCACTACATGTTTGTGTTACCTTGTCTTTACTCTTTTTAAATATTTCTATTGTAACAATAATAAAATATTAGGCCTAATGATTAAGTGGTTTGTTGAATGAGCACTTTATAAAATGTGATTAATTTTATTGTTGTTTTTAAGTTTGTATAGTAAATATTCTTATTTGTATCATTTTATCAATACTTTTATTTACTTTAAATAATTTTCCCATGTACATTTTCTTTATGGTATTTTTTTTTAAATGTTTTTCATTTGTTCAGATTGTAGTGGAGATGCTATGACATTGTACTGAAAATTTATCGCACAAAAGACTTGCTTATCCTAATTTTACCTCAAAGAGAGAGTGTCTGAGAAAGGAATTATAAGAAGTCTTTACAAATGTTTGTTACGATAATCAGTGCCTAACTTGTTAATCATAAAGTTTTAACTTCTGAGAATTTGTTCAAAATTAAGTGAATTAATAACACTGAAAGTTTTTTAACAGACAAACAGATTATCAAGGACAAGTAGGCAAGAAATAATTTTTTAGGTCTAACTTAACATACTGTAGTAATTTATTAGCTTAAGGCTATAAATATGCCATTATAAGTGATGACATGTCTCGAATGGACGGGGTGGAGTAATTCATTAGCACTCACATGCTAATATTTCTTGTATCTTCAACTTTCAAGGTGGAACCTGAAACTGGTTTTTGGAACCTTGTACACTATATTTTCGCAGTGGTTATTTTGTACCACAAAAATAATTATTTCTCTACTTTCTAATATCCTGAAGAGATGAAATAAGAATACCTAAGACCTTGATCAAGATGATGCCGATATGGTAGATGAGAAGTTGGTTAAAATACAGATTACAGTATATTTATCAGATAAATATTGTATATAGATAATTTTTTGTTGTTACTTTACACGAGAATATGTAAATAAACTAAGTTTCAGTATAATAATTTTTCTCAGTGTGCTTTATGTCATAAAAGAAAGGACATGCTGAAAGACAATACAGGAGAGTGCCGACTGACATGTCTCTTTATTCTTTACATAAAAGTATGAAAAACCATTAACACTTCACTCCAACATGGCCAATGATCTGAACAACAGATGTAAATACTTAATTAATTATATATATTTAATAGAAGCTGATAAAATTTAGTATTAATCTAGAATCACACCTGTGAATTGTACAGTCCTGCTAATCTAGTATAATCGTTAATAAAAAGTGTTTCTATGAAGCCGCGATTTCCTTATAATTAGAATAAAATCGGATAGTCGAAATGAGAAGTTTGTGGCATGGGCGATCAAAGTCACGGTAGCTCAAGTGGTAGAGCAGCGGCGTATTAGCTGAAAGTCGTGGGTTCGATCCCGCCTGTGACACAAATTTTTTATTTAAAAAAAAATTGTGTATAATTAATTGAGTATTTATATATTTAATAGAAGCTGATAAAATTTAGTATTGACAGGTGTAAACTTTCATAAATATAGGAAGAGCTCAGATTTATGTGCAATTGCTTCTTTTTTTAGACTACTCTGAACATTGCAAGATGAAGTTATTTATCAAGTCAATTTAGCAAAGTTTAATGTTGCATGTTATATTTTGTATTTTTTAAGGAAAAAATTTTATTATATCAGACAGCATCTGTACAGTTAATTAATTTTTTTATTAATGCCAAAAGTCAGAAGAAGCAAATCTAAAATAACAGGATGGTTAGAAAAATTTTATCCAGGGTTATAATACAAATGGCATTGTTTTATTACGCTGTATGTGACAAAACTGACAGAGTTGAGAAAAAAATCTCAAATTGATGCTCACTGTACCACTATTAAGTACACTCTTTTGTAAAAGGTGGTTCTATCTTCTAATAGAACACCTTTTACCAAACTAAATTTTCCTGTTATTGTTAAGTTTCTGTTCCTGTTAATTAATTAATAATCCTTCCCACATTTTAAACTCTCTCACCTAATCCTGTTTCCCTTCACGTTGAAAGGAACCCCTTAAATTTGCTTTATCCAAGATACCTTTCCTAGTGACTACTTCTGTATTAGCCCTTCTACCATCACTGTATTTATTGACTCCCATGCCCTTATATCCTCTTTTAAATCTGGCTTCCGAAAATTTCATAGTTTTCAGACAGGCCTTTTCAAAATCTCATATATTTGCCTAGGCATTGATGATAATAAGTGTACTTTATTGTGTGGTGTTTAGTGACCGTTAGTTAATGATTATTTGGAAATCGTGAGATGCGGTCTGGTGTGACGTAGGTTTTAGAAAAACATTTTCTTTATTGTGCCAATTTTTCGATCTTAATTGAGATCATCTTCAGGGCCTGAGAGAAAAAAAAAATTTTTTTTAAAACCCAAAAGGAATTGGAAAAATTAAAAAATGGTTAAAAAACCCAAGCCCCGAAAAAGAACCCAAAAAAACCCCAAAACGTTGCACGATAAAGAAAATGTTTTTCTAAAACCTACGTCATACCAGACCGCATCTCACCATCTCCAAATAATCACGTACTGTTATTATTGTTCTACTGGATTTTTCTATTGCTCAATTTGCTTATTTGAAAAATGAAGCTTCTTTTTGGTTTTTCTTTTACTGCTACTAATCTCATCTATTCTTATCTCTCTGACAGAATTCGGAGAGTTAAAGCTTCAAATTCTATCTCCTTTTCTTTCTCAATTTAATCTGCTGTACCCCAAGGCTCTATTCCTAGACCTTTACCCTTTTCCATGTTTCTAAATGATCTTCGATTAGTTCTTAATTTCTCCCAATTTTCATCTTCCTCTGCTTTACATACAATGTCCTACATGAAACATCTCTCAAGCTATCTCACTGCTCAAACGTGATCTTCATTCTCTCAACCGAAGGTTGAGAAATATTAGCATTCAGAGAGTTACAGCTTCAAATTCTATCTCCTTTTCTTTCTCGATTTCATCCGGTGTACCCCAAGGCTCTATTCTTAGACCTTTACCTTTTCCATGTTTCTAAATGATCTTCAATTAGTTCTTTATTTCTCCCAATTTTCATCTTTATACAGATGACTCAGCTTTACATTCAAGCCCCTGGAGTCCTCTAAAACTTTAGCCTTATACTTAAAAAGTGCAGGGTCAAGACTATGGAATTCGCTTCCAAGGTGTTCTGCTTCCTCCCTGGCTTGTTTCAGGTCCATGACATCTGAATTTTAAGAAATATTATAAACAAATTTATTTCTAATATATGTACATGTTATGGAGCTTTAAGCCCTATTTGCAACTATAAAATAAATAAATATAGTGTTATTTGTAAGATAAACTAAGTGATTTATTCTAAACAATTTTTATAATCTAAATAATTTAATATAAGGAATCAAAACAAGAGTTGTTCAAGTAAACATTTAGGGTAACAAATGTGAAAGTATCACATCACTGGTCACACAATTGTAACCAGTAAACACGTGATCTGTGGTATCTCTTGTACTTTTACCTCAAATGTTATCACTTTATCAGGTCTACAAGTCAAATTCTTGAGTGGGTCATTAAGTGATAATTACTGGGGATATCGCTTCCTTCACCATTATAAAATATATATCGCTTTGAAGTACAAGTCTTCGATTATTTTTGGAATATTTGTTAAAAAAATGGCTTTAAATAAATTAGCAATCGATGCTGTTAATTTGGTGAATAAACGAGTTTTAATGAGGTGAGTTTATCAATTTTAATCTAACTTAAATATTTGATCCCCAAATAAATGATAAAATTCACTGAATTATATACATAAAAATGCATTAAAGTCTAAAGTTAATAAAACTGATCAACAATGAATTAAAAAGTGTAAAATTGTACCATTGCATAACTAGATTTATACTTATCATTTAGTATTAATTACTGAAATAGTTGAAAAAATACATAAAAGGTGATTGAAAATAGGTTAGTCTATTTATACTTTTTTAAGGGTATAAATAACAATGGTCTAATAATAAAACTCAATGGTTTGAAATGAAATTACTCGATGTCTGTATAAAACTCAGATAAAATGGGAAAGAAATAGCCAACTTAAATATATCTTGAATATCCACTGTTTTTCGTGGTCCGCTAGACCAATTAATATCATTCAATTATGTAAGGTTTTAAGTTGAGATAAAAAATTCAGTGTCACGAGCGGGATTTGAACCCACGACCTTCGGCTTGATATGCTACTGCTCTACCACTTGAGCTATCGCGACTTTGATCCCCTCAGGCACTAACTTCCCATCTCAACTTATTCAAAAAGGAATTAGAAAATTAGAATTCAAAAAGGTGTGGTTGAGATGGGAAGTTAGTGTCTGAGGGGATCGAAATCATGATAGTTCAAGTGGTAGAGTAGCGGCGTATCAAGCCAAAGATCGTGGGTTCGAATCCCGCTCATGACTTAAAACCTTAAATAATTGTATGATATCTTGAATATGTTAATATAACATATTAACTCAATTTTACATTGATTTTCAGGGTGGATTTTAATGTCCCGTTGAAGGATGGGAAAATAACAAATAACCAACGGATTGTCGCCGCTTTAGACAGTGTGAAGTACGCACTGGACCAAAATGCAAAAAGCATCGTACTTATGTCGCACCTCGGGAGGCCCGATGGCACAAAGAATATGAAATACACACTCAAACCAATAGCCGCTGAGTTAAAAACTCTGTTGAACAGGTATTCTAGGTATTGTTTTTAAATCCTGACCTCACCGGTTCCTTTCGTCCTACCTGGCCCATGCCTGTGTAACGTATCATATGCTATACGGTCTATTCTCCATGTAATTCTTCCGTTTTTCCTTATAAAAGGGAGGTGACTTTTCTTTCTGACTGTGTCGGCCCTGATGTGGAAAAAGTCTGCGAAGACCCGAAGCCTGGTTCTGTTATTTTACTAGAGAACTTACGCTTCCACGTTGAAGAAGAGGGAAAAGGCGTTGATAGTTCTGGGCAAAAGGTGATTAATTTCTTTACATACTAAAAGTGCTCTGTCTTGGTTTGTACAAAAAATTGGTGATCGAATTGATTAAATTTCAGAAGATGGCCAAGTTGGAATGCTTTTAGCCTTACGATTATTTTTATAGTTATCAAACAAATGAAACTCATTTTAAATGTAAATATCCAAATATTTCAAACAAGCAAAATGAGGAACACTTCCTGCTAAATCAAGTTTTGTAGGGTTTCTTTAAAAACTGATAGAAGTTAAATTGGGGAAAATAGCCTAAGAGATTGGTGTTACTCCGGGGAAGGGCTAATAATCTGGAGAAATTTAATACAGTGGATAGAATGGATAGATGCCATTTTCCACGGCTGAGATATAAAGTTGTCAATACTGTGATTATTTTGTTTTTATATTTTTATTAATTTATTTACTTATTTTTTAAATTGTAGACAAATTTGTAAAATGTAAAACAAGTGGTTTGACTGGCATTACCCCATTCTCCCCTATATCTTGAGATCATTTCCTATATTTTAAATTTTTCTGTACCTGCTCTTTTGTTCATTTGGACTTAGAATGGCTAAAAGTTTAAACAGGTCCGACAGAAAATGATTAGAAAGTACCAAGCTACAAGATATTTTTGTTGTATTATAATAAAATAAGTTTCCATAATTTCAAAAGGCAAAAACAATAATTTATATATTAGATCAAAGTACAAACTAGATATTTCAGAAGTGAAAATAGAAAAAGATTATCAGCATAAATTGAGCGTTTATTGGGATGCTACATTGTATTTTGGTTGTTACCATTTTGGTGTGTCTATCCTCACTGGATTGGTCTGTCAAATACATTTCGGTGTGTAGAGATTAGTGACCGTTAATCGATAGTTATTCAGATATCGTGAGATGCGGTCGGGTGTGATGTGGGTTTCAGAAAAACATTTTCTTTATCGTGCCAACGTTTCGATCTTTTATTGAGATCATCTTCAGGGCTCAAACTGTTTGCCTTCTGTGTAATTGTGCCATCCTTGCATGTCATGTTGAGAGTGCCAGTGTGTCTTGTGTTTCAAGATGATCTCAATAAAAGATCGAAACGTTGGCACAATAAAGAAAATGTTTTTCTGAAACCCACATCACACCCGACCGCATCTCACGATATCTGAATAACTAAACATTTCGGTGTGTTGCTATCTTGACCTAGCACTGAAGATTTTTAACAACCCAATAAGAGGATTATCCTATGGTAGCCTAGGGTCAGAGTGACAAACTCTAGACTCATGCGGCCATGGGTGCGATTCCCGCTTTTGTCCTGGCCTTTTATTTATTTATTTTTCCCAATAGACACAAAAGAAAAATATGATTGCTCTGGCCAATATTGACAAAATAAGGCCATTAAAAAAATACATGCATTAAATAATAATTAAGAAAGATTTAAAGGTGACCAACCGGCTACTATTCACAATATATTTGGTGGGATTGGGGCTGTGGTCCGATGAATGTTGTGGGGGGGAATATATATATATATATATATATANTGTTTCAAACACTATAATATCTAGAAAATCTAAAAGAAAAGTAAAGTAGTTCTTTTATGGATAGTTTAACTCTTCATTATAGGTGGGCGAAATAATTTACTCTACCATCTTACTGCAATGTGCATAGAAATAATAAAGAAATTAAAGTTTGTATACATAGTTACAATACAAGACAACAAAATAATTTAAAGTTAAAATAAAGGTAGTTTTTTTAAATCAAAAAGAGGCTTTATGACTAATGATACATTAGTTTTCATGGACTTTCTACAATCAATAATGTTGCTGTTAGATATATATTGATTAACTGAATTTAAGTTATTTATTTTATTTTTTATTTTTTTTATTTTTTAAGTTTATTCATATGAAATATTTTAAAGGAACAAATCTTCAGCTCATTTCATTATATTCAATTTTTTTTCTCTTTGGTTGTGGTCTACCAATCCTCACCGTGTTAGTCTGTCAGATGCGTCTAAGCATTTTGCCATTTTCATAGTTGTGTTTGGGTGGCAAAATGTCAAAATGTGTGACAGACCAACTCGTCGAGGATTGGTTGACCATCGGATGACAATGCAGAAAACGAAAAATCTCACAATTTATACAGTAAATATTAAACAGTGATAATCGTAATTATCCTTCATTAATTGCAATAAAAATATTGTTTTAAAATTACCAACTAAAATTTCTTTTCAGTAACTTTTGTTGGTATAACGTTAAATTTTAATTTTGTAATTAATGCATTTCAGTTTAAACCACTCCTCCAGAGCCCTGCCAAAACCTCGGAGGTAAAAACGATTATAACTTCTGAGGGGAAAATAACAATGCCAGCATTTTGGGTTTTTCATTGTACGATGAGATTTTTATTGTTTTTGTGATTATTGCATGAAATAAAGGGTATTAGAAATAATTTGTAGGTTATTTAAACTTATGTGATATTAACTTCGAAGTAAACAAATATTTGTTTGTCATTCAGAATTTCGTTGGTCTGTTATTTTATGCAGTTTAAAATATGTTGGTAAATTTTGTAGCGTGATCATATGCTTTCATACTGGTAATGCCCTCTTGTTGTTTTTTGCCTATTAGACTGACCAAAGACACTTTCACATTTTATAAACTTACAGGACACACAAACCTCAAATATGGTTAAATATGTCCAACAGAAACAGTTAGCAAGCAGAACAAGATGGAGACAAACTATCAATTTATCACTTGAATACAAATGTCAACAAAATATCTCACAATTTAGGCAAAAATTTATCGTTAAGTGCAATAATATGTAAAAAATGTTGGTATTGATTGGTTTGTTTTGTTTCAATGTTATCAATATTATTGCTATATTTAACAATATCGAACATAACATTGAATTTACATATAGAAGAAAATCCAATAGTATTTGCATGATGATTAAAATAAATATAAAAACCTTTATGTCTGTATGATGTTTTCTCATTAATTGATTCAAATGTTTAGCATTATCATATTTGCTTACATATAAGTTCTCCCTTTCAATATGCATGTTTTTTATTATTTTAATTACAAATATCTTATTCTCTTTATTTGTTTACTCTAGGTAAAGGCGAATAAAGAATCTGTGACAAAATTCAGACAGTCTTTGAGGAAATTGGGTGACATTTATGTAAATGATGCCTTTGGTACTGCCCACAGGGCACATAGTTCTATGCTAGGGGAAGGCTTTGAACAAAGGGCTGCAGGATTCCTATTGAAAAAAGAACTCGAATACTTCGCAAAGGCTTTAGACAATCCAGAAAAGTAACAGTTTTGAAAAACACACTACAGCATCAAAGATATGAATATTTACTCTAATTTTGTTTTAATTGGCAGACCTTTTCTGGCTATACTAGGTGGGGCTAAAGTTGCCGATAAAATTCCTCTGATTGAAAATCTTCTGGATAAAGTTTCAGAAATGATAATAGGTGGAGGGATGGCGTATACATTTTTAAAAGAGATGAACAATATGAAAGTAAGACAGTCTTGTTTAATAATTTTGTAAATTAATATAGTTTTTATTTTTATTTTGTTGTTTAGTCACTATTAGAGTTATGTATTACTTTTTGCACTTTTGAACATTGTTTACTAAATTATTTATCATAGTTTTTCATTACGTTTGTTTACAACATTTCGTGCCAGACCCTGGCTCCTCTTCAGTTAAGACTCTAACTGCAAGGAAAAGCTATTATAAATAGTTTAGTATAGAAACATTGTAGTAATAGTACAAAAAAGTAATAACTGTAGTGTATTGATTGAGATAAAAAAAGTCAATGTCACAAGCGGGATTCGAACCCACGACCTTCGGCTTAATACGCCGCTGCTCTACCACTTGAGCTATGCTGAATTCAATCCACTCGGACACTAACTTCCCATCTCAACCCAACTTTTCAAATTTTTCTTTCTTTTTGCCATTTTTATCTCAACCAATACCTTACATAAAGATTAATTAATTTAAAGATGTTATTTTTGCATCACAAACAACAAGTTACGTGAAATAAAACCATGTGTAACTGCATGGAACTCCTCCTCCCGCAAATCAAGGAAAGAGGAAACTGTACTTGCGAGGTTGAGAATAGGACACTGTAGAATCACCCATGAGTACCTCATGAGACGTGAATCCCCCCCGAACTGTACGACTTGTGGCGTGCTTCTAACCGTGAAACACATACTCACTGAATGCAGAACATATAATCACTTAAGAGACAAACACAATCTAACAGACGATATTTACTGCACCCTTAGTGACGATGGTTCCATTTCCGATCTGTTTGCTTTTCTCAGGGAATCGGTAGTGTCATTTCATTGATGTTGAGTCCGGTATCGGGAACGCGTAGAAATTGTATTGAATTTAATTGACTTTTTTTTCGGCTCGTGAGGCTTGGGATCGGCGGGGTGCGGAGCAGTGTGGCCGGCCGTGGCGGGGGACGCCCGGAGGAGCCTACAAGGGCGAAATGAAGCCCGAGGCCTGTGATGGATGTGGGAGTGGGGGCGCAGCACCCGCACATCCATCGGAAGGCCTAGTAGGATAATAGAAGTAAGAAGTAAGGAAATAATACATCCGGCGCTCTTTCGCCCTTGCACCAGCCCGGGGGCTTCGTGGCTTGCGCCGGACTCTGGCCTACGACACTTGTGTGCCTTATGGATAATTATCAAGGCAAAAAATGACCTAAATGGTTGAATTGCCTTTATAATAATGAAAAAAAAAGATGTTATTTGGTTAATCAGGCCATGAAATCTAATGAATTTAATAACTATAATTTTGTAAATTGTTTTCAAACAATATATTTCTTGTAGATTGGTGATNACCAATATCTTACATAAAGATTAATTAATTTAAAGATGTTATTTGGTTAATCAGGCCATGAAATCTAATGAATTTAATAACTATAATTTTGTAAATTGTTTTCAAACAATACATTTCTTGTAGATTGGTGATTCTTTATATGATAAGGAAGGAGCCAAAATTGTTAGTAAACTAATGCAAAAGGCTGAGAATAATAAAGTGAAGATTCACCTTCCTATTGATTTTGTAACTGCGAATAAGTTCGCTGAAGATGCTGAAACTGGTGTAGCTACTGTAAAAGAGGGCATACCGGACGGATGGATGGGATTGGACATCGGACCAGACACGAGAGTTGCTTTTAGTGAACCTATCAAAAGAGCTAAAGTTATTGTTTGGAATGGGTAAAAAACATTTTAATTAAAAAACCAATGTGTATAATTTTCTATTATATAGATTTGTTTCAGGCCACCTGGTGTTTTTGAATTTGAAAAATTTTCTTGTGGTACTCGTGCAGTCATGGATGCTGTAGTGGAAGCAACATGCCTTGGCGCGACAACAATTATAGGAGGTGGCGACACAGCTACGTGCGCTGCAAAATATAAGACTGAAGATAAAGTATCCCATGTGTCTACGGGTGGTGGTGCCAGCTTGGAACTCCTTGAAGGTAAATTAAAATTTAAACAAATTATTGAGCTTACTAAATTTATTTATTTTTTAATAGGAAAGACCCTTCCTGGAGTTGCTGCACTTTCGAATGCTTAACTACTAAAAAAATTAACATATTTTACAAATAGAAATTTATTTTTTTAAAAAGAAAATACATTTATATACGTCTATTGAAGCCCCAATTTGTTGCATCTTTATACTTTAAAGAATATAATTTTTAAAAATTATTATTAAACCATTGTATTTATTATGAATTTGAATACCTCAGCTTTCTTATGATTATTCTTGAATGTCGAATTGAAAGAAAATAAATAACCGAAATTTTAAATTTTAAACGAACTCAGCTTAACTAAAACCCAGGTTGACTGAAATGAGTGGTGTGTGAGAATGGAGTGTTATGGTTAAATCTTGCTGCTAATTATGCTGATGCGATATAACAGTGGGTAAAATCTAAATCTAAACTTCATCAATACAGTTCTCAAGTGCTGAACTGCATGATGGTGAAGCTAGTTAATTATGAAAAAAATTAATGACTTAAGCTCTTTTTCTCTAGTATTCATTTCAGCTAAAGTAATTAGTACTATTCTTCATATTTATATATACATGGATTATTTGGTTTTAATTGGAAATTATGTTTTTTACTCCTTTCACTGCATGCCAACAGCCTCCATGGATTATTTGAAAAATTGATTTATCCAAAACGACTCCCCCCCCTTAGTTTGGTTAAAAAGGGTTCTACTGTATATATGTAGATGGCTTCAGTTGTTCCCATCATATAGAAGAACCCCATTCACCTGATATTGCTGCAGATAACTTTTTTTTCTTTTTTTTTACCGTAAGACATCTTTCAGCATTTTGCTATCCTCACATTTTGGTCTGTGTTATATTGTGAATTTATAAATTTGTAAGATAAGGTATGTGGTAAAATTATCTTTGTTCCGTTGTTTTAATTTAATTCTTGGGTTGGTATGTAAAACCTGTCTGACAAGACTAGGATGATCAGGTTCAATCAAGACTGGAAGAGGCTGTAAAAAAAGTGGCCACCCTCATTTTTTTTTTTTTTTTTAGTAAATACGTGCAATTATTATAATGTGTGATTAGTGACTGTTAATCGATAATTATTCAGAAACCGTAAGATGCAGTCTGGTGTGACGTAGGTTTCAGAAAAACACTTTCTTTATCATGCCAACGTTTCGATCTTTATTGAGATCATCTTCAGGGCCTGGGATTTACAAACATTGTTTACATTTAACAAATACTTGTAGGATGTGGAAAAAAGTGAATTTATACAATGCTTTATAATTTATATTTTTTATATTCAATCGAAACATTGGCACGATAAAGAAATAAAGAAAATGTTTTTCTGAAGCCTACATCACACCAGACCGCATCTCACAATTTCTGAACAATTATTATAATTTTTATTTTTTGTTGTTTAATGGATATTTCTAAAGAACAATATAAGATATAGTTAAATTAAAAAAATTAAACTGAGAAAAACATTTTTGCCAAAAAAATTGCTAGGGAAGCAATGAATGTGTAATATTTAGTGACTGTTAATTAATGATTATTTAATCATCGCCTCTCAACAAATAGACCAACAAAATCCTTCAAGAAATATTTAAACAAATAGAAATTGACGTGTACACTTACAAATCTCTCCTCCAGCATCCCCAAAACTATATGGATCTGTCAAAACTTACAAACACACCAAACCACATCTTACGATCTTAATAATGAAGAAAATATTTGATTCAGTACATAGTATTTTCTCGTCTTGTATTGATCACTACTTCTATTTGGCATGTCATTATTTTGAGGTTTTGAATGTACTGCTGTGGAATATTTTTATACTCCTCCACCAGCGCTAGTTTTATTGCTGCAAATTTTCTGGCATTACTGGGCGACTTTTTACCCTCTTTGACGACTCGTCCCAAAGGTGTTCGATAGGATTTAAGTTGAGACTACATGTTGGCAATTCCAAACATCGATTTGAAGTAGTCACCAATGATCCTAGATGTGTGGGGCCTTGAATGAATAAAAATAAAACCGTCGCCAATTAGTGGCACATAAGGGATACTTTTGACAATACATTTTCAATGTATTGTGTATTTGTTAGGGCACCCTTGACGAAGATTATGTTTGTGCTACCTTACATAGAAATCCTGCCCAAACCATAACACTACCACTTCCATAGCTTATCCAGAGTGAAAATGTTGCAGTGATATTTCTCTCCTGTTCTTCTCCAAACCCTCTCTTGACCATCAGAAGACTTCAAATAAATCCTTGACTCATCAGAAAACAAGGTTTTAGTCCAATCTTGGATTGGTCCAATTGATGCGATCTCTTCGAAACTTAACAGAGCTGTTCTGTGCCTTTGTCAGAAGTTCTGGACCAGTGGCAGGCCTGCTCATACTTAATCCATCACTGAAAATATTCTCCTTACAGTGAATAAACTGATATTAACATTTCTAACTTGTTGAAGTCGTTGCTTGATCTCAACAGCGTTAGAATGTTGATTACAGACTACATTCAAAACAATGAAACGTTCATCTCTCTGAGCTGCGACCTAATCCATTCCTTCTTGAGTAATCCCATAGTGAAGAAAGACCCTTTGGACAGTTGTTCTGGGAACGTTTTTTTGTAGCACGTTTTTAGCACCACATACGCTTTATCTCTGCCATCTTGGCCGAAAAATGGCACAACTTAAAAAAATCAAACCATTGGAACATTAAGAATTAGCTTTGCAGAAAAACCAATAATAAAGAGATTGACTATTGAAAGATTTATTTAAAAAATCCAATTGTTAACACAAGTGGTCAATTTTATCTGTTTTATTTACTTCTAATCCTTTAAAAGGAATAAATATTGTTGCAAGATTAAGGAGAATTTTCTAAGGGATAATTAAAAATATTAAGTGAGGCCACTTTTTTGCCTCTCAGTGTAATTTTTATATTTAACATACTAATTGCTGAGCAAGTTTAATTTTGGAAGGTCACAAATGTTTGATATGTACTCAGAATTTACTGATATGTATTTCTCATAAAGGGTAGGATTGGTAGAACCAAATGTACAATTTGATTAATTTTTAATTAATAAAATTATTTGTTTATAAATTGAAGTTAAAATTTACATAAAATATATTTGTTAATTACAAAAACTGGCACATTAATAAATGGTACACATTGAGATTTTGTTTTTTATAGATAACTTTACAATTTATAACATAAAGAATATAAACATTTAAATTTAAATAATCATAACAATTAATAAAACACTACTGTAACTAAATTTCCTCAGACTTTTTGGTTTTGATTTTGATTACAATTTTATAAAGCTACGTCTCTATACTTTTGTAAATCATCTGATTCAATTGATACTCGGCTTCCAATGACTGGTTCTTGTACGAAAGCCACTTTTCCCATTTCATTGACAACAAAACCTGACGGAGCGACTGTAAAGTAACCGTTTCTCATTCTGTCATCACCGCCCGAAGGGAAAAACCCTAAAGATCTGTATCTTCTGAGCGATCTGTCTAGGCTGTTAGTTGAATGGTTACTTATTTGTTGAGTTTGCTGAATTGGCACAGGGGAGTGAAGATTGTACATGGACCGACTTTTAAATGATGATCTCATCTCTGAATCGAATAAAGAAGCGTTGAATTCATTACATATTGGACGGTTGAGAATGATCTGCTTTCTTGATCCAATTGACACCATCGATCCAGCCCTATAACATATTAAGAGTTGTTAATACGACAATTTAAATTTATTAATAAACAATTTAACCTCCTTAAATGAGGATGAGGTGGTGGAAATGTAGGAGGATGATCTTGTATGCCGTTAAAACCCGGGTTAGAATAGGCAACTTGTGGTAACTTTGAATCACTAGAAACTGAGGCCCTTCGCCCATTCTCAACAACTGCAGCTCTTGAAGCCTATAAAATAAATTCAATATATATATTTTTTTTTAAAACAAATAATTAAATGAACATACTAAGTTAAGATCCCTCAAGCTTGTCAACACTTGCTTTTCTTCTTTCCAATTGAGGTATAAAAAGTAAACACAAATTAAGCCAGCAACCTGAAATGTATTAACGTCTTTGTTTATCTTTTTCAAAATAAAAAAAATTGTAAATACTTTACATTGACTAAGAGTCTGCAAGCCCAACATGTGATTTCTGTTAATCCATAAATTGTATAGATTTTCTGGAACAAAAAAATAAATAAACATAAAATTATAAATTTTAAAACTGTCTGGTACTTACCCAAAACTGAAAACTCATAAATAATACTAAACCACCTTCAGGTATGAGTATGGCAACTATTCCAAACAACCAGAGAATTAGGGGAGGAATCTGCTTCTGAAATGAAAAATTTAAGTTAAACTGTCTCACTTTTTTTAATGTTGAGATATTTTTGGCTTACATGTGATATCCCTCTGACTAAAATTGCAGATAAAACAAAGGTAACGAAGTAGCCAGTTATCAATATGTATGCTAAATACGGTAACTGTCCTGAAAATAGATAATTAAAGTAATAAAAAAAAGCTTATTTATTACTTAAAAAGAGTGTCCCAAGTTTACCTCCAGTGTCCCAGAACCACCACAATTCCATCAGAAAAGCAATTATGTATGCCACCTAATGAAATTGAAATAATAATATAATGTGCATATATGCATGAATATAATACAGGGTGCCTTGATTTTTACCAAGTTTGAAAGTAAGGTTGATAAAAAATTTACAGAGTAGGTTTTACTTATAAACTATTACTTATTTTTGTATCTGGCTCATCTTGTAGTATAATTATAATTTATTAAGTATAATTTATTTTAAGCATAAATAATATTTTTTTTACTTTTTAATACATTTGAATAACAAAATTCCAACACTGAATCATATAAACTTTTTTGGGTAATTTGAATGTTCTTGATTTCTAGCTGTATGTAATATATTTAGTATATATAAATAACATTCTGAACTAAAGAAAATTATGAAAGTCCAAAATGTGTCTAAGATAGCAAAAATGGACGATCAAACTATGAATGAATGTTTTAAAGGTGATCAACCTTTGTAAATTGTTTAATAAAAAAGCTAATAACAAATTATATGTCCTGCACGAAGGGCATAGTAATATTTTGCATAATAATTATTCCTTTAGTTTTTTAAATTGTACCACCGGTTTTTATTTTTTGAAAGCTATTCGGCCACACATCTCTCATATTTTTCTTTTTCATTCGGTTCATTTGGAGTAATTGTCCCACATGACAGAAGACTTAGGAGCTGGCCTGAAAGCTTTCAAGAAATAAAAACTGGTAGAACAGTTAAAAAATTAAAATAAAATAAATAAATAAAATTAAATTAAAAAAGTATTAACAAATTAACAAGTATGCCGATATAGAGCTGACAGAGAGAACCAGTGAGAACAGAATGATTAGGCACAATCATGCTACAAATGAACTTTAAATTGAAATAATCCTTCTAGCATGCTTTACCAGATCACAAATTCTTTTGATGATTGTTTTATTTAAGTTTAAGTGTCCATTCTTCCATCAAATGATAAATAATCTGATTATGACTTGGCTATCAGGCCAAATTTTTTAAATTTATATTTTAATTTGAAATAACAAATTAAACAAACAAAATCATAAATTAATCTTGATTTGGTTGACACATTTGGTTGGTCCCTTACTCTTGGATCTAAGCCCGTATCCGGCCTAAAGAGAAAGGTTGCTCGATGCATTTTTTAATTTACTTGGATGTAATTTACTTGGCTTCATACAGAGAGCAGATAGTGGAATCTTGAGTATCCTATTGATCATCAATTAAGTTTGTGTAGTAATAGGTGTAAAGGGTGAAGGGCGAAAATCAAGCACTCCACTACCCTAAGTGAATGGTATGCAAACGGGAAATAATGAGTGAGAATGTGACTGCATGCGTTGGGTGCTGAAATGGCCCAGCTGTCACCTGGAAACAAACCACGGTGGCTGGTTGAATAAGAACACGGTCTGACCTCGAGCTGTCAACGTCCAAGATGGATGATTCTGAGGCCTGCCAGTAATTTTTTGTAAATTACAAAAACTTGAATTGCTGGTGCACTATGAGAAGTGATACATGTATATGCTCTTGATTTATTAATTGATTTAATGATTATAAATAATTAAGAGGGCTATGAGACCATCATAAAGTTATACTGTTACAAATTAGAAGAAATTACAATGTAATAAGATGTAAAAATTTCATTGAGTCTTTTCGTTCTTCCTGAAACATGCTAAAAGTAAAGCTGCAAAGATCCTCAAGGATCAATTAAATAAGGAAAAAGATATTGTTTTATTTAAGAAGTTTCAAGTAACTTTAATGATTTTTTTTTGTTGCCACAAATTCTAATATCACTTTTAGACAGTTGGTAATAAACATTAACTTTTGTAAATTTGCAAATTAAGATATATATAGTTCTTTTGCTGTTTATATCTTACTTATTAATGATATCCATCTTGCTCTCCCTTCTGATTAATTTTTATTATTTGTTGATGATCTGAAAATCTATTCCATTCTATTACATCTCCATCTGATTGCTTTCAATTACAAAATTCTAACAATAATGTGCTCGTCTGGTGCTCTAATAACAAACTTGCTCTCAATGTCTCCAAATGCTAAACAATTACATTCTTTCATAAGAAACAACTTTTTCTTTATCTCTACACTCTTCATGATTCTCTTTTAATGCAAGTTGAGGTCGTAAAAGATCTTGGTGTACTTTTTGATCAAAAGCTCGAGTTTAAAGAACATATTTCTCCAATAAAAAATAGATCTATGAAGATGGTAGGTTATATCATTCGGAACACATATGAATTTAAAAATCCTCTATGTTTTGTCCATCTTTATAAAGCTTTTGTACAACCCATAGTTGAATACGCTACACCTGTTTGGAACCTATACTATCTAAATTATCAAAAAATTCTTCAATCTGTGCAAAACAAATTTTTAAAAAAACTTTCTTACAAACTCAATCTTCTTCTGAACTCTGCCTACCCTGGAATCCACCCTGAATTTAAACTTTTTGAACTGACACTGTTCATGCCCTTTTGGGAAATACTTTCTTTTGGTATTGAGGAGTTTCCTTTTAGTTTTTTATTATATAGTATATATTTTGAGAGAGAGAGTGCGAGATGGAACAAGTGAAGGGCGATTATTTCCCTCACTTTAAAACGTTTGTTAGTGCCCAGTTTGATTCGCCTTGCTTCGCACGCTGCTTCCTTTTTTTTTTTTTTTGGCTGTTTGTTCGAGCCACTGGGATTTTTCTTACTGGGACCAGCCGATCGTTTTGGCCAAAGGTTGAGGTAACACCTAGAAGCCCAGGTAAGGGCTGTCCATTGCCCTTTTCCCAGCCGATTTTCTTACCCTACTGTTTCGCAGAAGGAAGCTTCAGCCTGAGATGAGTGGGAACTCCTCATTACAACTTTAATTTATATATTTTATTATTATCCAACAATACTGGATAATAATAAAGACATAAAGACAATACTGGATAATAATAGCCTAGATAGCGAGAACATCGAAAATACATCTAGGCCAGAACATTTGGTCCTCCGGGCCGGATAAGAAGGGATTACTTTGATATTGTTTTTGTCTTTAAATTATTAAACAATCTCATTGGTAGTACTTCTCTCCTCTCTCAGCTACAGCTACACTTCCCTTCGCACTCTCTCAAAACCCACAAACTATTTTATATTGAATTCCAAAGCTCTAACTACATGCTTTCTTCTCTACACCGAATGATGATCAAGATCAACAACATCTGCAACAGCATTGACTTCTTCAATAGTTCTGTGCAATCTGTGAAAAACCATATCCTACAACCCTACTCTAGTTGAATTTCCCTACCAGTTTATATTTTTTAAATGCTTTTATATTTCTTAGTTAAAAATTTATTACAATTTATTTCATTTACTGGTTCACCTAAATCTTGCACTCAAGTCTTATTATATATCTACAAAGAGCATTATGAAAATTAAATATGTATCTAAATATTGTAGTTTCCATTGTATTTCAGCTTTATTCTGTTTCCTTTGCCTTTATTTGCTTAATAATTATGTCTTTTATTTTTGTTGTACAGTTTTTACTCTTTAATTGAATTTTTATATTTATCATTTATAATATTACCATGTATATATGTCCTTATTATTTTTGTATATATTATTTTTATTTTTTGTTATTGTAAAATGTCTTTTTATAGTGGATTTCGATCCGTAAATAAATAAATACAGATAAGTGTCTGGTGAGTGGTATTTTTTCATGATTGAATTTAGATTTATTTGAAGTTCTGACTCATCACACTTCCGTCAACGGCTTTGCCCGGAAATCGCGTGTAGCCGTGTTACTACTATTGTGTAAAATAAAAAAAAGTAAATCCTGGGGAAAAGTAAATCCTCTTACGCAACGGCGTAACCCTTGGGCGACAATCAACCAAAACTCACTCAACCAGAATGAGTATTTCGAAAAAAAAGTTTCTACTTTCACTCAACCTGTGGGATTACAGCTGAGGAAAGAGCAGCCAAGAGGTTTACCTACGCCTTGGTACTTTTCGAATAAAGATTAAAGATTATTAGAAAAAAAATTATAAATCGTTTCGATAAGTTTTTATCGAATATAAAACCAAATATGTTTGGATATTAAAAAAATACTTAAAAAAAAGTATTTTGTTGATGAATTTCTTTTTAAACGAGTTAAGATTATGATCCTAATCGTATTCAATAAAAACATAGAGAATATTTATAAATTGAAAAACTTACTGTTATGTAGACGGAGATAACGGATGCAGCAACTCGAAGGCTGCAACAGAGGCAATTCTCCAACAATGGCATGTTTTTGAGGGCGTCATTTGTAGACTTTAACGCTGAGTAGAAACGCAGCTCTTAAGAGTTTTGAAAGCGTACGATTTCCCTGTGAACCAGGCCGTTGCTCTCTTCGACATTTTATCACAAATTTAATCCAAAAGGAGTGGCCGAGGGCGTCGTGGCCAGGTGCATGCTATTTTTCCCTTCGCCTATCCAAATGAGATACCAGCATAAATATGCGTCGAGTTCATTGCCTCCGTCCGTCACCAAGGCATAGCGACACCGAGCGAATACAGATTAGATTAAAACAATCAACTTGCGCGTAGACTTTTTTCCCACTGACTTTCTAAGCTCGGATTTCTCGTACGTTTCCGTTAATCTTCGGCATGTTTCGGGCCAACAGTGCTTTTAAGCACCACGGATCTATTTTCAACGTCTTCTTTCGATGGCGTTCGATACAGCGTCTTTAATGTGGTTTATAACCAAAAATAATTAAAATAACATAAATCGTTGCAAATTATTTTCTTCGCAATTTATTTTTGGGTGTTTCTTGTAAAAAATAACATTAGGGAGAAAAACTTGTGTCCGGAAATAAACCACAGGTTCTAGGGAACGTACGCGTCGATACACCCATTTTTTTTATTTTTATTGTTTGCTTATTTAATCATCAGACATCACAAAAGCAAAAATATCTCTAATTAGAAAAATATCACACAGTTCATAGTTTATAAAACCTTAAAAATATTTCAATTGATAGGTCGTGACAATTTTAATAAATAAATAACCAATAAAACTAACTTTTTTAATTTTTTTTATTTTTTTTAACGAGGGTTCGCGACCTCGCAGAGGTCATATAAACCCTCAGGGTACCGGTGTTTTTGAAAAAAAAATTGTAAGTGTCGGGTTCGAATGCAGGGCCGCTGGATTCGAACCCGGGACCTTACAGTGATGAGCGCCGTGTCAACGTCTAAACCGTTGCGGCCACCGACGACCCCCAAAACTAACTTAGAAGAGTCAATTTTGAAAGTTTATACAGGGAAAAAGTTAATAAATTATAAGTTATTTTATAAGCTTTTCACAATTTCCCAGCCATAAATCATAAAGTTTGTACAAATATATGAGCTTAAACCATTTTTAACATATTTAATTTTTAAATTTACGATGTTTTCAACCCCCATGACTAAGTCAAAAATTACAAGACTAATTTAATTTAGACTTTAGATTTTAATTTAGACTAATTTAATTAAATTTAGACTAATTTAAGATTAAATAATCATAAATTACACAATTTCAAGTAAATAAAAATTGTAATTTACAATCCTACTAAAACAGTTACATACTGAAAAATGTCAAACATATTTAGCTTTTTTTTTTCAATATGTAGTCTTACTATTCCCATAAAAATCATAAAGTAATGGTAAAGCATATGTGGTTATTATACTGTTCGAAAGTATATGCCCATAAATTAAAAAAAAACAAAAACAAAAAAAAAACAGTGGTTTTAGTAGGATAAGATATCCAAAAACTATGACTTTTATTTTATTTTAAAGCCGAAGCAAAATGTGTGTTGTATTAAGAAATCTAGCAATAAAACACTTGATCTATTACATATTTAAGGGAATTCAATAATTTATTCATGTGTTGTATGAACCACGAACTAATTTTCAAAATTTCTTCAGATATTCACACGTAAAAATTGTTGATACCCCTAAAGTGTTAATGATAGAGCACATCCGATTCGCTGGTCAAGTTTCAACCCCCCCCTCTATGTCATAAATCATATAAACATGAAACAAAACTTTATTTTATATTCACTAATTTCATGGTCCGCTTGACCAATTAATATATTACAATTAATTAAGGTTTTTAGTTGAGATAAAAAAATGACAAAAAGGAGGGAAAACTCAAAAGGTGTGGTTGAGATGCGGTTGGTGTCTGAGTGGATCGAGGTCACGATACCTCAAGTGGTAGAGCAGCGACGTATCAAGCCGAAGATCGTGGGTTCGAATCCCGCTCGTGCCATTGACTTTTTTATCTCAACTAAAAACCTTAATTAATTTTAATTTATTTTATATATAGCGATATACACCATTCTAATAATACGACCATTAATTTTAAAAATCAATACTGATTTGTCAGGGGGAGGTTAAGACATGCATGAACTATAACTTTTATAAAAATTCATTTTAAAGCTAAAATAATGTGCTGTTTTATTTAGAAAGCTAGCGATAAATCACTACTGCCTTTTGAACAGTATAGCGGGGCATTTGTTCTGTCATATACAATTCAAGGAAGATCTGCCGTTGAATATTTTAACACTGGTTGAGAATGGTTTATAAGGATGTTTTTGCTATATCTTGATTTATGGATAGAGATTTCTAATACGACCTGTACATTACTCAGAAACACTCATTCAAAGTAGCCGTTAACATAATTTATAGATTCGTTTTTGGATAAATTAAATACCGTGCTTTTTTTTATTGTTGGTCCAAATTTCACAAAGTGCAGCATGTTTTATGCTATAGTCATGCGTAAATTATTACCTACCTATACCTTCTAAAATTTTTGTTAAAAGCAAAACAAAAACACAATAAAGATGAAAAATATACAAAATAAAAAGAAGACCATAAATGCACTTATATAGAGTACAATTTGATAGCTACTATTAAAATTTTTATTTAGGATTGGAAAGTTCAATTATTTCGAGTCAACTAATAATTGTTCACAAATGATAAAATTGGAAGTTGAATTGCTATAATCACCTCCCTTATAATCAATTCAAATTTTGGAATATATAATTATTATATTTTTATAATACTTTTTGTTTATAATTTTAGATTCATTTATCAAATTCTTATACTTTTTATGAATTGAATCTTAATAGTATTTAAGTCGTGAATAATTAAATATTGGCTTTATAAAAGATGATTAAAAATTGAAACATTTTTCATAAGTCAGGAGGATTTTTATGAACTTAATTCAAAAGTTAATTGATGCCAGTGGGATTTCTCACATCTTCACAATTATGTTTATTATGTATAATGTACCATTATTACAATTTGTGAGGGTCAAGGTAGAAAATTTGGACCAGCAAAAATCACTCTACATAAATCTCTCTATAGATGGGTGTTGTTTAAAGAATTAGACATGTTCAACTATGTAGAATACGATTTTATTAAATAATAAAATTATTATAATACATGTTGTTATTATATTTAATTATTTGGTATTCTCTGCCGTGAATTTCAGCAGCTATTCAATTCTAACACGCTATATCCTTATGAACATTAAATATTACGTTATACTTTTGACTGAATATAAATTGATTATATATTATTTTAAACAAAATTTTCAATCCAAAAAGTGATAATGCTTATAAATGAAGAGAATGTAATTTATGTACATTCCTAAATTCAATCCGATTTCGTTGGATGTTTAATATTTGAATTGTCACTTTCTAGTCGATTGCTTTGTTCAAAGGGGTTATTGTGGCGGAGGTAAGATTATATTTGAATTGTAAGCATTATCACTATGATGGTTAATCAAATTCAGAATTTTGTAGTCAACAAAAACTATAATGATAGTATCGAAAATTATAAAGATTTAGTCGCACAAGTGAGCTAGCAAGATAAATAAGAAAATGTAGAAACATTTGTAATTGATAATAATAATAACAATATAATCATAAGAATAATGAATGTCTATCTAAAGCCATGCTAAACATTTCCTTCACGCCATTTTTATTCAATAATAATACCCCTAATTAACAACAATTTTTTTAATGGAATTTCATACCTAAACATTAGCTTTCTAGCTATTACTATGAATTTCGCACAACTATACCATAATTGATTAGTCACACCCAACATAATTTGTCGACAAATTAGCCTGATGCAAAAAGCACTGGTCACAAGTGTTTTATCAGGCACGAATCAGGGTATGACGTACTTAAAAATAAATAAATAAAACTTCAACAATTCATTCAAACAAAAATAAATCTTATATAAATGGAGGGTTTATTATAGGATTTTTTTGTTCGTTTTATTCTTCGTTTGGTGCAAGAGAGTAGGTTAGATATCTAATAAAATGGAAAAGCATAAATGGGAAGTTATTGTTGAGGATTATAAAATAGTAGGAAGTGATCAATTGGAAAACATGGATCGACGCATGTTAAGCGTAATCACATACAGAAGAGACTCTTAACACTAAATAAATTGGCACAGTGGAAGGTGATGTGGTCAGTTAGAAAAAAAAAATGAAGCAATTACAACTAACATAAATAATAATTAACCGCCTTCTACTACATGATTAAATTAATGTATAACACAAAGTAATTGTATAAATCTTAATGTATAATAAATTTTCATATTGAGCTAATAACCCATCAAGTCTTCAAATACCTACTTTTACAATAACATTAACAATCAAAAAATTACATATGCAGAGTTATTCAAATTAATAAATTATGTGCAAATAATGTTTAAATTAAACTCAATAGTAGGACTAGTATAAAAGTTTTAATATTTAAAAATAATAAATTAAATATATAATAAAGAGGTTAAACAGAATGGAATTATTGAGCATTATAAACAAAGCAATGGAATTTAATTTCAGAATCGCGCACACATCTTGTAAGTAAATTTTGAGCTTTCTTGTCGCATTGTCACAATTAAAGCTTGCATTTTACATTACACAAAAGCGAGGCAAATGTCATTTTTACATGTCTTGGAATTTTTGCCAATGCTTTAATTATCGATCCTTTATTCGAATGGTGAGAATTGGATTGCCTGATCTTTTGCAATAGTTACATTCTTTTAAACGCATTTAATTATATTATTTCGAATAGGAAAAAAAAAATCAATAAACATTTCGCCAAAATCTTTAACCTCTAAATTTGAAAATAAGTACAGCAATGAAGAATTTTAAATGCAAACCGGCTTAATGAAATGAAAGTTACCACTCTTAAAAATGCAATTTATGTACAACGCATTACCAATCTAAACAAAATAGTTTCATATTGAAAAATGTTGAATATGAAAGTCCAAACATGATTTAAATGAATGTTAATTGTTGGCATCATTTAGAGGTACTAAATTTTAGTTATTCTATAAGCCATATTGGAACTTAAAGTACATTGATATATCTTCAATGAATCTTTGTACTTGTTTCGTTTTGAATTACATCAAACTTTTTACCGATAATTTTAATCATTTATAAATCCTAGATAAATAACATAACAGCCAAATACGGTTTCCAAAATCATCGAACCTCAACATTTCCTAACAATATTTTGCGATTGGCGCAAGCATGTGGCAAACAAATGTACCAACTGTAAGATATATTGCATCTTTTTTACTTTTCGGTGAACAGACTGTACAAATAAAAATAATAATATACCAGGAAAAAGAACTATGTGGAATACTTGTCCTCTTAGGTAATTTATTTATATCAATATTCAACGCTCTGCTCTATCATTATAGTAATTTCTGTTATATGTAATATTACAGGCTCTGCGAACAAATTATAAAACCTATTTGAGTTTGGTTTTTATTACAATTGAGTAAAAAAACCTCTAAATGTCAAGGTAAACTTATTAGCGCTAGGTATAAAGTTTGAGCTGTGTGACTGGTATAAGTTCATAAGATGGGCAACAAGCGTGCTAGGCGAAGTACCAAGTCGAGAAAAAAGTACCAGTATCTTCGTGCACTCGCAGATCTCAATATGACAAAGCGCCACATCAGCAACACGAACAACAACTGTGATATTCGATGTAGACAATAAAACCTATAAATAAGATTTAATAGAATGGTTAAATTAATATATATTTATATTTTTTTTAAATTGTATTTTTAGATTTTCTCTTTTTTTTAAATGTCAGTTAAAATTTATAGATGGTAAATAACAGTCATACTTACTTAGAAAGCTGTTTCCTAGCTTTTGGTAAACTACTGGGAGATTCTTTGAATATAAATTGTCTAATTCCCAGAACATAGTGTTCAATATAAGCTGGCCAATTTATTTGTCTTACATCGAAGGGGAATGTCATTTTATCTTGGTATGACAACATTGAAAAAAGTGTTAATGCATTTTCATCCAAGAATTTCCACTGTCGTGTTGAGAAGTATGTCAAGCAAGTGGCTGCTTTTTCAAGTTTAGTTTGTACCCTCACCATTCTGCAAGTTGTAAAAATATATAGAAATTTTACAGTCGGTTTTGTTCAAAAGTAAATTTTAGCAACTCACATTGGTTTTTTTCCTGATAGCCAGCTTAGAGCGTCTAATATATAAGCCGGAAAAAAGTGAAGCGTGTATTTACATATCGAGTTCATTAAATAGTTTGATCTACACTGGCCATCTGGATACCACATTAAATCACCTAACGGATGTTTTCGCATTGATAAAAAACATTGATGAACAAATTCTTTCCAGGTTATCGGTGCTTTTTGCCCTGTACAGCAGTTATATACCATTATGTCATTCGGTCTAACAAAAAAAAGAAAAATAATTAATACTCATTAAATCACAGCAGCTTGAATTATTTCTCAAATCTGAAACTTTTACCTTGACGTTGCTGTTCTCCATGCAGCGCATATCATGAGATTTATAACAATATCAACAGGAACAAGGTCTGCTATTTTGTCTTCATGACAAAGCATAGACCTAAAAAAACCTTTTCCTGCAGCAGCAATGATGCCTGTTGGGCCGTTCCAGTTATCGACCCAGCCTGCCATCGGTTCTTTTACAGATGATATAACTAATGAAAAAAAAATTGAAATATTTTAACTTTTTTTGAGCTAAAATGATCATACCTATCGAAGGACGAACTATCGCTACAGGCAAATTTCCACTTTCTTTAAGCAACATATGCTCAGTTAATGCTTTTGTAAATGTGTAAGTGTTTGGCCGGTTTCCTATTAATCTGAAACATAAGTTAATACATATATGTAATATTTTATCTTGACTAACAATCAGAAATTTTTTTTTAGGTATTTCACTGGTAGAAAAAGACACTTACTTAGGGGTTAAAGTTTGAATAAGTTCATCATCCATCCAATCCATGGCCTGAATAATATTTTCTGGGTCATAAGGAGGTGGGTAAATTTCTTCTTTGACTTCAAAGCGATCACAATTACAATAAGCAGTCGACACGTGTATTAATGCCTGAAAACGAACACTATCAATGCAAAACATCAAAGTGATAAATGACAATAATTTAACAATCACTTAATATTGTTTACATAATGCAACAATTTTGTCACAGTTCAAATTAGTTTAGTCATTAAGTATTATGAAACTTTATAGTATCTATTAGGAAGTCTGTACATTACCACTAAATAGACATTGGGGAATAGCATATTTTATGAATTAAGGTTGAAATTAAGTTTTATGATTGAGCCAACCTTTATTAACTAGCCATTTTTAATAAAAGATTGATATCTAGCATTGTCAATCCACTATTAACTAGAATATTTTTTAAATTACTTTATCCTAACAGAATTATTTTATTTTGTTTTGAAATTGAATTGTCAAAAAATCTAAATGCCTTGCCAAATATTTGGTTTAAGTTTAATCTGTTATTAAAATAACTATGTGAGTAGTAAGAACTAAATTAGGACTGGTCAACAGATGGATAGGTTTATTAATAAATGGGCAGAAGTGCAAGATTCCTACTAAATTGGCTTGCAATAGTCACGACAGTATAAATTATAAAACAATTTAATGTTAATTCTACTTACTTCAAGGTTCTTCATTGAGTGACACAGGTGGACCAGCCTCTTGGTACCCAATATATTGATTGTAACAGACAGTTTGAGAGCTTCGTCAAATTTAACTGTAGCCGCCGAATGGAACACTACTGATACTGTATCGGTGAGCAGTTGTTGGTCAGCCTGACTAATCCCAAGTTCAGGCTCTGTAATATCTCCGAGAATAGGTACGATCTTCTTCAAATCACTATCCCTGTCTACTCGTAGTCGATTGAAAAGCTTCAACAAAACAAAATATTTTTGTATTAACCATTTATATAATTATTTTAAAAGCAAAGTTTATTTAGTAAATATCGTTAATTATGATGACATTAAATATCATAATTATGTAGCGCGATAAATTCTGATTGTCATGGTCAACTTCTTCTTCAGCTACCTGCTGACCCCATAATTAAATTCTAAGCTAAAAGCTAAGAAACTTTTTATTACAAAATCAGTGAAAATAGACAAACCAGAATCAATTGAAAATGATCAAGATACAGAAAAATAATCATCTTTTTTTCAGTGTGGCATCAGTATCAAAACTACTTGCTTTTAATCATAAGTTTTAATCATCTTTTCAATTGAAACAATTTGAATTTTCAGAAGTGTTGAGACAATTAAGAGATTAAATGATGAGGAAATTAAAACGATGTGCAATAATGGTGATAATTATCATTATTTCTCACCCAGGTGAATAAAGATTATTTGTTTTGTGTAAATTTCCCAGAGATGTTAAATGTATTTTTAATTTTAACTAGACATTCATAAATAGAAAATTGTTTTATAAAATTTAATAACATTTAAGAACTCAAACAGTATAATTTACTTTTTGCAATTTAGTCCTATTTTGTACCATAGTTGGCTTGAAAAGATAAATATATTTTAGGGGAACGTGATCAATGCTAATATTTGAGGTCTAGAATACAAATACAACTGAAAAAAATAATAAAAAATAAATAATAATTAAAAAAGTGTAATTATCAGTATTAAGCATTGGTGCAATAGAATATGGGCAAACTGGACAAAATAAGAAATTAAATCTAGTAAAAAACATAAAATTATAGGGTAAGTTACAATTGATTTTAAAAATCAAAATACTGTTTATATGAACAGAAAAAAACGATTTTTTAAAAAATAGAATTGCATTTATATTAATGTAGGTATACAAGAAGACAATATGATACAATCTTTCAATTTATGAATCCTGAAAAACATGTGTAAATATTAATGCATATAATTATTCAGAAATCGTGAGATGCGGTCTGGTGTGATGTAGGTTTCAGAAAAACATTTTCTTTATCGTGCCAAGAAACGTGGCACGATAAAGAAAATGTTTTTCTGAAACCTACATCACACCAGACCGCATCTCACGATTTCTGAATAATTATCGATTAACGGTCACTAATCACCATACATTAATGCATATATTAATCTGTTTCTTAGCCATTTGATTATTTTGGTCTGCATTTTGTAAGCCAATAATGATGATAGGCAAAGCAACAATGATCAGAAATTAGGTACCAGGCTCATGGCCCTGCATCAAGGAAATCTCTCAAAATTAGCATTAATTTATGTAATACCAAAAGATTTTAAAGATGAAATGTGACATTGAAAGTTTGAAAAAAAAATCAGATTGCCGTGTGAAAATATATTAGGTCATCAAGTCTCAAAATAATGTTTTAAATGATCAACATAAAAAATATTGCGGTTTTTAAAAACAATGTCAATCAGAAAAGAAAAAAGAAGAAAATTGTTCCCTTTATGTTAACTGGATATTGCGGATCAGTAAGTGTTCATTGAACTAGAATATATAAGAATTGGAACATAAAAAATGTGCCCTCAAGGAGTAATTGTTATCATCCCAAATGAGGCCCCAGATGATTAATGATCCGCTATCGTATATGTAGATGGCCTAGTCATCATAATAAATGTATCATATTCTATTTGACATAGACAAAGTGCTTTGATCTAGCCATACAAAAAGAAGTATTATTTTATTTAAAAAGAAAAAAAAAGATGTTAAAAAAGTCTGTCCTAATAATATTTAAGGACACAGGAAAGGAAAAAACTATAGTATCTCCTGATGAGGTGAACACTTAGGGCAAATAAGTATTAACAGGGTTATTGTCAACTAAACCTGAAAACATGGCTAAAGTTGAGAATGGTGCCATTTCTGAGAAGTGGGAATGAGATTTTTCGATACAAATCACATAACCTCAAACTGTAGAACTTGCTGCTTGACGAGAGCTGGCATATGCCTAAACGACCTATCTATCTAATTTATCTATCAGGCTATCAATATTTATATCTATTTATAAGGTTTCGTGGTCCGATTGACCAAATAAATTCTTTATGATTAATTAATCTTTAATTAAGGTTTTGGTTGAGATAAAAAAGTCACTGTCACGAGCCAGATTTGAACTCATGGCCTTCGGCTAAATACGCCGCTGCTCTACGACTTGAGCTATCATGACTTCATGAAGCCAAAGTTTGTGGGTTCGAATCCCGCTCATAACACTGACTTTTTTATCTCAACCAAAACCTTAATTAAAGATTAATTAATTGAAAAGAATTTATATCTATAGTTTTAGTGCTACAATTTAATATATTATATTTATATAATCACTTTCAGATAGTGAATAATTAAAAAAGGTAAAAAAGATACTTGATGTCTAAATTAATGATACTAATTAAAAGTTTGTTTATATGTAGGAGATTAACAAAATTTTCTGTTTATGCAAATAACATAAACATTATACTAACCAATAAATCATAAAAATATATAAGAATCAGAGTCCTAATTTATCTCCTATAAATGTATCATAATCTTTTGACTTAGACAAAGTGCTTTGATCTAGCCATACAAAAAGAAGTATTATTTTATTTTAACAAAAGCTGAAAAAGATGTTAAAAAGCCTATACTATAATTAAAAAAATATACTATAATAAAAAAACTTTTAGAGTAAATGGGCGGAGGCACTGTTGTAATATTAAATGCGCCAGTGGCTCCGCATTTTTTTATTTGTAAATACAGAATGATTGGTTATTGTTTGAGTGAATGTATTTATTAGTGCGATAGTAGTATATGCATGGGTGGGTCTATGGTGGAATATCAAGTACCTCATAAACCCACCAACCTAGGTTAATATTCTAGATTAATTGTACATAATGATGGATGTATTTATTAGCATGAATGAAGGCGGGTCTTCAGAGGAATATCGAGTACAGGCTAGGCTAGGATTGAATGATAGTGAATGAGATAGTTTCAGAGCCTTTTTCACCACATGTGGGAGGGCTAAAAATGTAGAAATAACATAGAACACAATCAGAAAGATCGCCAGACTTCCTACAGAAAAGCTTACTTAAAAAAAATAAAATAAATAAAAATAAAAATAAATTTTTTTTAAAAACTTGAGGTGGAAGAAATGTGAGGTGCCGGCAACAGCCCAGGCAGCTAGCCGGCCGGAAAAAAAAAATTTTGGTAATTTATTTCTATGTAGGCACAAATGGATTACCTTGGCATTCTAATCGGTAAAACTTATTATTTGTTCATATTAGTGATTATCATTTGATGACTGAACAGACTTTGAATCTAACTCTCCACCTACCAACCAATATATGTGTGTCTAAGTACAGAGTATATAGTTTTTGGCCATTTATTTCTGCAGAAACATGAAATGCCTGTTATACCTTGAAATTCCGACCAGTCGAAAACATTTCAATATTGATATATTACACATATTGACAAATCACAAGAGAATGATTTATTAGAAAACTAAACTACTGTCTAATGTCTCCATTTATGCGTGTATATATGCAGAACNAAAAAACCGGAAATTCTTATTTTGTGTTTTCCGTGTTATACATATTCAAACTATATGTAGTATTTTTTTAGTTTTATTAATTACAAAATATTTGTAAAACAAATTAAAAGAGATCAGATATTCACGGGTTTTAATTAAATTCGAGTTTTGGCTAATTGGTAATAACAAAGGCAAAAAAATTAATGATTTGAAAGAAAATTCACAAAAACGCTGTAAAATCATTAAATAAAATCATTAAAATTTAACTATTTATTCTATCATAATTAAATCATTTTTAATAAAACTCTTGAATTTTTGATTTCATTTAATTTGGTTTGCATTAAAACAAGTAAATTGTAATTAATATAAAAACAAAAATACACATAGTATGAAATAAACAACAAAACACGAGTGTTCGTTTTTTTCGTCTTTGAATATATAGAATTTGGTTAGCGTAAGAGACTCTCGGCTCGTGGACCCCGCGGTCGTGGGTTCAATTCCCGCCGTCGCCTCTGGACTTTTTTGCACGATACCCTTCCCCCCAAAACGAATATGCATAACATATTGTCTGGGATTGGCTAATATGCATAGTTCATAAAGCCGTAAAAAAAGAAAAAATATATATAGATTTTTTTTAAATATTGTAAAAGGTGTTTTGATAGTGAAAATACCGATTGATCGAATCGTCAATGATGTGCCATCTCGTATGGCTCGTTTGTCAACATAAAATATGACTGGCTTAATCGAGATACGATTAAAAAAATCTTAGAAAGGTAAATCGCCCTAATTGTGCTTCACGATTCATTATTCGCCCATGAACAGGTTGAATGATAAAATAAACAAAATTCAAGGCGTAGCCGAATCGGCAAAATTGCATGACTTCCCGGCTCGGCGGGCAATTTGGATAATAGCGTTGAACCGTAACGAAAACTATTTATTTATTTTTTAAAATAGTTTTGTCGTTTCCTTTTATTTTAGTCTGCCCATCCCCGCGTTTTTGGTTCATCAGACGCGTTTTTGATTCTCGGCATCTTCAGTGGTGAGTTTGTGAGTTACTGTAAAGTATGGAAAATCGGCGGACCGAAATGTCGGAAACGACCACACCACATTTATATATCACACATATTGATATATAGTAAATAATTATTTCATTTACATTTTAGTGGTCAATTGACCAAGTTCCATCTTTCAATTAATTATTCTTTCCATGTAAGGTCTTGGTTGGAATAAAAAAGTCATTGTCACGAGCGGGATTCGAACCCACGACCTTCGGCTAAATACGCCGCTACTTCATAAGTCTCTGAGAACCCAATCCGATTACTCGACATTGAAAACTGGCAAAAGAGGGAAGGTTCGAACGGTTGTAGGTTGAGATGGAGAATTGGTGTCCGAGAGGATCGAAGTCACGATAGCTGAAGTGGTAGAGTAGCGGCGAATTTAGCCGAAGGTCGTGGGTTCGAATCCCGCTCGTGACACTGACTTTTTTATCTCAGCCAAGACCTTACATAGAAAGAATAATTAATTGAAATATGTAAATAATTATCAGGGGATTCTTAATCATCTATATTATAGGGTTGTAAAAGTAGTTAATAGTTCAGGAGTTATTCTACATGTCAAATGGGACTAAAAAGCTCTCGTTGTCCATATTGTGATTGTCATTTGTGTTCGAGATATTTCACTTTTCGAGTTATTTCAACCCTTCACAACTTTTACACATAAGCCCTCATATCTCACAAAATAATAATTTTCGATTACATCAATGGAAAGATCATTAAAATTCCTTATATGATTTTTTAAAATTTATTGTAACAAATAAAATATTATAATATAAAAAATATATTTTTTACTAGTTGTAGTTTGGTTTATTTACGATTTGGGTTATAAGCAAGTTGAGAACCGACACAAACTAGGCAAACCAAAATTATAGGAAACGACCAAAATATAAGTTTGTAACCCAACAATCTCAAGAAGAAATCTAATTTTTTTAGTCCCTTTAAATTTCTTTTACAATAGAGTAGTTTATTTACATTTAAATCCTTGAAATTTTTCAAAA